CCTCCCCTCTCGCACGATTTCCTGGTAACCATCTTCAAAATGAGTGAATATTTATCTTGAAAATATTCATCCCTCTTGCGATCCTCCTTTTATTCAGCTCAGTATTTAGTACAAATTTCATTTTACTAAAAGTTATAAACTGAGAGTAGAGTTCGTACACGTAATAACATTTGATCATGTTTGGTTTCAGCTCAAACAGAGTACAATTGATAAACTGTTACCAGTGTCCTATCAAAACAGTGATCAGGTAGGACGGTTGATCTTATGCTGTAGTTATTCAGTCCGCCCACGTTAGCCTATTGGCAGCGCATCCTGTCGGTAAAATCTTGTCTTCCGCCACAAACGAATATACCAAGGTGACCTTATAGCTCCTTTTTGAGATGAAATACGTGTTTCACTTGGCGGTCAGTACTGCATTGTTTTGACCTCAAAATGGAGTCATAACAAAAGATCATCAAAAAATGTAAATTTCTCTGTTCGAATGTACACTCGAATCGTAATTGTTGGAAAACGCAGCACTTGTTTCGTTAAAGCATAACCTCTGAATCGTAATTTCAGATGAATTCATCTTATGTGAGTCACCTTTTCGTTGTCTCCTCAGGGATATGATGTTGATACTATATTAGGCAAACAGCTTGGACCAATGAATTGTTACGTCACAGATCTTTCCAAACAACAACATGGCAGCCTTGCAAAGGACAGCTTTACTTTGGAAGAGATACAGATCCAGTAACTCAAACTGAGGTGCGTGTTTTTTGATATGATACCCATGTTTAAATAAGACAGGAATCATCTTTTTATGTTTTTCAGAATGACTAGAGAAAGGTAAATGTTTCTTTAACTTGACAGCAAGTTATGTAATTGGCGCATTATCGTCAATGATGGAACTTTACTTGACTCTCAAAAGTTTTCACACATCAACTAACCTTTCCTGTGAAAAGTCTTTGAACAATAAAAATGGCTAGCAATTCAGGTCACGTTAATCGAGAAGCTGATTGCGCGCGACTCCCATTATTGAAAGCTGTTTGTGACGTCCGAATTACTGACGACATACTGCATTGAAAAAACCGGAGCAAAATAAACAGGAAAAATAATTTTTTTAAAATGATGGTGAAACCAGTGAAATGTTAGGTAAATATAAATCGAGGTAACTTCTTCTCATCAGTACAAGTACAATATGTAATTGATTAAAGTTTTCTTTTTCCTTCTTTTTTTCCATGGTTTAGGGAGCATAAGGGACATCATGAATATTACAGTCAATACCTTACGTCAAAAACTTCACATCCTCAATGAACAAGGACAAAGACTGCTTCAACGCGGTAACACCATGAGGAAGATCAAGCAGAGCAACATATGTTTGCAGAAACACGTCATTCTCATTGCACCACTTGGAATCGTTGGCTGTGTGATTCTGTCTCCGTTTCTTCTCTTCTCGTTTTTTGTTATGGCTCCTTCAGTGTTACTTTTCTGTTCTGCAATGGCGCTCCTGGTGATGTCGTTCTCATTATTTTTCGGATTTCTTCTCAATTGTTGTTTAGTAATGTTTGTATTTGTATCGTCATGTCATATATTATACCACATCTGCTTCTACACCATTTGCCGTATCCAAACTTATTATAAGTACATACAGTCCTCACCGTCTTCTGTGTACCAATACCTTAGAGCACGAATGTGCGAGGTTTTATTGCAGCTCGTAGATATTTTATCTGACGACATACCACAGCAAAGAATTGATGGTAGAAAATGCGTGGGATCTTGTGACTCGAGCGAGCTGGAAGATATTGAGCCAGATTACAGAGACAGAGAAACCAAACTGTACGAGGCTTTGGTGAACAGTCCTCAGAAAACTGGCAAGGACACCTTTGAACCGTTCCCTTATTAAAACTGGTATACACATGAAAAACAATTGTTATACAATCTATTTTGACCAATGAATTCTTAAGAATAATTATTTAACGTCGAGCCCTAGGACTAAGAACCTTTCAAATGTATAAAGAAAATAAGTCGAGTTAGTGGTTTTGTTCCAGTTCAAGGATTTATTTTGTGTTGGTGTTAAAGTGTCATTGTTTGATATGCAAGTTGAGACAAAAATTGTTGAAAAGACAACTGTTCGAAGCTAGATCTGCTGTGATTTGTCAATTAATGAACCTCACTAATGATACAGTTGGTAGGTCGGTGGATGGCACCCGTGAAGGAAGAATGGGTTAAAACATGAGACTGACTAGACAGTTATAATACTAATACCTAATGGTCTCCATCAGGTTACGCCACGTCTGAGAGGTCCGGGTTCCACCTTTGGTAGGGTCAGTGTTCTTGGGCACGGCTCTCACAGCCTCTCCCTTGCTTCTTCGGGTAGGCGAACTGTCAAGAAAACGATGAATTTCTAGAGGGGATTACCTTCAATTAACTAGCATCACGGTTATAAGAGACGTTAAAAATACTCCTTAATTCTTCGCGCTACAGAAACGTATATCACTAACCGCCTCCACTTCGGTCAATAGTTGTTAATTATAACCAGGACCCCGTATTTCAAAACGAAATGGAAACAACGAGAGGATGAGGCTTCTAAGTAGAAATTCAAGTTGTTCAGAGCCGGGAGAAAGGAGGTCTTTATGCTCACCCTGCTGTTATGTTACCTGCCCGTGACGATACTAAGTAGTGTATGTATAACTGTACCCTTTATAGCTGGGCACCACTTTCATGTTTGGTGTATGAATTAGGCGTATTCTTGTATGAAACTTGGATAACTCTTCATCGGTAACAATTTTTCTTTGTAAGAAGTGCGTGCGTTTAATTATTCTTCTAAGGCTGCTTGCACTTTAGCGCTCAAAAACTTCTTCAAACGAGGATTAAACTATTCAAATCATTGTATTTGGCATGCGCCGGTTTCTTCAGCAACAAGAAACTCCTTTAAAACACCAACATTAAATACTCTACCTGGATTTCAGTTGCGTTGTAACGTTCTCCACGTCAATTCATATCAATATCTATTCAGAGCACCGTACTCTTTTTTCATATCCACTGCGTGAATGGTACATAACAGTCTAAGATATTTAGCAAGTGTTAACAAGTGAGGCCTCCTCGTCATTTTTCAAACGCTCTTTTATTCGAAAACGAACTGAGAACTAAAAATACGTAATGCATGCATGTAACTGGTACGTTGGTATTTCGTAACTGAAGCCAACTATCAGACCATTCTGTAATGTGAATTTATAACGTCAAGTTGCGATTTGGGTTGTAATGACCAAGTATCCTCTTATCTCACTCAGTATTCGCGAGATGTAAATTAAAAGGGATTCATTTATTAGATCTAACAGAATTGCGTGTCCTTCTTTACACAAGAGGGTCTATTCAGTAAAGAGAAGATGAAACGTTGCTCCCCAATTAAGCATAAACTGACATTAACGAAATTCATCGGCGTTCAGAGCGACTTGCAAACGACTGTGTTTTTTGTTCTTAGTACTAGAACCCATTCACTGTTGAGACGGGATAATTTATATTTCTTTGTTGATTTATTTAATTGTAAATTTTACGTTCTGTTTGTGAAATAATTCATTCAGATGAGGATAAGAGGTCTGATGTGATCTCGATTGCTTTGTGTTTAAAGAACAATAGACCAATCGTGAGGTTGTGGTTGTTTATTTGTTATGCATAAAGCAGTATGTTTTCGGAGGTTACCTGAATAGCCGCAACACTCCTAAAAGTGTTTGTAAATTATAGTCTCTAACGTTGACTCGCTCTTCATTCAGCACAATTCGCCGACAAGATGAGTTATTCAGTATAATCAATGTTTGCATTAGAGGTTCATACTAATTACACTTCTCCTAGTTTCCTACAATTAACTCTTGTGAAGTCACTACGAAAGAAAGCAATAGATTTTGCAAAAGTATGACAGCTTTTTAATATCTGATTTAATAGCAATAACTCACGCTCCCGTGCGGGAATGAAATGTTTTGTATCATGTTTGAAACTCGTGAGGACGGAGAGATATTTGTGTTTAAATTTCAGTTTGCTACACATTACATTTGCCTAGGGGAAATGACTTCAGTCACACAAAAGTCTAGTCTGTGCTGCATGTATGTTCATTGAACTGGGTAAAAGATAACGGATTGCACCTGGAGACAAGGACTATCCTGGTCGCACGAATCTGTCACTTACTCATACTTGTAAAGGTAGAAGTTCACCATTGGTTTTAGCAGTTAGCGTTTGACCAAATTACCTATTGGTAGAGGTTTGAAACCGGGTTAGCACAAAGTTTACGACTTGTGATAGCGGCGAAAGCTCTTGAATCTAGATTAACTGTTGAATTTCAGTGTAACTGGTCAAAATTTTTTTATCCATACACGTTTGTGTAGCTCTTTAGCATCTATTGAACCTGAGTCCTAACAAAGTCTAGTGTCAGCAATAACACAACAAAGTAAAATTGAAAAATTTCGGAATAAGTTTATGGAATATGTCATCACCCTGAGAGCGCCTGCAGAGGGTGAAGAAAAAGTATCGGGGAAGTGAAAATGATTCGTTTTATTCACGGGTTCAATATCGCAGACTAACTGGAAAGATGAAAACTTCCATTGACCTGGTTTTCGAAACCCCGAGCGTTCAAGGATTAATAAAAGTGCTATATTATTTGCGTCTATTTTCAGGTGCGTCAAAAGCGTGCTGTTGTCTTATCTATACGCCTCTCTATACAAACCTATATTGATGGTGAAACAAACCTGATTATTTTCAGACTAGACTTTATCATTTTTACATTCACTCATGTCACAAGTACTCAGGTAGCTTTTGAAATACGAGATCCTTCCTTCCTTCATAGATCCCAAATAAACTGAGTATGCATTACATGTATGCATTACACGACAGTGTCGTACTTCCCTTTTCTTTTCTTCTTTATGTTAACTTTTATCGCGTGGATCTGTCTATCTTGACGGGTTTACCGCCGGCCCTCACCCCACCCATATCCCACCGTTCAGTCTGCGTCGAAAATCCAGTGGCTACGTCATGTATGCCGTAACCATCATGGCTGCCGAGGTAAAGACCGAATCTTTTTGTGGACGTATTTTATGTGTCGGTCTTGCCGCTCTTGATATTGTGAACACGTGTGAGCGGTATCCAAATGAGGATGAAGACGTCAGGGCAATATCACAAATATGGCAAACTGGTGGTAACGCATGTAACACCTCAACTGTGCTGGGAGAACTGGGAATTGATTGCGAACTGTTTGGGACCATGTCGTGTGGACCACAGGCTGATTTTCTTTGTAAACAGATCAGAGAGCGAAAAATACGCTATGAAAACTGCGTTTTCCACAAAAATTGTGGAACGCCAACATCTTCTGTCGTGTTGAGCCTGAACAGTGGTAGTAGAACCATTGTGCACTCCAGAAACAATCTCCCGGAACTTGAAGTTGCAGATTTTGTGAAACTTAACTTGACAAACTACAGGTGGATTCACTTCGAAGGAAGGAAAAACGAGGAAGCTATTGTGCAAATGATTGATAAGATCGAGGAATTTAATGCGACTCAGTCGTGCAACGAAAAGATTTCTGTATCTTTGGAATTGGAGAAACCTAGAGAATCTCATCTTCTTTTACTTAACAAAGCCGATGTAGTATTCATAAGCAAAGAGTTTGCTCGATTTCGCGGTTTCTCTTCGTCTGCTGAAGCAGTCAAATCCATTTACAACAAAGTCAAATCTGGTGCCGTGTTGATTTGCGCATGGGGAGAGGGAGGTGCGGATGGAATTGGTCCTGATGGTGAGATAAAACACAGTAATGCCTACCCCCCAAAAGTAATAATTGATACTCTGGGAGCAGGGGACACATTCAATGCTGGAGTCATTTGTGGTTTGCATGGAGGATTGACTCTTCAAGACACATTAGATTTTGCTTGTTTCCTGGCAGGTGTTAAATGTGGTATCCAAGGATACGATGGCTTGGCTAAAGCTGTGGCGAGCCATCATTGTTGGGAGACTTACATGAAGGGACTAGTGAGCAATAACCTAAGGTAACAATGGTGGAACACATTTGAGAGAGAAGGAAGTTGTGATAGGTACAATAATGTGTAAGGTACTATTTAGCCTGGGAAGCAGTCTCCTTTTTCTCAAGTGCCTAGTGGGAGTAGTGCAAGGTGTGAGCTTAGAAAGAGTTATGTAAAGGCAGAGGGAAAAAGGGAGCAAATTTCATAAGAAGCAGGTGGATGAGAAATGAAGGAAAGAAAAAGCTTGTTGGTGAGTGTAGCTATTTTACCAAAAGCCTTAGAAAGTCTCCATCAGGGCAACAAAGGTCATGACCTGTCATGTAACAAACAGTCATCATAACCTTCTGTTTAGCAAAATAAAAGAACACAATTTTTTTTCCACTTGAGAAGAATGTTTAACGCTGTCACATCAAAGAAATGTGCAAATTACTTTTGCATTCCCTGTGACAAAAAGTATTTCCAATTTGAAGGTCTCTGAAGAATCTTTTTTTTCCTTATTTTTTAATCATATAATTATGGACAATCTTGCACTCTGATTATGACAGCTATGGGGAAAAAAATAAACCTCTTTTGAAGGCAGCTCCAATTTTACTTGATTTGATCTGATCACTAAATTAGCAGTAAGCTCTAGCCAATCTGTTCACATCAATAGCTTTTATTGATGTATAACTGAATGCAGCTCATCTTCCCTCCCCCTTGCTCATAATTTTCTTTGCTCTTTTGCCCCATGCCTTTAGCTCATGCCCATCTTGCTACTTGCTAGGTTTCATTGATTTATTAGTGAAACCTTAGTTATGTGGGCAACTATGGGATTGCTCCTGTGTCCACTTGATACAGATCCTGGTACTAAAAAGGAAATTGTGCAATAATTCTTAACAGTTCATTTTTGGAGAACAAATCAACAGACTGAATTTGTTTGTAAACAGAATTGTAAATAGACACCTATGTTTGGTGGTTACATTTTATCACCAACTTCACCAGGAACCTCTCAAACCTTGCTAACAAGGGTGCTGGTTCACTTGTGACTTAAAAAAATCCTCACTCAAACAAACTTTTTAACTATGTAACATATCAAATATTCCATTAGTGTACAGTGAAACAGCACAATAGGAGAAATCACATTTATGACAGAATTGCAAGGGTATTTATGAGGTTGCTTTAGACATCTGATTTGTGCAAACCACAAATCTTTCAAGGCCATGGCAAATTGAGACATACCATAAATTACATCAACTTCTGGAATAAAAATTAGGCAAATGTGAACAGAATTAATAGCGCCCTTGATTAAACGGTGATTTATTGTTTCCCTAGCTGTCCTAAGTAACTTACATTTTAGGGGATTAACCATTAATTACATAAACCTTCCTTTCATTTCCTTTAAAACTTACACAGTAGAGATAAGCTTGATTTTGTCAAATGTTTTTATTCTCATTTTCATCTTACAACCTATGAGAGCCCTTTGCTTTTATACAAAATTTTCATGTTATTTACAGACAACAGCTATTGTCCTAAGTTACAGTGTAATATCAGCATTGCAGAGTGCAATATTTTAACTGACATATTCTCACAATAATCCTACTCTAAACTTCTTTTGCATCCTAATTTTTTTAATTGCCATCTTTGCTTGTTGAAAAGTTTAGTCAATTATGAATATAAATTTTTAGAAATGAAATCCGCCCATTGGTAAAGGTTGTGGAGTTCCAAACTTGTATCCTTCACTTGTAGCTTCTGGGGCAATCTGCTCAGTCTCCTCAGCACTCTGAAGACATAAACCAACACAAAGAGTTTCTTTTCTATAATTATTTGACAATTTCCTTTTCCTTTAAGTGCTGTGATGCCAGAGGTCCTTTAGCCAGTGCCATAAATCAAAAGCCAAAGTCAAAACTAAATTTGTTTGATTTTACTGTAGCAACTTATTTACAACAGAGTCCAAACATCTTTTGGGTTACCAGACAATTAGATGTCACTATAAAGAGCTCTGGCAGGGAGCCTCTTATCTTGTGCACAAAAATGAGCATCTCTGGGGTTTCAGCTGTTTATATAATAGTACACTGTATTTTTTCAATCTGAAATGAGGGCAACAGGGCTTGCAATTGCATGTGGGTAAAAGTATAATAACTAAGCCTGCAATTCACGAAAGAGGTCTCCACTGAACCGAATATAGCAGTATCATGCTTAGATGAAAAACAATGTAACATTTAAAGTAGAAATGAAACCTCACAGTTTTCAAGAAATCTAAGTCTGAAGATTTTAATGTTACCTCCTCTGAGAAAAATTTGTCAATTATTGCCAGAGCAGCTTTGTACACCTCAAAGTTTTGATGTGTCTGTAAACTCTCAATTCTTTGGACACCTGAAGAAAGTAAAAAAGGAACATCAGTCACTTTCTGAATCACTCCACATGTGAATTAGCTCAATTTCTTATTTTCAATGAAAAGAGACTTCGATCTTTAAAGAAAGAAGTCACTGAAATTCTTTAAGGCAAATTTTAGGCTGTTCTTCAAACTAAATTAAATTACAGGGTTATATTTTTTAAATAAATGGAACTTTGGCTTCATTTTGACATAATATTTTAATGCGTGCACACAACCATATTGTTTTGCATACCATCATGCTCTTCCATTTGGGTGCAGATCAGTTCAAGGATGGGAGCACTTTGACTAGCAGTCTGTGGGTAGAACATTTCACTCAGTTAAATTATGAAATAACAAAAATGCATTTACCCAACATCTACAACATGCTATGCCCAAAATTTTCAGGCTCAAACAAGTGAGCAGAAACAAATAATTTGTTCTATAGATCAGTGTATGCTTCTGTGGTTTGTCAATATCTAAAATATATCACAATTCTGCCACTGAGGGTAAAAATTAACTGCAATGTGTTTAACACAAAACACCATTTTACAGTGCCTTTCAGAATTGTTTGTACTATAAGGTTAAAGGCATGAACAGGTAGATACTCACTGAAAGAATGTTTCTGAATCCATCTAAAAGAACAAGGATTACCTAAAACACAAAGCCTGAGAGTCAGTCCACCAGAAGCAAAAATTCACAGAACAGAGCTCTCTGTAGAGCTGGCTGAGGTTTCAATCCTCACACAGTATTCATTCAGTTATTTTTCTCTCCTTTACTCTGCTTGCATGATATGTAGGTTCCACTTGTTCTGTGTATCAATTTATAATGTTATAGTGGGAACATTTATCATGTTCCATGGTATCAGTATTTAATTTAGTGTCTGACTGTACTTAGTGAGTTAGCCCAACCATTTCCAAGACAACTCTACATGCATCAGAAGCCACTAACTGTACTAGTCGTGTTCAGAAACCATCCTTGTCAGTCATGAACAATAATCATATGTCGTAATATTATCTGAATGGACTGCTCTCTAATCAGAAAGAAAGTCAACAAATAATAAAAAACATTCCAAATAAGCATATATTTGCTAAAACTCCCAACTGCCAGGAAGCAAATCAATTGGCTTTTAACACAGGGAAGCAGGAGTGGATCTCAGAGTAACCAATATACATATAACAGGTGGCAGGGTGTAGGACAACCAGGTTACAAGTCCAGCACACAATTACCTGATGACAAAGTGAAACCCACAACATTACCTTGGCATCCAAAAAATTCAAGAGACTACACATTGGCTCAATAACCCCATTTTCAACAAGGAAGGTTATCTATAAAAATAACCAAACAAAAATGTATCAATTTTGGGGTTAGAATGGTATGAGCAGAACTATTTACCTTTCATGAGCAAAAAAAAAGAAAAAAGGGAAACAAAACATAGTTAAGAAAATTAGACAGTTTCCCTACCACAGCAATCACAAGTCATCGAGTGTTGGCCCAAAACTTTCAAGAGAGTAAAATCCAAAACAGGTACTTATGTGAGAGCTACCTTGAATTAAAGAATTTCTTGGGAGATATAATTTCTTTCCTGCTTAATTGGTAATCAAGGCAAATAAATATTAAGACATTATACATGTTTCTCTTTACTGTGAGATGTTACATTCCTGTTCCACATTTTTCACCTGATAGACATGTAAAGCATTCTCTGTAAGAGCAAACAACACAGTACCTGGTCTATTGTGCTGGCTGATGTAAAGTTGGTGATGGCCCACACAGCCTCTTTCTGGCTCTTTAAGTCCTTTCCCTGGGATTAATGCAAATTTCAAAGGCAAGTCTGATCACAAGCCTAGTAACTCAACCTGCTACAGCACATTGGAATTTTATAAAGCTCTTTACATTCAAGGAGCACACTTATCAATGGTTTATAGCTTATTTGCAATTTAAGGCCAATATTGTAAGTCACAAACCTTTAGAACATCTATAATGGAAGGTACCAAGCCTGCATTAATTACAGCCTGAAAATATTGAAATAAATTGTCTGTTAACACTCACATGTTAATATTCAATAAACATTTTATCACCTTGATAGACTCTTCCAAGGAAGGGAAGGTGGGAGGGCTTAATTGCAATGGCTATCATGAAAAACAACTCTCTTTTGGTTGGTTTCTTAAACATCTTAGAAATATGTTTCATTAACTAATCTCTACACAATTTAAGTTTAGTTAAAACTGTAGTAAGCAAAAAGTCCTATACCATGCTACATAGTTTTACAATTAATTCACTTTATGCAGTCACAATCAGCAGATACTGAACATTTATTTGTACCTGAATTTGTTCTTTTGGACCAGCTGTAATGTTTGATATTGCCCAGGTTGCCTCCTGTTGGAAAAAATCATAAGCTGATGTGGAAATTTCAGATGAAATTTTCCCTATGAATAATATTCATGAAAAATGTTTTACTGACTGCACAATTAAAAAAAAGAGCAGAAAGGAGAACTTTTCTGGAATATTGCAAACTGAGCCAACATGACAATATTAAAAAGGGAAAAATCATCCCATTCAGCTATGATTGGGTGGATTACATTTTGACAACAAAAATCTGGGAAAAAACAGTCCAAGAAGGTTTTTTCCCCTTGGAACTTTTAAACAATAAGAATGATCATAGTTACCAACTACAATTACTGATTTATCACTAGATCTGCACTGACCTTAACAATGCTAGCCTTAGAGTGTGACAAAAGCTTCTTAAAGAAAAACAAGGCATTTTTCTCTATCACCAACTGAAATAAATTGATAAAAAGGTTGAGGACAAGGTTAGGCTTTGGCAATCTAACTACACTTCTCTCTTTTTAAATAGCTTGATAATTTTCTTATTTGTTAAGATATAATCTAGACTGTGTTTATGGCTTATACTAGCACTGAATAAATTTATTGTTCTCCTTACAAATGCATGATTGAAATTCAAATTGGATACATCAAATGAGACACTGTGCCATACTACATTTCCTTAATGACAAAAAACACTGTTGGGCAGATTGGACTCAATACTTATTTACCTTGTAAAATTTGAAACCCTCAAAAGTTAACATAACCTAAAGTAGCTGTTTCAAGTAGGTTATATTGTGTATATTCTTCAGTTAAATTCATTATTACACCCATTTTGAAATCACTGGTGGTCCCTGTAATCTGATTGGCTCAGATTGATGCGATTTATTCACGAATGGTGCCATTTTTTGCTTTAAATCGCATCTTTTTCCCAGCCAATGAGGAGGTTACACTAAAAACAAAACAACCAATCAGATTTCAAGGCTTGTTTAAAGTAACTGATCAAATTGCAGGAAAATGAAAGACAAAGAGTATCATGTGGCAAATTTTGCAACTTTTGTTTCGAAAACTCTTACTTTTTCCCTCCAAAAAATGGATGAATTTATCAGCTCAGTACTGCATCAATAAAATATTTGAACTTACCAAGTCCTGTATTTGGGTTATTTCTAAATGGATGTAATAAAGTGGTAATTGAACCTTGTGTTGTGCAATTTTGGTCTGAAATCATACTTGTGATTTCAAAACATGTGTACAACTTCAGCCCAAACTGCACTCCACTCAATTCAATTACCATTACTTAAATCTGTAAAAGCATCAAATCATGTCCAGTTTATATTGTGGTTTAACTTTTACTTTGGTCAGATTTTTTAAACCAATTTGTGTTCCTCTTCCTCTCTGCTTATGGTAATCATTCTGAGACAGAAGGAAACCATGCAACCTTTATGTTCAAACCAAGGAAAAATGTGAACCATAATTTTGGTGGACAATGACTTACTTGTGTCTGAATATCAGATCCTGTCACTATATTACCAACAGCTCTCAGGGCCGGTGTCTAGAAAGAACAGCAAGTTGTTACATGAATACTTGTATTTGTTACAGCAATACCAGTGAGTGACAACATGACAATGATTATTCTTTCTGGAAAGGTTTAGGGGGAGAACCGGTGGACACTAAATTTATAAGTACAGGCTCCTTGAAAAACTGACAAAAATGTAAAATGATATAGTATGGTACCCCATTATTTTTATGGGAAAAAAACTTACCACAACAGTTACTTCAGTGTGGCCCAACAAATTGATCAAGGACAGAAGAATTCCAGAATCAATTACAAGCTAATGCATGAAAACAAACAGTAACTCAATCAATGGTTAAAGATACATGGTACTAAGGACTATGTTTTTGGTTTACAGCCTTTCTTTTCAAAGGCACAACATATAAAGGTAAATATGTATGGTCAGCAGTTAGGTACAAGACTGAGCAAGACTCATGGCCTTAACACTTAACCAGTCAACCAAGCTGTAGTAGGAAAATGATAGACCAAGTTCACTGTCTTCTGGATCCACTGGTCTGTTACCAGATCAGGATCAAAGATTGTTCTTTTTCCTTTTTTTAAAGCTAGTTCTTGAGTATCAATCCCTATCTTAATCATGAGCACACATGTCCACATTCTTCTACAAGTAAAGCTCCTTTAGTCAGATCTTTCAAAAGTTGCTGAAGATATGGAGATTTCACATGAGTTTATCAAACCACATACAAGAAGTATACAAGAACATGTAAGCTTGTTTTCCACCTTTTTCTCTAATGTGGTCTTCTATCCTCCTGTGGAGGAGAAAGGGAAGAGAGTGCACTCATTTCCCAAAACAGGCCCAGGGCTGGGTAACCAAGCCTAAAACACATGTTGCTTACTTGTATTCTATCATTTGTTCCATCAGTCAAGTATGACAAACCCCAACAAGTGTCAGAGAGAATCTGAAAAAAAAAAAAGAGAAAATTTTAATTAAATTAGACAACAACAAAAAAAGAATTAATAAGTAGTATAGGTAACATGAGAAAGAATGCCAACATTCATACACAAAGAATTTTATTTTTTGTGAGGTGAAAAGTAAAAACTTCACATGTAAATGCAAAAATTACCATTGATGATATTTTTTAAGTTCCCAAAATGATGGTGGCTTTCAGTTCATATGAATGAACTTCAGGATAGACTAAGTTTTACCTCTTTGTCTGTATGATTGATCAACAGTACCAAGGCTGGAAGGATCTGAAATAAAAATATTTCAGCTATTAGGAAACTGGGTAATCAATTGAAGCAGCTTTAATAGGAGTATGGGCTGGTAAATAATAGATATTGAAAAAAAAACTACAAGGAAAATTAAGTCAAATTTTGAAGCATTCAGTTTTTCAGTGAAGCTCAAGTGTTAACATATAACCCATGCTTATGAATAATTTTAGCTATAATTAAGTTTGTTATACAGGACAAATATTCTCCATGTTTGAGACTCAAGTCATCCAAGTTCTGTGTAGTAACCAGAGACTTCTCCAAACAGGGATTAACTCATTGACAGCTAATTCATGATCAAACCCCCAATATATTCTTAGTCTGAATATCCACCCAAGGAAAAATAGCAGTAAATACTATTTTCAAAACTTTTGCCAATTTATTAAGGATTCTTATGCCTCTTATTCAGTTCAGTTTTCCTCACCTCAATAACTGCTGCTATCTCAGGAGGTGGGTTCTTATTTCGGCACAGATTTGACAGTGTCCATGTTACATTACGAAGAAATGGAAGCTGTAAAGCATAGATCAGAAAAAAAATAAAATTAATCATATACAACAATTACAAATAAGCTTACAGTAAAAAGTGTGAAGTCTCAGCTTCACACTACATGTATGTTAGAGTCTGCACTGTTCAAAAAAATGTCACATTTCATAAAAATCACACTAAGGTTCAATAATTATGTGTAGGGTGAATGTTAAAGGATCAAAGCATTGCCTTACATTTTGGTTTGGTTTGATTAATTCCAGTAGAGGTCTTAAAGCACCATGGCCCAAAACAAAATTCCTAAGATTTGGACCATCACCTGAAAGACAACAAAACAAAAATTGTTAATCCAACTGAATCAGAACACGTCAAATGATGCTTCATCAACAGTGCTCTGTAGAAATGATCACAGGGATAATGTTGACTATCTGAGGGACTGACTGGCCAAGTGACTGACTGATTGATTAACCAACAGCCTAACCATAAGGTTTAGGACTGCTGACTGCTTGTTGGAAAGACAGATGGACTGAATAACTGTCTGTCTCACTGCTTTTATCTTTAATACAAGGGGAGAATTCACTCTCCTACTAGGTTTGCCTTTTTCATCAATTACATCAAGCAATCTATCTGATTGATGTGTGAACACTGGATTTATTTTTAGAAAATTATTGTGTTGAGAAGAAAAAAACCAACCAGGTGAGTAATGAGATGCAGAATACGTAGTCATGCTAATTGGTTTGTGCTTTTCTACTTAGATTCTGTGATCTGTTCTCCAATGTGATTGATTATAACACAATAACTATGTTTTCTGAGTTTGATTTTTAATGGATCAAGGTCAAACTAAAGTTTAAAATAATGTTTTTATGGAAAGAGGAGAACCAGAGAACTTGGAGAAAAAGACTTGAAGCAAGGACCAGAACCCAACCACAAACTCTGAATCCATGTTTAGTACCAAGTTTAAGAACTGCACTTGGTTACACAGGTAGGTAAAGCTTGTTACTCTGGATATAATATCATTCTTCTATACATTTTCTCACTGAAAGTCTATCTATGAGTAACTGCATTGTATAACTCACTTTCCATGTGTTATAGAACACAAGGAGGTACTGTATATTTAGCTGCACAGGATTGATTGACAATACCTGCTATATTTCCCAGAGCCCACACAGCCTGTTCTTGAACTTGAGACTCAGGTGATGACAGTAGCCTGACAAATCTGGGCACAGCACCTTCAGATGTGAAAAAAAAATTAAGGTATTAATGAACTTTTAAGTTAGAAGCATTATTTGTATCTTCATTGATCAAAGTTAAACAGTTTATGGGATAAATAGTCAAATGTAGCAAATCATGTGGTATAAATCGTGCTCAAATTAAGTCATAGCACTACTTGAATTGTCTCCAACTTAAAACTGGTATTTAAAAATTATTTAAAAAGTGTTTAAAAAGACCCCATCTCTTTGATTAGTCAAGTTTTACCTTCATACAACCACCCTCAACATTATTAACACCAAAGCACTCTATAATATTTTAAATTCTGTCAATAATTGCCTCACCAATCCTTTAAGAGGAAAAAAAATTGTCTGTCAGCATTATTAATACCTGCTATCATCACTGTCATCCAAACTAAGAATCTTTTTTTTAGTTTTTCTGCTTAGTACGGATTCATGATTCAGATTGTTCCTAAAGACAGTTACTCTTCTCACTCTCAATGATCAGTGTTTGTCTGGTAATCCCTTCCGCACCATCTCAAGGATTACAATAGAAATTTGCCTCACATTTTGCAACTAGCAGCAATTAGTTAAATGATGAAACAGAAAAAGGTGACCAACCTGATTCCACCACAACTTTTGTCTCATCACAGGAGCCTGAAGCAATGTTTGTGAGCACCCAAGCAGCTTCAAATTGAATGGAAGGACTACAGGAAAACATACATTGAAAAAAAAATCCTCATACAATTCCTGCCTAATCCTTATTGATAGCATCTCTCTCAAAAAAAAAAAAGAAAGAAAGAAAAAAAAAAGCAAAAAACACTTCCTTAAAAGAGGATGGGTAGCACAACTAATTATTCATGTAAGCTTGTCAACATACTTGTCAAATCTCTCCAAGAGAGTCACAAATTTTGGGATTAGTCCAGAGCTGAAACAAAATAATATGGCTATAAATAAACACTACTGGTCAAGTAATGGAAAAGATAGTGCACTACAGAGATGAATTGTTGAAATATGTTAATCACATTATTAATTGTACCATATTAGGGCCACTGTAGAGAAATAAATATGGTGTGAGTTTAAAACAGATTGAAAAACAATATGTTCATACAAGGCAGGGTTCTCAGTTGAACCCGTAACCCGTAACCCGTAACACCTGTCACGGGTGTCACAGGTAAGTGTTACGGCTGTCAAAGTGCTTCAACCAGTAGATCAATTCGTCTATCAAATGCAAATAAAAGAACGGCTTTTTGAGTAAATTGCTGGGTAAACTATTGACTGTTAGTTGCTTTCGCAATGTACCTTTCTTCGGTTTTAGTTGTCAAAGTGAATAGCCTTTTTGCAGACCATAGAATAACCGAACAATCGCTTCACGTCTCCGCAACGTTGAATATGGCCGCCATATTGAATTTGTAAATTTGAACCCAGGCCTCTCGCAGATGTCGTCTTTCCACGTGCAAAAACATGGCCGATTCATTCATTAACAAATATTTGCGCTATCTTATACTCTTTCTCATTTAGATATATAGCAGTTACTGGGTCAGTGTGGCCTTGAGAATTAGTTTTTGTAAGTGGGTGCCCCCATTTGGAGAGGACTGGTTACCTAATAATTATTTTTGTATAAAATGAATGCCATTAACTCAGAAAGCAAAGCATTGTCATTGCAGGTTAATATTTCATTGAATATTGCAGTGTAGTTTTCAGTTTGATAAGAGATAATTTCAACTTTCCGTAGTTCAAAGCCACTGAACAGATTACAAAATGTACTTAAACTTGTTTGGAGAAAATGAGAAAATATGCCCCCAAAATGAAGGAAAAAGCATTTCTGAGCATCTTAAATAAAAAATTTCCCGGGGGAGCATGCCCCCGGACCCCCCTAGCAGCTTGGGCCCTACGGGCCCAAGTTACACGCCCAAAGGGCGTGTATATTAGGGTTACGCCTGTAACTACCAAAGCAACGGCTGTACAAAATTCTACAGAGAACCCTGCAAGGTAATCAAATCAGATTGCTATTGAGAGAGTCTACAGTGGTGAAGGTGGCCTCAGGACCACAAGAGAACACTACACCCTTGAACAAGGCACATGACTTCCACATGATGAAAACATCAAGATGTTTGCTACTGTTTCTTGCTATTATCTACTCTTTAATATCTACTCTTTAATTACAACTTACTCAATGAAATCTTTGATTGGAGGGTTTTTGTGTTTTGATAGCATCTTCCTGAACAAAAGAAACAACAAGCATAATAATCAACAAAATAAGAGTTTTCCTTCAGTTGAGAGGTAAGAAGTAAATGCAATGGGGATACAACTGGCTCCCAGTTTCAACAGTTGATATAGATCATGATAATAAAGAGATTGTCCAGAAGCTAATTCACAAACAAAAATGCAAGGCAACCACAATTAGGAAACTTTAAAAGTTTCATCACCTGGAGATTTGAGCAGCTTCAAATATGGCTTTATCCTCATTCGAGTGGAGATACTGAAACAAAATCACTTTGAGTTATATAATACAATTTTCAATTTGTCTTAGTTTTACAGATACCATGTAACTGAACTGAAGTTGAGAGTAAGAAAGCTGAAAAAAACTCCAAACAACTGTAAGAATGATTTTAAAACTGAAGTCACCTGTGGTCTTCTATATATAGAGGTAGGATATGATGAGGCTTACAGTATATGCACCTCTCTTCACCATGGTTTTGTTGAAAAAATGTAATTGCAGAGGGATAGTGTCGAGAAACTAGAGACTATTTTTGGAGTCTGAATAAAAGCACTATTCTTATTGCCTGAAAACTTGTAATTACAGAACCGTTGAGGAAAAATTATGTATTGGTTGCTTTTTGGAGTGAAATGGTTCACAAGATGAGCTTTCGCATTAGTGGGATCTAAGTAACTCTGATTAACCCCTTTTTAAGCCATTTCTGATAACATACATACCTCTGTAATGGTGGAAAGCGGCAGATGAGTACAAGTCTGTTGATGTAAAAATATATAGTGGCTGTTGCTTGATAATTTTTGTTTTACTTTTGCAAATGTCATTTAGTCTACTTTGAATCATTTCAAATGCAGATAGGAAACTATGCAGGAGACCCAAGGAAACACAACTATCTAGAATTGATGTAACCATGCATAGAACAGGCAAATTACCGGTAAATGACAGAAGGCAACAAAGACTTGAAATTCTTATAAACTTAGATCTATAGATATAATAAGCATAGTGGATCAGTGAAAAAAAGACAAAAACAAAACAAAAAAAACCCCAAAATTTAAACAAGTTCTTAATCTCACTAACAATAACAGTTCCAGATGACTAACAACCCTATTATCACTATTTTTGCAATTCTCTAGCACAGTAGCATAGTACCAAGTGCTTAAGTGCTTTGGTCAATTAGTGGAGTTAGCACTATATAAATTATGTTAAATTAAATTAATTAATTACCAACTCAGAAAGTAATATAATGATGTCAAATTTTCTACAGTTTAAAGTTACATAGAGGGTTACTGCATGGTAGGCCATTCATAAATTGGATATATTGGCTGAGCTAGAAAATAAATAACATTTCATGCATTAACCATTAAATCAGTTGCAGAGTTTTCCACCTGATAAAAGAAGGAGTAAATTCTTATGGCATATTATTTTGGTGGATTTTCTCTGTTAGAGCAATTTTTTTTAGATTAACAACAATCCAAAAGCTTTTAAAACTGCAATTTTTTTCTTTCTACACAATTGCTGCATAAGTTATTTTAAAATAGCTTTTGGATGTAAAAAGTACTTAAATGAATACAAAACTTCACACCTGCTGACCATTACTTTCTTTCAATGGACTGTCACTTTGACCTTGAGAGATGTTGCGTCTTTTAAGAATCTGGTCATCCCTCTTACTCTGAGAAATATTAACAACAGCTACTTATTTCAATCTTTTTGTTTTAAATGGTGAACTGGCACTTGGCAATATCTTAAGAAAAAGACTGACCAGTTTACCACCCAATCCAGTGGTCTGAACCTCAAGATAAATAGGGGGGAAAAGTTTCTGGAGAAACGGTGATGCTGTGTCGCTAGGGGGTATTAGAGATAATTTGGTTTTATCAAGTGAAATTATAAAGAAAATTGCCACCGTAAAGAGTTTTTAAAGCTTCAAGTTTAGAACATTGGCCCTTTGTCAAATTAACTGAATTTCAGGATGTCAGGCAGTAAATGAATGCATTCATAATTGACAGAAATAATACTGCTCTAATGCAGCATAGTAAAAGATTGATCTTTGCTATAAGAGATCGTAAACTAAGTCCCTCTCCTCTACAACATTTAATGCAGTTAAAGATATGCATCATAATTATAAATTCCCAGGTCTGGAAAAAGGAACTGGTTACCTTCCGTAACTCAATCGTAACATCAGTACGCCTACGTCGTAGTTCCTGCAAACCAACCGTCAGATATTAGGTTACGATGTATTGAATACGACTGCCCTGATTGCTGTGCATGATCCAAGCGTAAACGAATGGTCACTAAGAACTAGGAAAACTAGGGAGTCTCTTAGAGATACTCTGGTCGTAAATTGATGACTTCTACATGAAACAAACCACCATACCCAGGTTTATAAATAAAGTATTATTCCGGTTCGGCTTGTTAAGATCTATTTTAACATTTATTTCACAAAGTTAGCAGGCGCTTGATGTCGAAGGCTTCGAGACACGGAAAACTACAAGTTGTTTATGAGCCCGTCTTAAAGTTATTCTCGAGTACATGACGATCAAATAAGGCTGCTAATGCCACAAGCGAAACGCGAATTTGAGGGGCGAATCAGAAGTACGTTGAGAAAGCTTCCACGAGCTTGAGATTGGCAATGTACTGTACAGTAGTTCCAAGTTTTCTTTAAACGAAATTGAGACACCATGTCGATTTTTCAATTTCCAGAACAACACTCTCTCCATAAGCTTTTATACTTGTAAGAAAAACCCCTGAAACTTGAGTTTCATCAGTCCACTGATGTTAAGCACATAAAATACAAGCTTGTGGACATCTGCACTAAAGAGAGATAGCGAATCATTTAACGCTGTGTGGATCGTGGATTTGAAAGGATTCAAGTACATTTCAGCCATCCCCATAGCAATCAACTGAATATTGCACCAATTTCCCTACTCCAATAGAATAAATAGGTCAGTAGGCTGCATTATTGGGAATAATACATGAATAACCACAAAACCATACACCATACCTCTGTTCAAATTATCCTAAATTATTCCATATTCGATTGAGCTCGATTAGCTTCGCGTTTTGTCACTTTCACAACTGCCAAAAAAAATTCGATTCGTCAACAATATTATCAGCAAACTTACACCAGTATCCTTTCCTTTGTTCTTGAAATTTCGAAGACGGTTTTCTGACATGTTTCTTTAAGGAAAATGGACCTTTTCGGAAGATCAATCAGCAAAAGGAATCCCTTGAAAACGCGAACACACGATGGACGGGGAGCACTTTGTACTTTTAAAATCTGTACATTTACCGCAAGTTCCTCTTATGATTGGCTGAATTATTCCTACCCAATCGAATTTATTCACTTCCAACGGATCTGTACTGTTATTGGTTCATGTCTAAATGTCATTTATTCGAGAAAGGGACTGGCACCTAAGAAAATGCTCTCCTTTCCCGAAGAGGGAGGGGTGGGATAGCAAAAATGGCTATTTCACTTCGTATTTAATTTACTTAGAATAACGAGAGTGAAAGCATGCGACACTTTCCGCGTGACTGTCTCGACTTTTTGTAGTTGGAAGCCGTCAAAAGATTAAGACCAAGAGAATGACAGAGAACATAAAAAAATTTTTATTGATGCACTTGCACAGCTGATCAATATTTTGCTTCAACACCTATCTTCAGTAGAGTGAATGATTAGCAAGTAATAAGATTAGCCATTCACAAAAAAAAATAAAAAATTGAAAAAAAAACTAAATGAATGAAAAATAAAAAGAAACATAGACCAAATTCTTAAGAGAGGATGTCATCATCCATCGAACAAATTTGAAATATTTTGGCACGTCACCCAAAATTCGTTTTCCGTCCTACTTTCATATTTTATAGCCCAATATGTCCTTAAAATTAAGGTATAGTTTTAAATGTGAAAATATATTTCAGTTTTCGAGAATTTTTTTTTTTCGTTCGACCGCTCAAATATGCAAATTTTCACCCTGAATATTACCCGAGTTGTGTGACCTTATATAACGAATTTACTTGACCTCCGGTATTTCTGTCAACATAAGCCTTTGTTATATAATCTAAACTTAACACCCTGTCATTATTGAAGCTGACAAAGAAATATTTATTTTTTGGTGAATATTTTTGTCCGACATACTTTTGCTATGTCGAAAAGTAGCATCAAAACAAAGACAGTTTTAACAATGACCGACATGACAGAATCTACTGAACTTCTAGCCTTAAAAAGACAAAAGGATGGTTATAAAGTTACTGTAAAAACTTCCTTGTGTATTAGTGTTGTTCTATCGTGAGACGAACTCAAAGTCCAGCAAAATTTACTTGCTAGCGACTATGAAATATGCATGGTGGCCTACTTGTCGCCACCGTTTACTAGCATAAATCACCACAATTTGTTTAAAAAAATCTAACGTAACACTCTTACCTTGTTTAATTATGATTTTATTAGCTGTTTCGATGATCAAGTTATGCTCTACCACATTTTAGCCAGATTTGAGTTCCAGTTTATAAATCTTCTCCACATTGTTATATCAGTTGCATGACAAGCGTGACACATATAAATTCAAAGATGACTCAACTTCCGAATTACTAAGAGATGGGGTTTTTTTCCTCTTTACATGTCTAGAAAAACCTTCCAAGAATTACTGTATTTTGAAAATTAAAATGTCCAGATCCATCTTTGCCGGCGGAAGTCAAAGAATGTTTACAAAAGTCAATTCAATTGACAAGCTACATACCAATTTAGCTAATTGATCTGTTGTTTAAGCGTCTCGTCTTACATGCCAACATGGAGATTTGCTGTTCATTTAAATCGTTCGCTATGGAGAAGCCCGACGTTGCATATCTCAGGTCGTTCCTTGCATAACTGTAAAAAAGACATTTCAAGTCACTTGCGGAGTTGCAAGTTTTCAGGTCCAGAAAGTGAAGTTGATCTTATTTTGTCGCGTGCCGGTGTCACAGCGGATTTGGACCCCCCGGACCAAATCCGCTAGCGGATATGGACCCCCCTTCGCAGATTTGGACCCCCCTACCAAACTTTCCTTTTAAGCAGCCTTTGTATCATATTTGGTAACTAATTCCATTTGCAAGCTTTTTGTCGATGTTATTTTCAATCACAACACAACATTCCTCAATAAAGGTTAAAGAGAAAACCAGCCATTTCGTTCCAATTCTACCGCATTATTATAGCGAGTCGTACAGTATACGTAAGAATCAGATGTGAACAAACTACTGCATTTGAACTATTGAAATTGTTACGATAAATCTTTACTTCTTCTGATGCGAATCAATATTGATACGAAACGTCATAACAATAGTGGAGACTATTGCGTCCAGTCACAAAAATAACTCAGTCTGATTTTCTAAAATAATAACATTAAACAGTTTCTGAACAAGAACGAAGAAACTACTCCTACTACAAGTCGTTCGTAAAGCCTATGATAAGTAAAAATGTTTCTATTCTGAACTATTGGAACTCTCAGCTTATTTTCAGATGCAAATCAACATTAATCAACATTAATGTCAATGTCTTAACAAAAGTGGAGGCTATTACATCGAACTCAATCTTGTTTTCTAATTTTAACGATTATTAACTGTTGAGGGATCCGAAATAACACCTTAACAATTACGAAGACGTCTAGAGTCTGGCGATCTGCAGACAATGCAGAGCCACTCGCCCTCCGGGGTAGTCTTAAATCATGTGAAACCATTCCTCGCACAACTCGCACCGTACCATGTCGTCCCAGCACTCGGGCATTGAACAATGACAAAATAGATTAGTGTCACAAGTTTGTCTCCTATTGAATCTAGTGGTGTTCGACTATCGCGGAAAAGGTTCAAAAACGACCTCTCTCCAGACATCAAACTAAAATCTTGCCCATTTTCCCTTGGTCAAAAGAAACATCCGACGGGATGCCAGTTCGTATGCATTAACGATACGTATGTTTTGAATGAAAAACATACTTTAGTACGCACTGGAACAAAAAGTATCATCCATTTTTACTGGAACGTTAAGGACGATGTTTTCACTCAGTTTTGTTAGGGGGTCCAAATCCGCGGAGGGGGTCCAAATCCGCTAGCGTATTTGGACCGGGGGGGTCCTTATCCGCTAGCGGAATAAGCGTTCGTTCCGGAATGAAAACCTCAATAAACTCATTCTGAAATGACTCGTTTCGAATAGTTTCACTCTGGTATCGTGTGGCAACTGGGATGAACTCGATCTTGAATAAAACTCATTCCGATATCATGTAAAAGGCCTCTAAGAGTTTATTCCCAGAGCATCACGCTTTGCTCTCCTATCAGAATACTATAAATTTCAATAGCATAAAAGCAACAACCCGTTTTTAACTGCTCCGCTGCCACTGAAACAACGATGAGTGACCGCAAAAAGTACATATTATAATATTGTCAATTCAACACAAACAAAAATCTTCATACAGGGTAAATATCCATTTGTGTTGGTATCAACTATTACGTGACTAGCTTATGATAAAAGTGGGGTAGGGGAAAACACAACGTAAAACCTGGGATCCTGGCAAAAAGTAATAACCAAGCGTAATATAATAATCGAAACAGCTTATAAAATCATAAATAAACAAGGTGAGAGTGTTATGTTAGATTTTTTTACAAAAAAGTAAACGGTGGCGACAAGTAGGCACACAAGTAAATTTTGTCGGACTTTGAGTTCGTCTCACGATAGAACAGCACAAATACACAAGGAAATTTTTACATTAACTTTATAACCATCCTTTTATCTTTTAAAAGCAAGAAGCTTAGTAGATTCTGACATATCGGTCATTGTTAAAACTGTTTTATTTTGATGCTACTTTTCGACATAGCAAAAGTATGTCGGACAAAAATATTCACCAAAAAATAAATATTTCTTTACCAGCTTCAATAATGACAGGGTGTTAAGTTTAGATTACAAAACAAAGGATTATGTTGACAGAAATACCGGAGGTCAAGTAAATTCGTTACATGAGGTCACACAACTCTGGTAATATTCACGGTGAATAATTTCTCGAAAGCTAAACTATATTTTCACAAAAAAAACTACATCACAATTATTAGGACATATTGGGCTACAAAATATGAAAGTAAGAGTGAAAGCAAATTTTGGGTGACTTGCCGCTGTTTGTCTGATGCATGTTGACATTGGCTCTTAAGACGCGGGACTGAAAATGACACAAGCTGGTAAAACACCTCAGGCTGTTGAGTACGAAATCAGGCGTAATAATTAGTTGAGCGACATGATGTTGAACAAGCATGTTTACCAGTAAAATCCCACGATCAAATAGCTTCCAGTATTTGGTGTTTGTTTAGCCATTCCATGTTGTGGGCAAAACACGAGATGTTGAACTAAACAGTTGGCTGGATGAAACATTCACAAAATCAGAATTTTTTCACTTGGAGGTGACGTGACATAGTCTATTCGTTAAATCTACCATCAATCCCAAAAGTTGATATCCCCGTCTGCGTTAATTAAACATGACACGAGTATTTCGAGTAACATATGAGCAACATACGGATGTATCGGAGTTCATAAGAGTAACATGTGGAGACATACAAGTAATTACAAGTACCATACGAGCAACGATCTGATACATTCGAGGACAAACGAGTAACGAGCGGATAAATAAGAGTACCTAAGAGTAACATACCAGAAACGAACGGATACATTCGACTGTATACGAGTAACATGCGATGCTTACGAGTATATACGAGTTACATACGGATGTATACGACTACATATATATAAACGAGTACATATACATACATAAATGATAACACTTGGATATTCATGGAATCTTCCTTTTCCGTTTCTTTTATGATATTCGAAGCCATAAGCTGGGTAAGGATCATCAGTGTAAGAGGCATGACTACTAAAAACAATAATACAATTAAATGGTAGCTTTCTTGCATAATTACCGACGCGCATAATCATATGTATCCGTATCCTAATCTTATCATTCTAGGGATGCATGTTCACTCCTAAACTGATGAAAAGTCTATTCAAATATCTAACACGGTTCGAAAGTGCATTTCATGCGGCAACCCCACGATGAGCAAAACGAATCTTGGCAAAACTTTTATTTTTGAGATATCGTGTGACCTAATTGAGAAGCATGTCTCAGAAGAATGAAAAGGCGTTGTAAATTTTTATGGAAAACTAAGGTCCGTAAGGGGTCGAATACTTCCTTTAAGACAATTTTTGGAATTTTACAGCAGTCTACTATAGGTTTTCACAGTATATCAAATTTCAGTAAGAATGACCAAGACTTAAAGCACTCTCTTTGTAAATTGAAAAGACAGTGGCCAATCAGCAAGATCAGTAAGATTCTTAGGGACAAGCCATTACCCACTACGGAAAGGGGTGGTAAACATAAGAAAAAAGAGGGGCACATAAATTTCATTAACTTTTAAATACTGTGGAGCTTACAGCTTTGTTTATTAGCATGCTCAGGATAAAAAAATGTGCTTGTTAAATTGTTAGAGAGGAATAATACAAATTTTAAACGACCTTCTTTAGTTACTATTTTATTTGCACAGCCCTCCGCCTTTACATAGAAGAACACCCTTAGCTAAGCGATTCGTAGTTTTTTCCTACGACAAATAGCATACCTATTTTGATGTACAAGTATAAAAGCTGCACTGGTTTTCGATTTTCCTGTTTTGAAGAGGAGGGGTGGCCGGTGGGGGCGGAAGGTCGTCCACCTCCAAACACACACTGCTACACGACAGTAAGCTGGGAACCAGGAAGGGTTTTGAGATTAAATGCCCTTAACCGCTGACATACCACCGGAGATCATCACGTGATCGGAATAAATAACATAAGATGGTGGGGGAAGAACAAGATGTTTAATTTGCGCAGTTATTAACGCGACAATCCTTCAACTTTGTTGTCTTTGAAACAGGGTTATGGAATAGCATTCTGTGTTTGGGAACATGTCTGTGGAAAACACGTACTCTCCTCCGCCGGGTCTCGGCGAAGAGATGGGACCGATCATCGGAGCATTAAAAGAGGGTAGCGCCATGACAAGATACTACTCTAAAAGGCAAACACCGGATTTGAGGATTTTCATGTTGAAGATGGAAGAGTTTCAAGTTGTTTGGTGCAGAACTGGAAAAGAAGGAGGCAGACTTGAGGGCTCAGGTGATGATCGCGCTTAAACTGTCTGTCTATTTCACTGTTTTGATTCGCTGAGCATTTCACGGCACTTCAAAACTGTTACTGCTCAGTTTTCAGTGTGATCGTGTGTTCATTCATTCTGTTGTTGTTTGCAGTTTTTATTCGAGAGATTAAAGAAGTTCGAAGAGGGTTAGGGTCCAAAGACTTCGACAGAAATCCCGAATTAGCTCGTAGACTCGATCCAAACTGTTGCCTCGCCATCTTCTATGGCAGTGAATTCAAGCTGAAAACGTTAAGTTTAGTAGGTAAGGTTATTTTTACATTTTAGCAGATCGTTTGCACACAGAATCTTGAATTTCAGATTAGATCCGCCTATATGCTGTATCCTCTTTCCAAGTAATGCCGTGTCTTTAATTCTAGCGCCTAGCTTTAAAGAACGAGAATACTGGGTTAGGGGACTCGTGTATTTGATGTACGAAAGTCTGATAGCGACACAAGAAGTGCTCATCCACAGGTAGGCTGTCTTTCCGTTCGAAAATAACATGACACTTTTTGTAATGATACCAAGGGTGACTATCTGACAAATGTGCAACGACAAGAATTGATTAAAATTTATGTGCAGTCTGTCCTGCTGATATGTGTACATGATTGAAATCAAGGGTAAAAATACAAAATATTTCACTTCCTAGGAGACATCCTTTTAGTTATGAAAATTTATCTTCGGGAGCTTTATGTCAGAGTGTTTTTCATTTGAGCAGGATATCGTTGTAGAACAAACAGTGTTTCGCTGCGGCGTTTTTGTTATGTAAACTTGAAACCTTTTTGAGGAATTTAGTGCGAGAGTTAGAAAGTGATGGTATTTTGTTCCTGTTTTCCAGATGGTTGTTGAGAGAATGGAATGGTATGGCTGCATTGTCATCTGCACCAAAAAGATCGTAAGTCAGGCAGCTTCTTCCCTAAGCGTAATAATTGTGATGCTAGACACAATTCTAGAGTAAAGAGCATTAGTATCTAATGGTGATTTTTTGACAGCCCATATTTTTGAGCACATAAACTTTGATCACTGCCCATCTGGAGACTTCATGACACTTTGTTTTTTTCCCTTTCTTTTCTAAACAATATGAGTGCGTTATTTATACCCAGTGGAATATTTTTTTAAATTTAAATGCTTGACCTGCATTGTATTAGCCACCTCAATTAGCAATTATTTTTTTCGCTACAAACATATCTGAGGGGTATTATGATTTTATGCTGAGTTTCTGACAATTAATCACGAGAAAAATGTCCCTTCCAGAAAACAGCATTGTTGACATGTTAATAGCACCCACCTATCTTTTTCCAGTACTATATTTAGTAAACTTTCAGTTGTCAGGTTAAATTCATGTTTGCATGCAAAAAGTTCAGATTGTAGAATGAAATTACTAGTATCAAGGAGGTAACCTTTTCATGGCAAGCCAGATTTTGATTTTATTGTTTGCTGCTATTTGCCAGATACCCTTATTAAAACTCTTATTTGTTGTGAAAAATTATTTCGACTAATTTTAACCAAATATACTGTGTACAAATGAAACTAAACTTAGAGTCAACAAGAACATGGATCTACAGCCTATGATATTTCAAACAGACCTCTGTCTTAGGGTTTTCTCTGGGGTTGTTACTTTACAGAGGTCAATATTGACTTTATATTTCAACTTACACTTAAACACATGGTATTTGCACAAAATAATAAGATTAATTCTAAGTGAAGGAATTGTTTTTATTAAAAAACTCTGTGGATCAGTTTCCTCCACACAACCTCTTTCCAGCTGTTTTCGGCGAAATCCTAGGGATCTTCTCCGTTTGTTTGTTTGTTTGTTTGTTTTTTTTTTTGACTTAGAAAGATACCACTTGAAGTACATTGAAGTCAATGTCTGTGGTGAACAATGGTCAATGGACCATCCCTGTCAAAAAGTTTTTTTTACCTCAACATCAGGATATTCTGTGATGAGATTTTACCTTGACTTCCTCTTTTTCAAGCACAAAAAAAAAATCCGTAGAGTAAGTGGTACTGAATTATATTATAAAGAGACTTATTTTGGGGTGAGGTGTGAATGGTCTTTGATGCAGTGTTTGCACTACAAATTCTATCATGTGGCTTTATGTTGTATAATTTTACCTGTATTTGTTTTATAAATCTCACATTGGCAGCATTAATGAAACAGGAAATCCATCTGCAGTATTGTAAGTTACTGATTGCTCTTCTCCTTCTTCTTCTGCTTCTTCTGCTTCTTCTGCACACTGATTTGGTTAAAAATTACCAGAGTAAAAGTATTCCTGTCAGGCTATTGATTTTTATTGTGCAATGTAAATAGCTGTTTCACTTTCAATTTTTTACCAAGACAGTAGTTGACAATTCAAATTTTAATTTATCGAAATTATTATGTAATAGTATTGATTAAGATACCTCAAATAAAAAAAATTTAAAAAACTTAATTTAGTCCTAAATGTTTCCATTTTATAGCTGGTAGTGTGTCTACTGGTAAATACACAAATGTTTTACAGCATCCTTTTCTTGCATTGTGCTACTTGTTTCATTCTTTTTTTCATTTTCAATGTTGATTGTGGCTATTTGAAATGAAATTTGTAAATTTGGTTGACTCTGTGATCCTGATTTAAAAATTTCTTTAATTTTCATGGTATAATGATAAGTTTATAAAGGTTTTTATACTAAATAAACTGTCAATACTGTATCATTATACATTATAGAATCATAGTGACTAACTGAAAGAAGCAATTGAGAAGTGTCTAATAACAAAACTTCAAGATAGCTCATGAGTTATTTTAAAGCAGGAAATTAGGGATGTTATTCAAGTGACTTATAACCCTTAACTTGTTTCATTTGAAGATTTCCACCAAGGTTGCTGATATATGAGTGCATTTTAATATAGCAAATTGAATGCTATATTAAAGTAACAAGCCTTTTGTAGTGTGTGATTCAGTTTCTTTTCCAAGAGGAACTGTTCTCATGGAAAAGTTGTGGTTACAATCATGTTCTGTGGGCATCAGAGTAGTCATAGTTAACAGTCTTACTGCACTATGATTTTTTAAAGTTCATCAGTATCTTGCACAAGTTTTGTTACTCTAAAGGTAAAAGAGTGTCAGATACAGACTTAGTCAAATGAATTGTTTTTTATTCACAACTTAGAAGATCTATGGACAAGTGAGATGATCAATTTGAAATTTGTTCTGTGTACCATGTTAGTTTGGTACAATCATGAATTTTCCATCTGTTTTCTTCTTTATCAATATTTTTACATCTCATTATGTTGCAATTTTTTTCACAGAGAAAACTTCCTCCAGTGGTACTCTTGGTACTGTAATGTGTCTTATTTAAAATTGATTTATTTATTTATTTATCTTTTTGTGTGTGTTAAAATAGCAGTTACAGTCCTCTTTGTTACATCTAGATAGAATTAGATGATTTTGTTCATGCCATTCACTAGAATCTTTTCTTGGTGTACTATTTCAGCAATTTGATTGTTTGTTGACACAGATGTAATTTTTTACTGGGAAGAATTGTTGTCACATGTTGATTTAATTCCATCACTGAATTAGCTATTAATCTTCAATCAAATGTGTTTTTCACATTTTCATGAACTATCAATTTACAAAGTACATCTTCACTTCTATTCACAACCACATACAGTATATAGAAAGTTACTGTAAGTAAAGTCAAATTCATGAATGTTTTAAAGTTGTGAGTGTTTGTCTGTGTAAGGAACCACTCGTTACTTTGGTGGTACATAAATTAATGTTGTGTTTTTCTTGCTTTATACTTAAAAGCTGATAAATTTACTTGTATGTCAGATTTATTTTCATTATTTTGTAATATAATTTTGAAACTTGCACAACATTTTGCACTTGATTAGCAATTTCTTAGATCTTCACAAATTGCATTAAAATTTTGGTATCTTTGAAAAAACAAGCAAACAAATCTGTTCTATGCAGTGTTTTTTGTATGAATGGTGCTTTTGCCAAAGATTTTTTAAATTACAAATTATTTGTGGGAGGCGGGTGCTCCAAGTCAGTTACATGGTGGTTACATCCGCAAACTTTCTTAAAAACCAATTAATGTCATTAAACTGTCTTGGTCAGAAAATATTGGGAATTACTATACCCTCTAGAGATCTCAGCTATAGTTTTTCTCAATATGGACCTTTAGCCCATCAGTAAAAATACCTATTTATTGTTTTATGGAAGTTAGAAGAGTCACTTTTTAATTCAACATTGTTATGCATTTATTTCTCAGTGGTCAAAGTTTCTAAAATGTTACTTTAATTTAGAGTTTACATGTAGTTTCCATGAGATAACAGGTTTCTATTTGTTAAAAGGACTGACTGTTTTTAATTATTGAGTAGTATTTTAATGTTTGACTTTAATTTTAATTTATTATTAATAATATATGTGTAAATTGTGTGAGTTGTCCTTAGGAGTACTCGCTGTCATTATATAGTGACACAAAAAGTCTGTGTAATATGTTTAATGGAAAATGTTTGTCCATATTTGTTATCTGGGAGATGCAACGTAGTTTTCAACTGATCATCTCCTTGTAAGTTACATCAACCACTTTAAATTTGAAAAATGAATATTGAAAGTTACAGGCTATGTCAAGTTGTTAAATTTAAACCATCCTTTGTTTTTGGGATGGGTGTTTTGAAATAAAGTGAAACGAAGGAAAGATATTCTGAACCAATGGTTAGATTAAGCAGCAACAGATAAGAGTCTTTGCATTGGAAGTGTTTTTTTTGTTTATTTGATAGCAAAAAAATTAAGGCAATGCATTAATTTGAACAAGTTGCTGCAGCAACAGTGATCCTTTCACATCATATTTATAACCAACTACCATCTCTTTGTTATGGTACATTTATTTTCTTAATTTAAAATTGTTAATAAAACCAGTCTGATTTTTATTTCCCTTTGCTCATATTGTTCCTTGTCATTATCTAAAACAAACTAAAACTAGAAAAAATAAACAACAACAACAACAAAAAAAGCAAAGTATGTACAATGTACTTTTGTCCAATGTGATGTCTTACCATCTATTCTGTTTTAATGTGTAGGTCTTTAGAACACCCAGTGTCTATTGGCATGAAAGAGCTTAGAGCATTTTTCCAGCGTGCTAACATCAAACTGAGTAATGCAAGACTTAAAGAGCTCATTCAGGTATATGGCATTTTTTATTTTCATTGCAAATTGCATGGGGAGATTTGGCAATTACTAAATGCAAGTTTAGTTCACTGAAATTTTATGTTCTTGAAACTGTTAGCATTGACAGGTCTAATTTCCACCCCAAATTGATATCAGTAGCAAGAATTAAATTTGACTCAGTCAATAAATTTTGTTTCAAATTTGTCATTTTGTTTTTATTGAATTCAGATTGCAGGAAGAGGGGAAGGGCACATTGATTTTGAGGGATTTCGAAAAATTTACAATGAGATAATGACTGTTAAGGAGGTAAGTTTGATAATATCTCATCTCTTTGATGATCATTTTTTCCTCTTTTTTCCTCTTAAATTGTTCAGGAGTCTACAAAAACATTTACAGGAAGTTTTTGAGATTCTCTCATTATTGGTTTCAAAAGCCCACTGTTGTGTTGAAGACTGATTGCAGAAACAGATTTTAGTTTCTATTTAATAGTTATCTATGTAAGTGTTGTTGAAAAGGTTTTGCAGTGTTTACTTACATTGTATTGAGTTGTTGGCTTGTTTTTCAGCTGACAAAAAGATTTGGTGATTATATAGAAAATGGGTAGGTATGGAATAATGGACATTTTTAGTGTGGCTCATGAGTTCAGTGTTTCTGACTTAACTCTCTCACTCCCAAGATTGCGTTGTCTATCACACATTTCCAATTTTAGCTCAAGAATTTGGTCTAAAAACAAAGAAATTTCAGTTTTCATGCCATAGAAATTGATCCAGTAAATAAATGCTTTATATATTTTGAATTGTAGCGCTTAAGTAAAACTTTTTCTTAAATTCATTTGCTATTCTATCGGCAGTGTGTTCAGCTTTTAACTTTTAGTTAATAACCTAAAGTCTCTCTCTTTTTATGTTAGCAAACACAGTGGAACAGTTTCTTTTACAACTTAAAACACTGTTTAATTTAACTATTAATCCTCAAACACAGGAAGTCTTTTATTTGTATCTCTTGCTTTAGTACCTATGTACCTCTTGCAAATTTTCAGAGATTCCTTTTGGAGGAGCAGGAGGTAAGCCTATGTGTATTCAGGATTTATGTAATACCTCATCACTGTTACTTTGATTTAAAGCAATTTTTGGAAGAATAAATTTATGGTTATAACTGGGTTACCATCTTTCAGGAGCCTGGAGCTAAGGATTTAGAGACTGTCAGAAGTTATATGCTGGAATATTTAGCAGATGGAAGTAGAAGCTATTCTGAACCCTATTTCACTGTGTCAGAGGTAGTGTATTCAGAAATATCTAAGTATGTGGTAGTAGTACTTCTTGTTGCATCCAAAGACCTATGTGGCCAATTGATCATCTTATCAAGGGAATATGTTCATAGATTGGTGTTGAACAAATTAAATAGAGTGAGGTCCCAAGTGACCACTTGGAAAATTGAGGTCTATGAAAAGTGTGAGGGCCCTTGTAACAACAGTCAATACATTATCAAGTGAGCAGGTCATGAGACAAGTTAGACAAACCCACAATGTATGAGCTAGAGAATGTTATCATGATATAGCACCATGTTCTCATGAAAAACAATTCACAAGGTACCTTACATTTGTAATGATGGGAGGTGGATGATATCAGAATAAGTTCTTCATGTGTTTTGTTTCTTTAGAAAACCTTTACACACAAACAAAACTAAGATGAAAATGCATGTATTGAAACTGATAGGAAATTTTAATCGAATTTCTTTGCATAAATTAAGATGGTTAATGTGATGGGATGGTATTTTTCATAGTTCTTAGATTACTTAATGTCAAAAGGGAACAGTGCATTTAATTCATCACATTGTGAAGTCTATCAGGACATGACGAAACCACTCACAAGCTACTGGATTGCCTCATCACACAACACGTATGTTTTATGTTCCACTCCTACTCATGCTGTTTTAAGTTTTGCTTGTTGGTAGCAGCAGTTAAAGATTTACCCTAAGCTCATCACAGAATATGTATGATTATATACAAATGGTCATATGATGATCAACTTGTACTCGTGGGCTTAACTATATTGTCAGTAATAAATGTTAAGTACTCATCTGTATTTATAGCTATCTGACTGGGGATCAGTTTCAAGGTGAAGCATCTGTTGAAGCTTACATTCGTGCTCTGAGGATGGGTTGCCGCTGCCTTGAATGTAAGTTGTATCATGTTTCTCTTGAATAGAATTCATAGTTTACCATTAGTACATGTTGATCTAAAGAGAGCAGATTTTTAAGACAAATTTCTAAAACTCTTAGTAATTCACAAGTTTGAACACAAGAACAATACCTCAGTTTAATTAATCATCATAATTAATCAGCTGTACTGCCAGTTAACTTTTTTTTTTGTTGACAAAAATGTTTACATCACAATTCATGAACAAAGAAGCATTCAAAAATGAAAACCTCAGCCAGTAGTTCTAGGTGTTGGCATCCATTTTTGTCAAATTTGTACCCAATGACTGAACTTTGTACAAATCTCTATAATCTTAAAAAGCACCACCAACATCAAATACAGAAACTTTAATTTTTCTTTTTATCAGCCATTTGTAAAAAATATTTATTTCCCATTTGGTTTGACTTAGGAATACTCCCTCGCAGCAACTTTGATTGCCCAGTTTTTGGAGAATGAAAACAGCTTAGAGTATTCTATGCAAAAGTCTCCACCATCTTCACTCCTACATGACTTACAACAAACAACAACAAATTTTCCATGTTTTGATTATTTTTTAAATACATAATCTCATGGAAAAATTAGAGCACTGAAACAATACCCCCAATTACTAAATATTAAAAAAGTGTGAATAGTTTTAGAAGCCATATCAAAAACTTGTGGGTCATGTTTGACTGAGATCTCCAGACACCTCAAACAATAAAAGCACAAGGTGGTAGGCCAAGTGCTTTCATCTGTTTCTCGGTGTCTGGACACCCTAGTCAAACACTAGCACTTGTTTTTGATATATTACCTAAAGAATTTCATTGCAGGCTATTGGTATGAATTTTTCATGTGATTTGATATGTATGAAAAGGGCTCTGTGTGATAATAGTAACTAACTAACTAAAGGTAATTCCAGAGGGCCATAGTAACACTCCAAGGTCTTGTATGGTAAAACCAATAACTGAGGTTGAGAACATTGACAACTTGACACTGATATAAGCAGAGACTAAGCAGATGCTTTCAATGAGGTAATAAGCCCCTTATATTCTTCTCAATGAACAAATAGAAAAGAAATGTTGAAACACAATGTAGGCAAGAGTGGGTTAATTTCTCAGGTTTAGGAATTGTTTCCTAATTTACTGTTTGGTTTATTTTCTAGTGGATTGCTGGGATGGACCAGATGGACAGCCCATTATCACACATGGCCACACCCTTGTCTCTAGAATCAAGTTTGTGGAAGTTGTTCGAGCAATCAAGGACAATGCATTTGTTGCTTCAGAGTGAGAAACAACCTTTTTTATTTGATGGAAACTGTAGCTTGAAATAAACCATGATTTCAATCACTTGCTCTCTAAGTTGTTCTTACTTTCCTATTGTTAGGTGTGATGAGCCAACAAATATGACTCACCAAGATTTCAATTCATTTGCATTTTCAGCTACCCTTTGATTTTGTCTTTGGAGAACCACTGCAGCATACCTCAACAGAAAGTCATGGCACAGACATTTAGAGACTTGTTTGGAGGTTTGTGGTCAGACTACTCATATTCTTAATTATGTTTAATAAATACACCTACCAAACATCTGGAATGGCTTAAATGCAAACTCAATAGGCAAAGAAGTGGTTTAAGGGCAATTTGGACTAAATAAGTGCATTTAAATTGTTTAAAGAGTGAGAAAAATTTCACAAGCCCCTAAGGTGAGAGTAGTAAATGAGTGTTCATTACCATTTGAATTGAAGAGATAACTCTTTGACTAGTAATAGTTCTTGTGTGATGAATTTAGTTGTCATTGTTTTGTGGATTATAGATTGTCTTCTCACCCAACCAGTTGATCCCCTTGAGAAGGAGATGCCATCCCCAGCTTCCCTCAAGCACAAGATTATCCTCAAGGCAAGAAAAAGAAACTTTTTTATAAAACAATAGAACTTTTAACAGTGTTTCTTGTAATTCTAGAGCACAGGCACAGTTGTTGATGCAAGAAGTCAATTCATAACAAATGGGGATAATTTTGTTTATTAGCCAATCCTTAACACATGTAAAATTTAATTATGTGTCAGTTTTAAAAAATCATTTGAGAATATTGTGGTTAAAAACTACTCTTGGATCCCACATGTTGCAGCACATAGGAAATTGTTTCTAATTAGACAAATTTAGGGTATTGTTTATGTTTATCTTCACAGTAAGATGTAATAGTTATTTTGTTATCATGTTAGAGGGTGATAGTTTTCAGCAATATTAACCAAACTGCTCGGGAATTTTGCTAAGGAGAAAGGGAAATATGTATGTTAATTTTTCATACACTCTTTTTGCAGCAAAATTGTGCCATACAATTATATCGAAATTTAATAATCAGTTTTTTTTATAGCATAAAAAACTACCCAAGGATCCCAACCAGGTTACAGAAACCAATTTTGGTGATACCAGTAAGTTACTTGGCATGCTTATTTATTTGGTGTCAACTTTGGGTCAGTTTAACATATTGAACTTCAAATCAACATGAGCACATAACTTTTCAAAAGTTGTTACTTACAATGGTTCTCAGGAAACATGATTCCTAATTAAAAGAAGCCTTGTGAATTATTCAAGTATAACTACAGATTTCACCTTGAGACATTCCATACACTGTGCCTGCACTGAAACTTCATTCAGGAGAACCTATTTTTATTCATCAATAAATTTCAGAATGTTAATTTGTGGTTTTTTTTTAACTTTGCAGTTTTGGAGGATGATCTGAGCCAGTCAGTAAAGAATGGTTATTTACTGTTAGAGGATGAAATTGATCATGTAAGTTCTTTGCACAACAAGCATAGTAGATCTTACAAAATGAAATACTGAACACCAAATTTTTATGGAAAGTCATAGCAACTGGTTTTGGATGTTAGAAAGTCAAATGATTTTTGTGAGTTCTAAATATCAACAGTTAATTTTGAATGAGTGGTGATTTTTGTGTTACTGCAGTTATGAAAAACAAAGAGGAAGTCCCTAAAGACATCACAGAAAGTTTTATTGGTTTGAAATAGAAAAAACCACAAGATTAGATAGTTTATCTTTTTGTTTTATTGATGGATCTGTTGTTTATTGGTTATTTACAAGATACATTTTACTGTCAGGGTTGGAAACGCCATTTTTTCTGCCTAACAAAGAATAAGCTGTTCTGGACGGAAGAGCAAACCAAGTCAGAGGATGACGATGATGATGAGGGAGCTGATGGAAATGGAGTTGGAGAAGTAAGTAAATCCAAATTTATTTTGGCATATCTTTATATTAGGTTGTGTTTATAGGCACATACTTTTCTGTTTTACTTACAAATATAATAGTAATACTAGGTGTGTGCCATATTGTTAAGTAATCACTTGTAAGTCTATCTGGCAGTCCCTAACAGTGTGACTCTTTTTCATAGGATTCCTCTGAAACTAGAGTTTTCACTCCCTCGACTCCTCTTAGATCAAACCTTTAACCTCTCCATTTTATGTCTTAATTAGTTAAGGATTTAACACAGTTTAACTTGATATGAACTGTGATGTCTGTTGGAAGCCAGCTACATGTTTTTATTCCAACACTTGATTTGTTCACAGGCTATCATCTGGTACCATCTAGTAAGTGTTTAGGGATTGCAGAAAACATTTGTTCACTTAAGTGTATTCTGTAAGTCTTGAAGAATGCATGACACAAATCATTACAAACTGATCTTTCTCTGAATCCCACAGTTTATTACCCTTTGTATCACCATCCAAATGTCTGTTTTCATAGGAAAAGAAATATACCTGGCTTTTTTTATGCCTTGTTAAAAATAAGTTTGATACAAGATCTAAATAATGTCTTCTATGATTTATATCAGGAAAAAGCAATCCTTTTGTCAACAAGACTTTCAGTCAGTTATAATTAATTTGGTTATGATTATTTTGTTAAGATAATTCGTGTTCATCAAAGTTCACTGATCTCTTATTTATTTAGTTATTGCATATAATTTTAACATAGTGTGAGGAGGACAAGTACAAAGTAAATTGTTAATACAAAATTGTCAACCAGGTGATATTGCCTAGTTGATAAAAAACTAAATTCTCCACGAGAACTAACAAGCTGGGTTCAATAAGTTGGGAAGAAGTCAACATTAGATGTTGGGATGGAGTGACATGGTTAAAGTTTGTGCTGGGTAACTTACTCATGCATGAACTCACATGTATACACCTTGTTTGTCAAAGTTAAGTCAGATTATCTTAAATTATTTATCTTCTAGAGATTATAGTTTTTAGTATCAATGGAATAAGACTATTAATTGTGAATTATTTAACTCAAAATGCTTGTGAAAGTAACTGGTAACCTCTACTTAAGACACTTAGTATACGTTATTCTATGCAGTGGGCATAGATAGTCTAAATCCATGTCCTAATCAGAGTTCTTGTTACTGTAAGGTCATGGTGACCATATTTACTGGAACTGGTGTTTTTCCTTATGGATAGAAATATTAAAAAGAAGCACTGATACATCAAATTTCAACTATGGAAGGTTTCTAGTTTCCATTTCTATTTCCCCACCTTCAGTCTCAACATCATCATCTTTGGAGTAAATGTGATGCTAAGATATCTAGCAACCATGATATTGCATCATACATATCAGGGTTCTGATTTGGGCTTTAGTAGCTTTTTATTTATTTAGTTTTTAGGTCCATGTGTTTTTAGGAATAATTAATTTTTGTCTGATATTCATCTAAATGCTGTAATTGTTTTTAAAAAAGTGAAGAATAGAAGACAATACTGTAATCCAGTGGGGGTATACATGTGTAATTGTTGGTTTAACTAAGCATGCTATTGGGTGAATTTTACTGCAGGAAAATAGATTTCTCTTTGCTTGTTAAATATGATGTTTAACAGATGTGTTTTGAAAGTAACTTTAATCGGTGAGTAAACTTGTGAATGGATGAGAGTATGAACATTTCACTCTTCACCCCATATATAGTAATTTGTATTAGAAAGTTGTTTTAGAGATTGTGGAAAATTCATTCAAACTATTCAACCTATTGGTGAATTGTCAGTTATTGGTGAATTGTCAGTTGTTGGTGAATTGTCAGTTGGTAATTCTAAGGTTGTCCCAGTAAGTACTGCATAGAATCTTGGGGATTAGCTTGATGCACACTCAAAACTGGACACCTACATAACCAAAACATATAATGCAGCATATCATCACCTGCATTACATTTGAAGGAATCTGAAAGTACATCACATACAGTTGTACACAAACCTTGGTTCATGTGGTAGTAATTGGATGGATTGGCTACCACAACAGCTTTCTGTCTGGTCTCCCTTACATTAAAATCAACAAATTACAGAAAGTACAGAATGCAGCTGCTAGACCTATTACAAACTCTTTGCGTTATTGTCACATCACACCAGTATTACAAGAGTTACATTGGCTACCAGCTAGATTCAGGATAAACTTCAAAATATTGTTAATGAAATTCAAAATCCCCATACCACTTGAGGTCAAATGAGGAGTTGTTGTTAGTTCAACCTTCCCACTAAAGTCAAAGAAGAGGTCAGGAGACAGAGCCTTTTACGTGGCCACCCCACATAATGGAATGGATAACCATAGAATATCAGACATGAAACTAATATCATACAATCCAAGAAAGAAGTTAAGACTTTATAATTTAGCAAAGCATATATTAAGTAACTAAGTTTTTCAAAATGTTTCATTAAAGAGCACGTTTTTTAACTGTCTCTGCGCATGTGCCGCACACACACCGCAGGTTAATAGGTTTTAATGGGTTAATTGTTTAAATTTTTAATTGTTAGGTTTACTTGTTTTATTTCAGTTATTTTCAAGCACATTAGATCATATCCTTATGTATATTGGACTATATAAGTAATTGTTATGAGGCAAAAGTTTACTAAAATAAGTAAAGAAAATGTAAACAATGTTAAAAAGAAAAAACTTTGGTCAAATCACATGCAATTGGGTTCTAAAAACGTGTTATTTGTTTGTTGTAGTCATCTAAAGATGAACTTCACTTTGGTGAAAGGTTAGTACATAGGTCTAAACAATGGTCTCCCCAAAAACTATCAAGTGAAAGCTGAAATTCTTTGACCGAAAATGGAATTTTTGTCCTCATGTGAGTAAGAGTTTCAGTAAATATCAAAATGAAAATCCGACCAGTAAGTTTGTTGCTACAATTTTCTCAAAAAATTTCTCAGTGAGCAGTTTGGGGAATTATAGTCTAGAATTTCTGAAGCTCTTCCACTTTGACAGTTCAACAAAATACAAAGGCATAATATGGAGCAACCAGTTAATTAAACTGAATTTACCTGAAAAGTTTGGTGATGTTAAAAAAATTGAATCTTTTGCATTCAAAGTGATCTCTTTGTTTCCTCCAAACCAAGGGCCCTTACAAATTAAAATCTAGGAATTTGCCCAGTGTGGTAAATATACAATAGATTTCTGACCAATCAGAGTACATGTTATGTCTAAGTTATATTATGATAAGTGATATGTGATTAAAAAAATTGCAAGATCATTTAACATGAATTTCATTATCATTGTTTACATTACATTTTAAGGTTCAGCTCTTGTCTGTTAACTAGGTATGAATAATTTTGGGGAATGTTACTCAAGGATTTGATCTGTTTGCAATTTTTAGATGGTTTCATGGAAAGCTTCCAGATGGACGCAAAGCAGCAGAAAACCTTTTGAAACAGTTTAATCGTGGAGATGGATCTTTCCTTGTGCGGGAGAGTACAACCTTTGTTGGAGACTTTTCACTATCTTTCTGGTGTGTAGAAGTTTTAATTTGAATTGCATTGTGTCTTCTAAGAAAAACGTGTTGTGTGGTTCACAAACAATATATTATCACATCAGAAAATTACAACAGCGTACAGTAATCATTGGCCATAATACCTTGGAAATACTCATATGGGGTTTTTCTAACACTTTAGGCGTAAAGGGAAAGTTCAGCACTGTCGAATCAAATCTAAGCAAGAGAATGGACAAACAAAGTACTACCTTGTTGATCAAGTGACATTTGACAGTTTATACAGCCTCATCAACTTTTACCAGACTCATCCACTAAAAAGTATGAACTTTGAACTCACGCTGACAGATGCCATTCCACAGGTGAATTACTAGACTTGTTCCATGACAGACTAAAAGCATTGGCCTTAAAATCATCTGCATTTTACCAATTTTGAACTAAGGAAGCCATTCATTTATTTTCCTTTGTATGATATTCATTGTGCATGTGTTTGAAAATACATTGCTCTCTTCATTGTGTGATCCTGGATACAAGATAATTCACCAAAGTACGTGAACATAATGAGAGCAAAATATATAGTTAATAAGATGAATGGCAGAGGTTATTATCAGCTTTACTGTTACTGTTTTATTTTTGTTTTCCTCTTTTTTGTTCACTAGTTTTTAGCCTTCTGTCATCATCATTTAATAACTGGTATCCTTATCATTGTGTTGTCTGGTGTCTGTTGACACCATCATCTTGATATTAAGTGTAAAAACACAGAAAGGTCCATGTTCTAATTTTATTTTTTGATGTTGTTGTATTCTTCCTTTCTGTATGTCCAAAATCCTTGTGGTAACAGCCAAATGCACATCTTGAAAAAGAGTGAGTACACAAAAGATTGTTTTTTGAATCATTCCTAAAAAACAAATGCTAACATATGGATCTTAACATAAGACATCAATGCCAAAAGAGTGGTCAAGTATTTGTCGTAGCTACGTCTATTGGCTCATTAATAATGCAAAGTGATTTACTTCTTGTTGTAGTTGGTACCATGATAATCTTAAAAGGGACAAGGCAGAAGACATGCTGAAGAGGGTCAGAAGAAACGGAGCCTTCCTTGTTAGGAAGAAAGAGTCTGACAACCCAGCAGCGGAGCAAGAGCAAGCAGAAAACAATCCAGAGTCACAGAATGATGAATCTTCATTTGCCATATCATTTAGGTGAGCTTTGAGGTTTGTCTGTTTTATTCCTTCAACCATAAATGGGACTGTTGAGTTGGAAGCTTTTCACTGCATCCAATGGCTCCTCTACAGTCACAGTGACCAGTTAAGCGTCTCAAAAATTTCTTTGCAGTGAACAATATGGCTTGCCACTTAAAATTTAGTAAAGAAGTTTATATCAATTCCTCCATTAAGGCTTCAATGTCAGCTGCTTTTTGTAACACTTTAAGTAGTTGAAACAAATGTCAGCCACAATAACCATTTGATTTATTTTTCTTCCATAAATTGTTAATAAAAGCCTTCTAAGAAATATTCTGGTTTCAACTTAATTTAATGATTAGAAACTTTTGATAATGTTTATTTGCAGAGCTGAAGGCAAGATTAAGCACTGCAGAATAAAACGTGAAGGACGCTTGTATACAATAGGAACTGCTCAGTTTGAAAGTTTGGTAGAATTGGTTGAGTTCTACATGAAGCACCCTCTGTACAAGGGCATGAAGCTCAAATACCAAATCAATGAAGATGTAAGAAACTTACCTTTTCCGTAATGTCAGAAATCAGATAAATTACTGCTGTAGAGAAATTGGAACACTCTTCTCTGTAAAATCATAAAAAATGATGGAAACTTGGTAAAGAAGTTTTTTCTTCCCATTACACAAATTCACATACAGAGGATTGTCTTTATTTGTCTTAATCCTGTTTTTTTCACATACATGCTGAGAAAATATTGCTTTGAATTCTTACATTTGTCACTTTTTTATCCTACTATTTGTTTTGTGTTAATGATTTTTAAGCTTTACTTTCACAGCGTGAGTGGAACTCTAATGATCTTGAAGTTTGTGAATATGTTATGTATGGTTTATGATCATTCTTCACCAAAAAATGCTGACTTAATTTTGTGTTATCTGTAGGTATTGTCTAAAGTAGGTCAGGTATGTACAGTTTGGGTTATTCCTTTTCCCAGTTATAGGTTACTATTAATATGTTTACTTAATGACAAACTACTGTAACATTGCTGTAATGCTTCTTTTTCTTTCTTTGGTATTTGGTATTTCTAATTTGCCTTTTTAAATGTGATTTAAACCTAAAGCAAATTATAGAAAAACTTGCCAGCTACCCTCTCAGACACTGTTTTTGGGACACTTGCTGCCTCTGCTGCCCCTCTTAGTATTAGTCTTTGAGAACTCATGGACCCACTGTCAATAGTTGACATTGGAAGAGGGAGAGGTGCAACAGAACACAGGTGGTGTTCTAAGGAAGTTCCCAACTAGTCATCTCAAGAAGGGTACTTTTTTGTCACTGAAGATTTGATCATTCAAGTTTTCAACTTGTGCAGTTCTTCGTAAATAAACAAGACCCACAACTTGAACACTACTGTAAATTATTCAGTAAAACCTAGCAGGGCCTTGTAGATGAATCAGGCCTATCCCATGAAAACAGCTGCTAAACTTATAGCCCAGACCATATTATGTGTATGACTGCTAACAGTATAAGTTGCTTATCATGTAAAACACTTCTGTTAGTCTCCAGATGAAGATGCAATTTATGGGACTGGAGATCATTACCATGAACCCAACCAGTTTATCACAAAGGTAAAGTCATTTTTTCCATCAACCTGTGTCCCCTCAAGAAAAAGTTTGGAGCTATTTGTTTAGAATACTGTGTAAACAACAGTTATTGGTTCTAAATTATTGTCTGATCTGTGAAATCTTGTGCAGTGCTGTCTGATATTTAGATTCAGTGGCCTCAGCCTGATTCAGGCTTACATTTAGAAAACATATATAGCAATTTTAAAATCTTCTTCAGATTTACAAATGAGATTTATATAAAGAATGCACATCAGAAACAAGTGTAAATTATCTTTTGAACATTTTCACAGTACAGCTTCAGTTTCACATGTTCTTGCAAAGTCAAGAGAAAGATTCTTCTCTCTGACAATGTCACAGTGGCTCTTGTGTTTGTGTTTTCTCAGTGACACTCCAACATTTAAGGGTATTCTTGTTTCCTCTTGACTTTTTCCAGGCTGCATGCAGGGCACTGTGGGATTATGAAGCTCAGAATCCAGACGAGATGTCATTTTGCAGGGGAGCATTTATCACTAATGTCAGCAAGGAGGATGGGGGATGGTATGTTTTTCTTTCAATTTCCTTTTTAGTTGTATTCTGTAAAAGAAGACATTGTTTAAGAGTAAAGAGCAATAATATATTAGAAAGCAATGCTGTTCACAAATGAATGCATTTAGTGCTTAGGAGTCATCATAGTGAAACAGCACAGTGTAAGAATTGAACTTTTGAGATCAATGTCTCAACCTCAACTTGTTTTTAGTTGACTGATATCAGCTTAGAGGAGCCGCAGGTGCACAGTTGCTCAGATGCTGACATTTATCCAACATTTGTTGGTGACCAACGACTGGATTGTGATCTTTTGAAGGGTTCTGAAGTCTATTGGGTATTGCTATGAGTTAAAAGGAAAGTAATGGAAAAGAAAAGGATTTATGAATGAATAGAATGCTTAAAAAAATCATCCACTTCATTACTTTTTGAATTAAAAGGTGGATTGGTGATTATGGAGGACAGAAACAGAAGTTTTTCCCAGCTAACTATTGTGAAGAGATTAACTATGTTGCAGAAGATGAACAGAACATTAATCCCCAAAATGACAATACTGAGGTGAGGAAGAGGCTAAATTGTTTTAATATATATCTGCCTTCTTACATTTAGAACAGAACGTGAGGGGAAATTTAAGACTCAACACAATAGACCTCTTTAGCTTGACTGTCTATTTTGTTAACCCATTTCTGGTCAGATGTTGATGCTTCAGATAACTGCTTCTTTCAAATTTCTCTTATTGACATATGTACAAATAATTTACAAAGATGTAGCTGGGAATTCCCTGGAGACCAGGAATGGGTAAACAAAAAAATGCAAGCTAAAGACTGAGGTCTATTGGTTATATGTACACATTATAACTTTGCCCTCTTAGATTGTTATTTTTGATCAATTGAACTGAGATTTATCTGAAATGTACTTCAGATATATGAAGAAATATATTTTTTTATTTGGGTTACTCTTTATGGTTTGATTCTGTTATTTGGTTTTTAATGCAGTGTTCTCCCTTATTTTAAGCATGATAAGTAAAATAAATTTTCAAACCTGTAAATCAATCCTTTTACCTGTTGAATTTTCAAGAATTCCAAGCAATTCTAAACATTAATAAGAGGTACTACAGTCGGTTAATGTTACCAGTTACTGCCTGAAAAGGAGAACATTTTAATGCAAGTGTAATTAAAAAATGGACTTTTTGCACTATCACCAAATGAATATATTGTGTCCTGTTATTTAACTTGTAGAATCATGAAATGTCGCCCCTGGGGGATCTCCAGAAAGGAAGTATAGACCTCCAGGGATGTACTGTTGGTATGTTTCAGTGATAAATGTTGATAATGAAACTTGCTTCTTCTCTGGTAATGGTGGAGAGTGGCTTCATGTCTTGTTGAAAGTTAGTGATGTAACAAACATTTTATCTCACTGATATTCACATTTTTCTGCAAAGTCTTTATAACAGTGCTGGCGGTTTTTTTGTTTGTTTTCATTTTGTTTTCTTGTTGTGGTTTTTTTTGTCTTTCTTTCTGTAAAAAATTATTTGGTGGTTTGTTTCTATTTATGCTGTTTCTAATTTTAATTATTTTTCTATTTATTGTTTCTGGTTAAATTCTGTTAAATTAACTGTTACTTTACCTGTGGTGGCTGTTTTTATGTGTTACAAGTTCTACATGTTTTTATTTGAAGCAAGAATTAAGGTTGTTTTGAAAAATTGTGCTGCATTAGGTACTGTGTCTAAATTACACATTTGGTGCCTCCGTGATAATAGTCATCACCTCTTTCAAATTAATCAGGAAAGATTGTTTGTCATAAGCAAGCTACTCTGAACTGTTTTGTGTTAGTCCTTTTCTGTTCTAAATATTGTTATGCCACTCGTGAGTTATATTGTTGTTGTTTTGTTTTTTTCAGAAAATATAGCAGGTAAACCAGGACAGAGGCATGTATTTCAAATTGCCAAACGTGATGGTCAAAGTTTACTCGAACCTGCAGCAGAATCCCAAGAGGTTTGTGACTTAATTCTTTTCAAGTTTCATTACCTTGTCTTCAGATGGAGTTTAGCAAACATCTTTTTGTTACACAGGATTTAGGTGATTGGTTACAAGCACTTCAACAGATGGCAGATAAAAGAGAAGCAATGGTTCAAAGAATGGTGCGTCAGTCAAATCTAAGTCAAGAGCTGTCTGACTTGGTAGTGTACTGTCAGTCAGTACCATTTGACATTGGAAGTAAGTTGTTTTCATCAGTGTTGTTTTGTTGCTCTTCATAGTGACATGTGCACTACTTGCCAAGCTTGCTCATCCAAAACTCCTCAACTTTGCCTTGACTGATTGCTCAACATTACTGTCAAACACTAACAATTTGCAGTAACAGTGCTTTTTTGGAATACAACCAGTATGTTACATTCTCTATTGCTTTTCCTATGTATGGGTTAATTTTTTTATCCTGTACAGATGTATCTGGCAAACACTATGAGATGTCATCATTCCCTGAAACAAGACTGGATAGATTTTTTGGCAAGAGGTTGAGCAAACAATTTATCAAGTATCCTTTCCTGTTTGTAAAACATTACTTTAATCCATTTATTTAAATAGATTAATTATTACTGTCAATAAATACTAACATGGGAAACATTCCAACATGTCATCAAACAATTCAGTTATCTGAAGCATGTGCATGTACATGATATGGAATAAAATTGCAGTTCTAAATTGGAACTCAACTCCTAAATTTTACAGACAAAGAAACATGTTATAAGAAGATTGTTATAATTGCCCTCAATTATAAGGAGCAAACAAAGGCAGTGCCTTAACAGCAGTGAAGATATCACAGAAAACAGTTCAGTAGAGTTTATCCCAGAGGGAGCAGAATTGATTCTTCTAACTATGACCCAGTGATGATGTGGAACCATGGGGTACAGCTGTGTGCTCTCAATTATCAAACACCAGGTAAGAAATGAGATATGGACATCTAGTCCATGTTCAATAATATTTAGGTAAGAAAACTGGATGCCAGGTGCTTACCAAAACAAATAACATTGTGTGGGAAAGAGACTGCTGTATGAAGTATTTGCAAGCAAAGGGAAAGTTTGATAGAGCCACTTCTTATGAGGGAAGTATGGCCATGTACAAGGGCTCTCATCAATTTTGGTGTCCATGTGTACTCAGGGGAGAAGTCCACTGGGAGAAGTTGGTTTAACATCAAATATGGCAGGAACAATTTCAGACTTGGGCTAATGTGTACTTAGAGCAGGTTTTGGTTGATGTGGGGTCTGTTAAATATAGGTTGCTATGCATTGGTTTGATGTATTAGTAGGCTTAAGGATACTTGAGAGATTTTGTGGCAGCTGAACAGCAGTATTTATCCTTTACCTCAATTTTTAGATCGAGCTATGCAGTTGAACCATGGTAAATTTTTGGACAATGGAAGGTAACATCTTGATTTCTGGAAGTTTTAGTGTAAAAAGTGTGGTAATGGCTTAACAGTAACCATGCTGGAATCTGTATTTAAACGTTGCAGTATCAGATCATGCCAGACCTATTGTTTGGTTCTTGGGTAGGACACTTTGATTGTAATGTCAGTATATTGTGATGAAAAGCTAACAAACTGTGGGAAAGGGAGTTAACAGTGTTCCCTGTAGTAAGAACTACCTTGTGGCTTTGTCACCAGCTCCTTGCTTTTAAGTGGTGGTTGTTTAAACAAGAAAAAACATTGAAAGACCTATCTTGAACTGAAATAAATTTAAAGATTGATGTAAACTGGAAGGAAACAGTGCATAAAAGCTTATGTCCCCTTGGTACCCACCTGTTTACTGGCTACTTTTTTTTCATAGCTTGCTTCTTGAAATTCTCTGAAGAACACTTCAGGGGAAACTTACAATGGACTTAAATCCTATCTGACTGTCATCCTAGTTGAGAGTTTTGTTGTGCTTTAGAGACTGGGTAAAGCTTCAATGCCAGGACTACTGTGTGTACCACAAGGAGATAAAACATTATAAAATACATAGAGTTGGTTATTTTTAGGTGTGGTTATGTGCTTCACCCAGAGTGCATCAGAAGTGAAACATTTGATCTGTACAATCGGGATGCTTCTGGAGCAGAGCCATTGACTCTTACTCTAACGGTAAGAAACACTTTGGTCATCCTTTTTTGAGAAACTCATTGTACAATTCAGCATGTTTTTGAAGTTACACTGTGCCCTGCAAGAAGTCATACACAAGTCATTTTATTTAAAACCTCATAAAGCTTTATGTTTTCTTGTAGATCATTGGAGCAAGGCATCTCGTGAAATCAGGTCGTGGGATAGCATCTCCTTTTGTGGAGGTTGAGATAGTTGGAGCACCTTATGACAACACCAAATTCAAGACAGAGACAAAACGTATGCAGGTTACTCTTTGTTTGTAGGCCTAGTTCCAAATCAAAATTCATAATTTCTCTTATGTCTCTTACCTTGTTGAGTAGTGCTTTATCAATTTATTATACCCTTAAAAGCATGGTTGGTTATGTTTTTTTTTTTTTAGCGGATAATGGTTTGAACCCTGTATGGTGGGTCAAGTTTGATGTAGACGTTATCAACCCCCCTCTGGCTTACCTTCGGTTTGTTGTCTTTGATGAAGATATGTTTGGTGAACCTAACTTCATTGGCCATGCAATATTTCCCATGTGCAGTCTGAAGACAGGTTCGTACTTTGTGTAGTTCTCTGAATGGAAGCAACAATTGATCTTTGGTAAATTAATAGGCCAAGGGCCAGTTAAGGATTAATTTCACAGTAGCAAGGTGGACCTACTAAAAGGATTGTCTTTGCTTATAAAAATTGAATAGCTCAGTTTTAATCACCTGAGTTTGCACAGCTTGCTACTTCATGAAAAAAGTTTTCATGTTAAAATTCACTTTATTTTTATAATTTTTCTAACTTAATTGATTTCATTCTGTTTTTGTTTGGATCCAGGATACAGATCTGTCCCTTTGAAGAATGCATACAGTGAGGAATGTGAACTTAGCTGTTTACTGGTCCACATTGACATCAGAAGTGCAATGGTATGTACATGTTACAGCTTGTTGTGTTACTCAGATTGGTTTTCTGTTCACAGTTTAACGAAATCAAAGGTTTTTCATTTATACTGGTTAACTAAACGAATGAGGACCCTAATATGTAGCTGACTTGTCGGTAGTGGTCTTTGTGATCTAGAAATTGGAGCACCAGCTGGAAGGGAAGGGGGAAATGGCTATAGAGTATACTTAGTTTCTTGTTATCCTGCACACCTTAAACTTGCCTTAACTGTTTGTTTTTTCTTATGATGATTGGGGACAATCATAGGAGGGCATCATTGCATTTTGACTTCAAATGATGAGAAATCATGTTTTGTTTCGATGATGCAGGGTGGTGATGAGAACTTGTATGCATCAATCCAAGTTCTTCGAGATCGTGTAGAAGAGATATCCAATCACATGGAAAATGAAGAATTGAGAGCACGTGCAACTATTGCAAATTTACTGAACCAGCAGAATGGACCCATGTCACTGGAGGCACAGCAGAGAATCCAAAATGATCATCAGCATCAAATGGAAAACCTTGGCAAACAGCTCAGACAGCAACAAGATGACTTGCGTAGACTACAGAAAGAAAGAGCTGCTAGGTTTGTTGACTGATGGCCATCTTCTAGTAATAGTGAATGTACCATTTGGTTATAAACTTTTAAATGCCATGATTGTTTTGTGATATATGTTATGAGAATGACCAGATGATAACAGCTACTGTATATTCTATTATTGACATATGTTTAAAACTCACATATTAATGGCTGAACCCTTGACTCCACACACAATAATAGGATAGGTTAATCAACAAACATTTTCTCAAGCATAGATGACTGAGAAAATCCCCAGGTGGTGTGCTTGGGAGCCTTTTTGGGTGGTTGTGTACCATAAAGATGTAGACTGGAAATTTTATTACGTATAAAATGATGGCCAGATTTAGGAAAACAATGCATTATTCAAGTCCCATTAGGTCTCACTCCCTTTTGAGCAGAAATTATTATTTTCAGCCATTTTTTTAACCAGCATTGTACACTTGTCCATTTGATTTACCAGACTTCACTCAAAAATTGTCTTGTTTTCAAGGGGGTCAAATTTTCATCTAATGATTTCAGGGTAACAGTAGATTCTTGATGATACTTTTTCAGGGCTCCAGGCCGTGTGATGTTATCAAAGCCAAACCGTTACACAAGGAATTCTTCATCTTGAGTCCATCACTATGATAGCTGAAGTGCAGACTATTTTAGTGTAATTATTACACTCAAAAAATTGTAGATCTATGAAAGGTTGATTTTAGACTTTGATTATATAATGCTTGTTATTAATAGAACTAAATGTGAATGTATTTAACTTTTTTAAAGTTGCATCCGTTTTGCCTTGATTGTCTAGAGGTAGAAATTCCTGAATATCACCTTGAAAAGTAGTTACTTAGCCTTGTCTACACAATGAAGGAATTGAATTTGAAATATTTGAAATTGTGAGCAATTTATATGCTGATGGAAATTTGTCACAAGGAACAGGCATGGTAATTGTTGATGAAAATAATGGGTTCATTTTCTGTGCCATTAAATGTAAATATGAACATCAAAATTACATCTAAAAGGAATTTAGAATCAGTTTTAGTCAATAATATAATTGGAGAATAACAGTGCTATTTCATGAGTAGGGTTATTTGTTTTGATTATCAATAATCTCTGAACTGATCATTGGTTTTGATTTTGTTTATCAGATGAGAAAAATCATAAAATATTGTCTGTGCTGTATTTCAAAATTTGTATTAGAGAATAATTGACTTATCATTAACTTAGAAGGCAAAAATGTTGCAAAGAAAACAAGTAATTGTCTTAATTGATGCAAGCATGTATTATTCAATTCTACATTTTATGTGTCAACATTCTTTGTTTATGAAAACCCCAAATATATACAGTGTTAGGCCAGAAAGATGGATAAGCTTCACATTTCATAAACCACAAAAATTGACTTTTCAGTCTAGTTTGTAGCTATCAATTTTAATTTCAGACTTAAAGTCTGTTTACAATTTGGAATAAAAATGTGATTAATCTCTTACCAAGGGAACACAATTGATGGACAAGGACACATTTTATGACCATACATTGGGTTCATTCCTTGATGGCATTTTTCCTTGACACTTGTTCATTGCATGCATGAGTCAGTGCTTGAAATTCTGTAGTCATGTAGCTAGACAGTCAACTTGATTCAATCACTGGGATGCTCTTGTCAGTAGACAGCCTTCCAAACTCTTTAAATTCCTTTGAGATGCAATCTGTTTGCATATGAAAGCTTTTACTTTGTTTTAGTTTGTTAGGTAAAGCTTACAGGCTAGTGCTGAATATTTGTGTTACTCTTGTGCATTACTCTTGTTTTGAAATATCACCCTCTCCCTTCACACATGTGATCTCGTATGGGGTGGGTGTGGAATTTTGGAACACATCTGCAGTTTAATAAGGGTAGATAACTATGTTTGCATAAGTGGTATCCAAGTCAACAATAGCAGAATTTAATGAATCAATATGTATGAACATGTAAGACCAAAATCTCTTACTGCTGGATGTAATGCAGCAATTATTTGAAGGAAAGAATGGTAGAACAGATGTTTCCTTGTAAATTTGTTATTAAGAATCAATCAGTATCAAGATAATGGCCAAGGTACAAAATAAAGCCAAGTCACATCATGTTTTGTAGTTTTTTTGATTGATGTCTGACAGATGAGATATGCCTCTCTAAGGCCTTGATTGAAATTAACTTCAGTGAATTAATACTAAGAATTCTCTTTTCTGTGGTTGCTGTGTAGTTCCATACACTCATATTACTCCACTCTCTCTTTCCTATGATGGCTGGGAAATGGAGATATTCACAGGAGTGCACATAGAAGTTAGGTCACTTATTGTTTCAGTGAGGACTTGAGTAAAAAGACCAGTTAGAGCTCTCTACATCTTGAGTGTCATTATGCTAAAAAGATAATGATCCTGACTCAATCATGAAAAGAGACATGGGACAAGAAATAGAAGTCATACTCAAGAAACCAAAAGTTCAAGGTTACAGGTTTTTACCATTCAGGTCAATTACCAACTTTTGTTTTTCCTTTGGATGAAAAATTAAAGTAACTTTTGAAGGTGTTTCAGTGATTGTGGGAAAAGATTGGAAAATCCAAAACAAAACCCAAGCAGATTATGTGAGTTACTACCATGCTCATTGAGAAAAATAACTGAACTGATGACATTGATGTTACTGTTGGATAATTATGAGCCACCTTTAAGGTGTTCATGGCACAAAGGATTATTTTTTTGCAATAAACTAGAGCAAGAGCTGTTTGTGAACCTCCTACTGTAGTTTTAGGTGCAGGCAGGTGACTGAATTGTTATTAAAATCCAATTGGAAAAAATTCATAATCAAATTGCAGCACATCTGAAGAAGAACCTCACTTGTCTAAGTTACTCTTGGTATCTCAAATTGCAAGTGGTTTGTAATTTCTATTTGTAAGAATTGAAACATTTACACTATTAATAACTCTACTGTGAAAAGCCATGCATTGGATAATGTAGTGATCATTATGATTTTTTTCAGGCATGCATCTTCTTCCCTAAATAGGTTGGTGGTGCATGTGATTTTTCTTGATTAAATACAGAGTCTAAGGAAGGAAAAGCGATGTGATTCCAGGTTACTTTCAAGACTTGGATGTAAACTGCTTCCTTAAAAAATATAGATCTAAAGGGGGGCACAAGTAGGAGAGTAAATGAATATTGAAAAAGGATTATAGTGTGATTGTGCTAACTTTACAGCAGATATGCTCAACATCTGTTGTATGATGAGAAGAAAAGAGTTAAGCAAAGAGACGATGTGTTGATGAGAAAACTCAGTTGAAAGATTGGTTGATTTTTAAGCTGATAGATGGTCAATAGTCTAGTGATGGAAAATACACTGACAAGGAGAAACGACATGTAAGGAGCATGGTTCACAGTTGTTTTGATACAAAGTTGTTTGATTCAAGTCATTTTGATACAAGTCGAGGTCGATTTGTTACACATGTAAAGTCGATTTGATACAGACTGAAGTCCTTTCAATACAGAAGTAAACTTGAGAAAAGTTCAGTATGTGTGTGTTAGTTTTTGTCTTTGATATGTGTGGTGATTTATTGTTTTCTATTCAACAAATAAATAAATAAATCTCTGTTCTTGACAATTAAACTTAACCAAAACTTGATCTCGTTTGCGTGTTCTCATTGTGTAGGAGGCTTTGGTACATGTAGAGTTTCCTGGAGGTACGGGTTTGTTTTATTTACAACGGAGGTTTGTGTTCACTCTAGTAGAGTGGTTTAGCAAGAGGATGAGAATGTTAGTTGACAACGGCGCATGTAGAAGAAATGCCATTGAGAAACTGGGTCCAGAATGTCACCCTATTGTGTCTCAGAAGTGACTTAGCAGTTGTTGCAATGAACTGTTAACATTATATTTGTTCTTGAATTCCCTAACCTTGGATCTTTTAAGATCACCATCACCTTTGAATTTTTGGTCTTATAGACCACTTTAAGGACAAGGAAATCATCTTCTTTGAGAGTTATGCAACAAGTGCAAACAGAGGATAGTTATAGATACACACACTTTTTCCTGTTCTGAAATGACATTCCCTTCCTCTTGCTAAATCCCTCTAGTTGCTTATGGTGAGTATTTCTTTGAGGGTTTGTTTGGTCATTTATATATAGTATAGTATTCTGTATTAAACAGTAACGTCAGTTTGAAATAACGTCAGTTTGTATCAAATTGACTTTACATGTGTAACAAATCAACTTCGACTTGTATCGAAACGACTTGTACCAAAACGACTTTGTATCAAAATGACTGGATTCCAGGAGCACAGAACTTGTATACTACTGGTAGCCTGTGAGTCTATGCCATTGTTAACATTATTTGAATCAGGTGGTACTGAGTGGGACTGTTGACTCGTATATCATGATCGACTGACTGTTGAGCAATGAATGTAAACTGAAGCTTTGTCAAGGCTACTCAAAGTACACATGATCCACGCATCTAAGAGAAAAAACTCTAGTTCCCTGACAAAGGTACGTTATAATTTGGTTTTATCAACTGAAGGTATTGTATGTTGTAGATCAATATAGCCCGCATTTGTCCATAGTTGTAGTCTGGTTAAGACTAAGAAAAATCGCAGATATAAAGACAATCATTCAAAACTGAAATTCGAGGAAGACATACTACTTCGATTGAATATAACAAAAACATAATAACTGTATATTTTACGAGGATTTTTTAAACTCTGTGGCTTCTTCTTTCTGCCACTTTTCAATAAAGTGCAACACTTGTTGAGCTTCTACAAGCTCCTTGTGTATAAAATACTTTCGTCCATGAGCTTCAAAGGTAGAAAAAGCTCTATCGTCTGGGTATACAAAAGTGTCATCAGCAGGAAATTCCACTCTTTTTCGCAACGCAAGTAAAGATAACGTCTCAACAGCGAACATCATTTCCTTTGGATTGAAGTCCATCTTGAGCACATAGGATTTGGTTACAAAATGAAGTAATGCAGTTGAACCTGTACCAATCGTACATAATAAAAACACTGCGATCGTCTTCACTGAGGCCGAAGTTGCTTGATTTCCAAAAAGCACCAACAATGGAGAACAAACTAAAGTCGCCGCTGCTGTAGTCAGGGAAAGCAACTTTACAAGTTTGACTGATCTTGAGATTGGACCTTCATACACAGTTTTCCAGTCGCTTGATTGATCAGTCATACAACGGTACTGCCAACTTGCCGGCCGCAGAACAGACTTAGTCCTAGGTAATACTTCCTGGTTAACATTCACTGCACTAAAATGCTTTATCCATCTGATTGTGTGTAGAGAACTGAAGTTTGATGATCGAAATAATGGCTTTCTCCCTAAAATACAAAACATGTCCACACGATGACTTGTCTGTTCTACTTGTAAACACGTGCATCTGGAAAGCCGCTGACCTGCCTTAATATTATCACGTGATCCGATCTAAACCAATGAATATAAAGAATATAGAAAGTTTGTCCGCCATTCTCGAGTGGAATGGAGACCGATGAAACATATTATTCCTTTATCGTAAATGGATTGTGAAGAAATCTAGGGATGTTTTGATGCTAACCATTGATCTATTTTGTAATTGATCAGTTTGGAGTTGACTTGGTGAGTTATAATTCGGTTCATGGTCTTCGCTATAAATCTTACATTCAACTTGATAATCTGGATGATTTGAAGCTAAGACCTTACATGGTTTGAAAACATTGTTTGTAGTTTCTTTTTTAAATTGTTTTTTTATTTTTGGTTGTAGTTGGTTCTGTCTGTTTGTATGGAGTTGATAGCTCCGTGAGATTTGCGAGGCTCGCTTACTGTTTGGCGGACTACCTTTATAATTGGAGGTGGTTCAACCACAGCTTTTGGATCGAATTAATCACAATCATTTAGTTATATGTTGTATTACAGCTAAAAATCTGCGTTTGTTCCAGCTGCTCGTGGATCATGCACAGAAAAAATGCCAAGAAAAATGAATTTATGATAACTGTCTTCATATTGAATTTCAACTTTTCATTAGGGTTCTGTTAGAAATTTTGTTTACAAACCAAGTATTATAGATTAGTTAAACCGTAGATTAATTAAACCTCGTTTCAAAACCATTGATTTGAATAACAATTTAAAAAAAATTGTATCAACCACGGTGCTTAGAAAATATCTGAGGTCCCTATGATGACAGCTTCTAACCCTAGCCAGTTCTAACTTTGTGGTTGGATGCTCAAGCAAGTGAGCTGTAGAGCACTAGCTGGTTGACAAGGTCATGCACTTGGTTAACCATGAACACTCTTACATCAGTTTGCATATTCTCCATAATGTTCCCTATGCTTGTTGTAAGATACTAACAAGGATTATTTATTTAACAATCAAGAGCTTCTTTAGTAGATGACCATCTCCCTTATTGTCATGACCTTAATGTGCAATTCAGAAGTTATCATGTTAGGAGAATGTGATGCTAGTCACTCTGAGGGGTCAAAGTGTTATAAAGATATCAGAATTTCTTTGGGTTGAACACAATTAAAATTTTTTATTGAAATCTCTACTTTTGAACTTAACCAATAACAACACAATGTTCAGAAACTCTCTTGAAGCATTGTAGAGGTTTAAAATACATGTGAAAGAAAATTGTTATTATAGCGGAGCTCGCAGAGGGTAGCCCCATAATTATACAAAATGGTAGTAGTAATAGTAACCCATCAAGCCAAAAAAAATTTGGACTTACAACTGTACGACTGTACAACCATACAAGGTGCTACTTTTAACATGCATGGTCAGCTGTACCGCGGGCACGCCAACACCACAGCTTTGTCCAGTAGTCCAGTGGTCAGTGCACTGGGCTCTGAGTCAGACGACCTGGGTTCTACTCCTGGCCAGGGCAAGGCGAAGTGCCCTTGAGATGTGCAGGGAAAAAAAAATGCGAGCTCTGCTTTTAGGCTTGGCAAAATCTATATATTATTAAAAAGTAATAATGGATGTTTGTTACTTTGTTGAAGTTTATTTTTAATTGTGGTTGCATCTATATGTTGTATTCATATTGTAGTAGCAGTATCTAAGATTTGTGAGACAAACATCCTTTTAACTACATCAACTACATAAGAGGCTTACTATGACATTTTACAGAGAGGCTGTTTAACCATGTCACTGAAATTGTTGGTTTGTTTGCTGCACCAAAATCAGCTGTCCTTAAAATATAAATCCTCTGGTACTTCAAACACTTGAGTGATACAATTGTACATTTTGACGACTGAAAGATTTTCATGAATTTTAGATAGGTCCAATGGACCCTGAACGAAGTCATGTGTCAGTCCAGAATGATGACAACCACAGAAGTGTATTGCCATCAAGCTCCATAGAGGAAGGATCTTGTTCTGTGGCAGTGGAGGTCTCTGACTCTGAAGGAAAGGAGAATGCACTTGTGGAGAAAGTTCAGGAGATAGCATTAGACAGCAGTAGTAGTGTCAAGACAGAATGGACAACTTCGAGGGCGAGCATTCATTTAACAACAAGTGTGCATAATAAGACTGGAGCAATGTTTGAAGAGGAAGAAGAAGGAGAACTTGATTACGAGGAGGATGAAGGCGAAGTACCAGGGGGCCAAGAGGATAAGAATGGCCTAAGAAATGATGTTGATGATGGTAAAGAGGAAGGTGAAGTAGAAGATGATGAGCAAGATGATGAGGGTGAAGAAGGAGAAATCCTCTCAGATGATGATGATAAGGTAAAGGGCTTTTACATCCCCAAGATCCTTATATTAAATCTCCTTGCTTTGTTTGTATGTTTCTCAACATATTAGTTCTGATAATTTGGTGTTAATCAAGCATTGATATTGTATGGAAAAATTACTGTCTGGTAACTATGAGGAATGAAAGGGTGTAGAAAGTTCCAAGCCACGGATCCAAACTTTTGAGAAAAACTTATTTATTTGGCTATACATCCATGAATGTATTAAAAAGAAGATAAATTTGTTCAAAAAATGAGTGGGGTAAGTTTGGAAAAGAACAGTTGTATCCTGGTGCTATAACTGTATTTCCAGCTAAGTTTGTATAGGTATGTGTGTTGTTTTAAAATTTTTTATTTGCTTTTCAGGTAAATGCAGAGAAAAAGCCTCAAGAACAAAAAGATTCAGCTAAGAATGAGGTAAAAAAGGGAACAATAAGTTAGTGATGGTGCATTCTTACCAGTATAACCTTTGTGCTGTTATGATATGTAACGCACACAAAGTTAATGAGTAGAAGACCTCAGTAGTTTCTTTGAAATCTTTTAATGAATGAGCAAGCATTAGACAAGGTATATATCTAGAAAGAGATACTGATTGTGGTTATAATTATGGTCTTGATGAATAAATTGAGAGGTCAGTAATTATGTAATAACCAAAAAGTTGATATTGAAATTTTCACTCCAGAGATCTGGAGTCAATTCAAGTAACTGATGACCATACACTTCTGTAGCCAGTTTGAGTGAAATTGATTTTATAAGGGGGCTAAGCATATAAATAGAAGAGGATAGTGTCCAACCTTGTCATTACTTGTCTTCACAGTGGTGTATTGAAATTGTAAAGAGAATTTAGGCCTTTGATTACTCCTGGCAGTCATGGAGTTAATGAAAAATTTCACCTAAATGTCTACTCTTTAATTTTCTTTTGTTAGGCTGATGGCCCTGAAGAAGGAGAAGTGATTGATGATGGAGATTCCATGGGTAATTGAAATGGAATGTTATGATTCAATTGGTTTCCTTTTTTTTTGACAAATTACTGACAAAAGCATTTAACATTTCTAAAATACTGTATAGCATGAAAAATTTGGGGATTTGGAGGATAGTTTTTGATTGGTAAAGTTAAGCTCAAGAAAAAGATTCCTACAATATAATAAACCCACTGAATTTCACAGAAATGGGTTTGCATAGTAACAAGAAATTACAAATAGTGTTTCCCAGTGTAATTTATCTTTTTTTGTGCAGGGCACTGAAAAATTTAGTCAGCCCCATCCTGAGAATAGTAGAGTTTAGCTTTATTTTGGTAATCATTTCTTATCTTAGGTGAAAATTGTGTTTTGGAGTGATTAAAAAAAAAAAAAAGCATGTTAAGTGGTATGTTGCTCGTAATGATCAAACCACTGCATTTGGGTATGTACGTCACACCGATCAGATTGCCACATTAGGTTATGTATCTGGCACTAATCATATCACAGCATTTGGATATCTTGCACCAATCACAGCATTTAGGGTATGTGTCTCGCACCAATCAGAATGCTGCATTAGGTTATGATCTCACACCAATCATATAAGAGCATTTGGATATCTTTCACCAATCACAGTGTTTAGGGTATATGTCTGGCACCAATCATATCACAGCTTTCTTGCAAATGATGCCATGGAATCAGGAGGCTGTGCACAAAGAATGATATAAACCATAAATTTTGGGCTAGTTTTGATAAGTGCTATGGATTGTGGCCTTCACAAGAGCCTCTTTGATTAAGGTCGAGATTCATCAGGATATGAAAGGTTTCCATCATTTGTATCATTTTTAAGTTTAAAATTTTTTTTTTCAGCTCCTTTACTTACAACTCACGCACCAAACAACCTACATTCCATCATGTACCATGAAAACAGCATCCAAAGTCTAATCAAAACATACCCAATCATTGCACTGCATGAACATCAGGCAATTTTTCGTGTGCTTGAATTGTATTCCACCAATCAAATTCCATTTTGCCAAATTAGACTTTGCGTTTAAACTTTTTCAACAAACAATTTTGGCTTTTAGCTACCTTGGACTTAATCCAATTGAGTGTTAATTCCTTGTTAACAACCTGCATTTATATCACACACAGAGGGCAAAGTCCAGATAGGCAACAACCAATCAAGGAGCCCTCTTTGAAACATTATCCTTTTCTCTTGGTCAGTGTATCTTCACTCATTTGAGATCCCAATATATCTTTTGTTAAGGTCTATTGGAGATACAATAGGGTTTCAGTTTGCTTTTTCGTGGAATTATGTGGAATTTTATGTTTGAGGCAGCTATCTGTAGATGAATAATTTTTATTTTCTCTCTGTTAGAGGAATGTTGGTAAACATAGTCTCTTTCGCAATCGTTATTTGGTCTCATCAGGCAGTGCACTCTCTCTCCAACAGGTATTATATGGTGTTTTGTGATGAGACCAAACAACAGCTGTGAGGAGAACAACAGTAAATGTGGCACTGATGCATTTTATTTTTGTTTAGAAGTATTTAGTATTTATTTATTTCTCTACATGGCTTTACTGATGTGTAATCTTGTTCCTCCATTTTAGGTGCACCAGTCCTAAGAACAAAAGTCTGCAGATATTTTATGTATGGTAAGTTTGCTTACCAAAGCTGTTTTGTCCACTGACAGTAATGCTCAAAAACAAAGGTTCGGAAAGCTGTGCTGTAAATTACATGGCATCAAGTGCCATGTCAAGTATCTATTGCAGAGATCCTTCTTTCAACTTTTTTTTGTTACAGTTAAGATTTTACTTGCACAACAACCTTGTTACATTCTCATATTGCTCTTCTTTGCAGGTGGTTGCACATGGGGGAATTCTTGCAGATTTCTTCATCCTGGTCACAATGACAAAGGTGTGGTCAAGAATTCAGCTTTAATCTCTCTTACATCTACAGTAACTTTGGAAATGCAGGACAAAAACTGGATTTTAAGTGAAGTAGAACCTCAGTTTTGCCTGCTCACTTGTCAGGGTTTGTTACCTTTGTTCAATTCCATTGTGCACCAAAAGAAACATGAATAGTAGAAGAACTTATGAAATTTAAGTACCTTTTTCAAAAATTACACAGGAAGTGCTTTAATGTATTCCATTTGAGTTATAGAAAAAGAACAAGATGATTTAGTTTTAAATGTGGTCTTGAATTGTCTGATGTAAGAAGCAGTGGTACAAGAACTACTATTGATTTGAATAATGTTGACAGGTGCCTATCAAATGCTTCCTGAGCCTGGCCAGTACCCAAGCCCCTTCCCCAAAGCACCAGCAGTTGTTCCTCCCATTCATCCTGATGCTATGATGATACCGGACCAAGATCTTAGTCAGCTGGTAAGTTTTCTCCACCAACTCATCATATTTTCAGTGTAGTTTATTGACTCAAAAGCTGGACATCTTGATTTTAGATTCCACCCACTGTATTTCTTGTTCTTGGTGTTTTCTTAAGATAATAAGAGTACATATTAATATTTTCCTCAAAAAGGAATGATCTGTCTTGAATAGAACACTTGTGACATTTGTAAACATGTGGACCCTTTCATGTTAATTTGAAGAGTCCTTACACATTGGTGCATAAAGTTCCAAAAACACATGTTGGATTTATCAGTAAAGAACACAGCACATTAGTTTCTCTTTTCTCTGCACACCATGTGTACAATTTCTTATATTTCATTCAGGTCAGGATACATTTGAGTTAATGTTGCAGTAATTGTGATGTTTTATTTTCAGGGTGATGAAGTTAATGACAATAGTGTTCAACCTGCCTTAGAGGTGATACCTCCAACCAAAAAAGAAACCGCATGGGAGAGGGGACTGAAACGAGCAAAAGAGGTACTGAATTATCTTTTACAAGGATATGTATGTATGAAACATCTCTCCAAGGGGAACTGCATGTCAGTAGAAACATACTTTTCAACAAATGCTGAAAAAATGAAAAAAAAAATTTACCCTGCACTGCACGAAAATAAATGAGGAATAGTACATATAAGTTGTCTTTTAATATTGTGGAACATTGTTTGGTGTTTGTTAGTATTCACTATTGACTTTGTTTCTGCTTAAAATGTGAACAACAACAATCCTTGCCCTGAGACTAGACAATTTTAGTATTGGAAAAAAACATAATAACTTAAGAGGGAAAACCTAATTAAGAAAGAATAAAAATGGCTAAGTAGTGGGAGGAAGATTACAAAAGAATGCTAAAGACCAACGGAAACAATTTTGATTGGTACAATATTTCATGCCACTAAAACCGTATCTTGACTTCTTTTATTGAATGCAGATAAAAAAGGCCGCTCAGAAGAGAAAAGAAGAAGACGCTGATTTTAAGGAAAAGCGAATGATACTGGGAATCACAGCTGAGGATGACGAAGATGAAAATGATAAAGAAAATACGATGAGACGGCGTGAAATGATGCGGAGTAGGCTGGAGAAAGAAGCTATTCACTGTGAGGAGGACGATGTCAGGTATCGCAGAGGTGCTGACATTGTGTCTCGGTGGAGAGACAAGAGAGAAACTTCGCCTCTTCAGTATCGGGTTCGTTGATGGACTTAATTTGTTCACTTGAACAGTGCTTTACCAGACATATCCACGCTAAAATTCTGAATTGGGGGGTTAACGTGTTAATTGATCGTTTTGTATGTTCATCTGCAACAAATCGGGTTAGAAAAGGATATTCTAGGTGGTTGTCTCTTATGTTTTCATTTAAAATTGTGCGGGAGAAATCGGCGAACGGCTGGCCAGAATTGATCAATTTGCATTTGACCGATATATCGGTAGGATTAAGTACGTCCATTTCGGAAATTGGTGCGCACAGAAATAAAATTTGATGAAGGTCTTTTCGGTTGTAGGATCGTGACAGAAAGAAGAAGAGAGGTTTTCGCACTCCTTCGTCTTCACCTGAAAGGTAAATATGATAAATTGTATTGATCAACCTTGCCATCAGTGAATTGGAGAGTAGATAAAAGCATGTTCCTTTTTGGAAAAATTAAGATTGTAATATAGTCAAACATCTACGTAACCATCTATGACACACGACTGTGATGGGGAGGCAAAGGAGTAGTTGTATTAGATATTAAATCCTCTTGGAAACAAGAGGCTATTTTTTTCCTGAAATCACAGGTGAATTACCCTCCTAAATCAGCATTATCACTGAAAAAGTTGGCCGAAATGGGTATTGTTTTTGTTTTAAAGGCATTCACTTTTTCTTGCTCTTTCAGGGACAGACGGAATAGACGACGAGGAGGTGAGAAGGATAAACAGAAAGAAAAAAACAAAGAAACTGTTAAGGAGAGAGAAACAGAACAAACGAGAAAAGGAACGAAAGAGCTGGAAAAGACAAGCGAGGAGAAATTTAAAAAGAAGAAGGACAGAGGTAAGGAGAAGGAGACGGAAGAGGAAAAAAACGACAGTGCAGACAAGGAACAAACAACTCCAGCTCTCAAGGAGCAACAAGAAAGGACAACTGACGAGAAAAAGAACAGGGATGAGGGAAAGAAAAAAAGGACTCACGAATCAAGTGCGGAGACAGAAGTTAAAACAGCTAAGGATATAGAGAAGAAAGAGGAGACCAGGGAATTAGATGACAAGGACAAAGCTAAACCCAAAGCATTAGGAATCTCTAGTTCTCGTCTCCCTAATGACGACTGGATTGATCCTTGGCAAAGAACTACTTCTCCTAAACGACAGTCAGCCTCTTCACGGAGTTCACGAAGCCGATCGTCATCTTCCTCATCTGACTCATCACGCTCGTCACGTTCACGTTCACACTCAGGATCAGAGTCACATTCCACTTCACGCTCTGCGTCACGCTCACGGTCTCGTTCAGTCTCTGCAGCGTCTTCTAGATCACGCTCGCGGTCCCACTCCGGATCCCGATCTAAATCACGCTCCCGATCTGGATCTCGATCCTCGGGTAGCGATCGTTCGAGTTCGTCAAGCAGCCACAGTCCTATGAAAGAGGCGAAGACTGCACCGAATGCAGACGACGACAGAGGTGCCAAACAAGCGTCAAACGAATCATCAGACTCGGAATCCGAATCAACCAAATCCAAGTCTCGATCACCCACACCGGTTTCGAAAAGCCCCATAAAGCCAAAAGCTTCTCCAGACAAAGGACCTCGGACGCCACCAATCGAGTCATCAACAGGACGTTACTTCAAAGAAAAAAGGAATCGCTATGAGTATGGCCGAGCAGACAGAATAGAAAAGTGGCGAGAGACGCAGTTACGATATAACAACCCTTGGGACCCCCGAAGGATGGGTGGTACAAGGCCAACTGAAGATCCATATAGGTGAGTATCTTATGTCGTAGAGGTGGTGGTGGGGGGGGGGGGGTGAGAAAGCTGTTTTCCGGTTTTCCATCTAAAATTGGCTATTGGTGGACGTCGGGAAGTAATCTGTTTTTCTGATGTAGGGAGCGAGAGCGTGGATATCACTCTCGAAGGGGAAGGAGTCCCACGAGGAGAAGAAGATCTCGATCGCCCCGGAGAAGGGTAGGTACCTTTCTCATTGCATAGATGAGTCCTTAAAAGAGTGAAAACTGAGGTTAGAGTTAAGGTGGTCATCACCAATTGATTATCTAACATATATCCACCATAGAATAAGAAAAGAATCAGACAACTTTTCTGTCGTTTCATTAGAGCTTATTACGTGAAGTCTTTAACGGTACCTTCGTAGCGATAAGTCTGAGTAGAAAAATGGTCTTTGTGATTGTTGACGTTTTTCTTTTGACAGAATGAGGACCGAAGGCGACCTGACGAATTGAAGACGTGAGTTTTCTTAGTTCTATATCAAGACTTAATTGGGTACATGATTTGGAAACTGATTTTGAGCTGAACGACTGTAAAGGATTTTTAGTTTTCTACCTAGTGATTTATGAAATGAACCATGCTTGAGCCATGGGTTAAAAGTGATAAACTGATTCTCACAAGTAAACTGAAATCCAATAGATTGCTAGAGTGCTGAGCCGTGATTAAAGAATTCTTGGAAGCCTGAATTCCTTTCTGCAGGGTTTCTGTAACAGTTTTAATTGTAGTATACCATGGTGGAGTATCGTTTCCCAGCTGCGGGTCACCAGGGCTTGTCATAGAGTATGATAATGTATGCAAATAGCACGCGCTTGCGCAATTCAGCATACAAGAATCTTCCATCTTTGTGACTTCAGTTTCCAGTTGAGTACCAGTGTAGTTGAGTATTAAATTATTTATCATAGATGTTTGGAAATGAAATACATAAAAATCTCTATTCGGCTGTTGAGTGCTATTACTTACTTCTATCTTTAAGCCGAGAGCGTTCCTCGAGTGCAGATAGCATGGAGCATGCGCTGGCTCGGCCCAGTTCTCCTCGCGGGACACGGGAACGAGGCGGAATGCGGCGTGTGTCCAGTGCATCATCAAGTGACAGTGAGAGTACTGACAGTGGTAGTCAATCTGAAGACGAACAAAACCCGCCTAAAACACGCCGGACAGCCCCTGAACAGATCAAACAAGCTCGGAATGTGCCGCTGACAAGTGGAAATATTAGATATACGGGACATAAAGATATTAAACTCACTTTGAATAAGGTACGATTGAAAAAAATGGTCGCTCTTTGTTCTACAAGGTGCTGATGTCAGCAATCCTGCCCAAAGTTCTTCGTAGTGAGATACATGCAGTTACATGGTGTTTTGTTTTTATTACGTATCTCCTTCTTACAAACAATGCAGCGACTAAAGCGCAACTGCAGATCAAGTTTTAAAGAGAAGAAAGTGATAATCATGGCTATGATTGTATGTGTGCACTGAAGATGTCCAACATCGTGCATTGTTGATGGTGTTTTCACCGTCAGGGTGACGAAATGTCATGATGATGATGATGATCATGGTGGTGATGATGAAGTTTTTATGTTGTCTGATTTTATTCTCACTTATTTCATTTCAGTCTGTGACGCGAAAAGACAACTCGGAGCCATCCAAACAACCCGCTCCTCATTCACCACCAGCAAGATCTGAAGCCAGTAGCAGCAGTGATAAACCCTCTGCGTTCAAAAAACGGCCACGTGACTCACCTTCAGTCCCTGACGCTCCAGCGGCTAGGAAGGAAGCCGTGTCATCATCCATGCCATCTGCTATCAAACCTGACAAACAGTCAGCGGATCCTCATGTGGAATCAGCGTCTTCCGGGAGAGGAAACGCGGCGAACACAACCTCAAGGAGAGAAGAACTTCTTCGTGAGCTTAAAGCTGTCGAAGACGCTATAGCAAGAAAGCGCGCCAGAATTGAATAATAATCGTGCATATTTTCAAGTAAATGTATAATAAAGACCTGTCTTTCGCCATTGTATTTGTTATGAATATTTTTATTTCAAGCAGTCAAACTACGCATAACACTGTTAGAACTACTGTCACGTTGCTTCTGTCCCACGTTGGATGGAGGTTGATAATGGCCGGAGCCAAACACCTTAGTCTACCCTAGTCTTAATAATAATAGTAATCTTTAATGAAGATGCCAACGTCACGAAGTGATTTACAGAAGGGTCCTCAGAAAAATACTAAGTTTAGATTAAGAACTAGTTAAACATACAAAAATGTAAAAGATTAAAAGAGTATATACAATAATCAAGCATCAAAAATAACTAGTTAAAAATACAGGAATGTAAAAGATAAAAAGAATATACAAAGAGTAAAAAGCAAAGAATGTCGTTAAGAATCAAAGATAACTTTTGACAGGCCACGTTTAAAAGCAGGCAGTGATTCTGTATTCCTTAATGAGGTGTCTAACCCGTTCCATATATCAGTGCTAAAATTTACTGACGACCAATGACCCCATCTTCTTGTGGCACTGGATTTGCGAATGTCATTTCTCGATCTTGTGTAGTAACTATGAAATTCACCATTGAATGTGACAGGGATCGAGTGACAGAAATGGTTGTTAATCAATTTATACATAAAAATAGCATGATGTTCCTTTCTACGTCGCAATAATGGCTTCCAGCCAAGTCTCTTTATCGCCTCAGCTGCAGGAAAATGCGCAGGAAGAACTAAAGTGAGGCGAGCGGCCTTATTCTGTAACACTTTTAGCTCAGACATCAGGGAGGCATTTCCGTGATCTCCCCAAATGATATCCCCATAGTCAAAAAGAGGTAAAATGAAACTATTGAAAAACAATTCTAGCATCGAGGGGGAGGCAAGATTTAATACGCCTTAAGAGACTTGACTTTTTACTGATCTTACCACGAATATAATCAACGTGGTCAGTCCAGGAAAACCGGTTATTAATCACAATACCCAAGTACGTATAAGAATCTACATTATCGAGGGGGATATCATCAGCAGAAATAAGGATGGACCCAACTTTGCTTAAACGGGAACTACTACCAATAAGTAAAAACTTGGATTTCTTAACATTCAGAGTAAGTTGGTTAGCCCATTAATCTTGCTTTGTAAGTCCACAGTAGATTAAGAGGCGAGATAAAGAACAGTGTTATCTGCATTTAAAGTGACCTGACAGAACTGCAAAACGTCAGGTAGATCATTCATTTAACAATTGGTTCATACGTCAGCGTGCGTTCATCGAGATATGAAGCACGCGGGAAGTTTGGAGAGCACGAAAGATGCGTAATATAGAGCCTTGAGCAACGCCAATCGAAACAGGGGCAACTTTGGAGCATACATCGTTACAACTGGTCACTTGTTTTCTGTTCGTTAACAATAAAGCGTAAATGAAGTAAACCAGGCTTTAGCAGCATCATCAACACCATAATTTGAGAGCTTCTGAAGCAGTATTGTGTGATTGACAGTGTCAAACGCTTTGGCGAGGTCTAAGAATACAGCACCGGTCAGGCCACCATTGTCCATCGAGTGAAGGATCTGATCAGAAAGCTGAGAGGCGGAAGTAACAGTAGATGACTTCAATCTAAATCCAAACTGGTTGGGTGTAATAAAATTATTCTCAGTTAGATATGCATAAAACTGAGTATGAACTGTCTTCTCTAAGATCTTGCTTATAGTCGGCAGAATGGAAATTGGCCTGTAATTAGAAGCGTTCTGTTTATCACTCTTTTTAAACAAGGGTATAACCTTTGCTATTTCCATACAGAAGGAAAAGTTATTGTTTGAAGGGATAAATTAAAAAAGGCCGTTAAAGAAGGAGTAATAACGTCCACAGCATCTTTTAGAAGACGCGCGCTAATTTTGTCGAGACCAACGGCCTTATTAGTTTTCAATAAACTGATGGATCTTGAAACAAAATCTTCACTAATCGGTTGTAACGTAAAGGTAGAATGGCAGACTATAGCCTTAGCTGTGTACGGCTCAGGAACGATCTTTTCCGCAAGAAATTTTCCCACGTTCACGAAGTATGTATTAAAAGTCGAGGCAATAGATTGAGCTGAGGTGAGAAGGGCGCCATCAGCTAACAGATTGGTAATTCTGGAGGACGTTTTAGACGATGGTAGAGTTTGTTTGAAAGCTCTCCAGAAGTCTTTAGCGCTTGATTTGCTACTGTCAATTATTAGGTTAGTGTAATAATCGGATTTGGCTTTCTTGATGCTATGGGTGACTTTGTTCCTCAGATCACGGTATAGACGCCAATGAATACTGCTTTTATTTCCCTTTGCTTTCTTCAGGTGGTAATTGCGCTTATTCATAAGATCTGTAACGTGAGAGTTCAACCAAGGAATAGAAAAGCCTCTGACCCGGCTTGTTCCTATTGGAGCATGGGATTCGGCAACCTCTGAGAATAGTTTACTCCAGGTGTCAGTGCAGTCTTCGATATCTTCATGGTTGTTTACAGTCACATGCTAAGGTACTTGGCGGAGTTCAGACACAAAGGGATCTCTATTGTAGTTTTTATACGAGCGAAATTGGATCGTTTTTTGGTGGAGCTCGATAACGACCGCTCTTCATTACGCAGTAAACCAAAGAATGATCGCTCAATCCAGGATCTATAACGTCGGACTCGGTAATTTTTTGTTGAGCATTGGTAAAGCACAAGTCCATAAGAAATTCAGAGTGTTCCGTGACGAATGTTGGAGATTCAATCACTTGCTTGAGATCGTGAAGCTCAGTAATTTCCTTGAGCAATCGTTTCTGAGACGAATTTGCATTTCTCCTTCCAACTGAAAAATCAATGTTAAAGTCACCAGGCACGACCTTGTCAAAGCCAGAGTCAATCTTAGACAGTGACTCACTGAAGTTATCAATAAAATTGTCTATAGGTTGATCTGGTGGTCTGTAGATACAACCAACAACAAGAGGTGTACAGTTTTTTCGGTTCACTTGAATCCAAACAGCTTCATTTGCATTATTTAGATCTTCGCGAACAGCAAAATTTACAGAATCGCGACAATAAATTGCCACTCCTCCATCAGCCTTTCTTTGGCGATCCCGCCTCACACAGTTATAGCCAGGCATAAGAATCTCGTCATCAGTCACCATATCATTTAGCCAAGTCTCCGAGAATGATAATATATCAAACGACTTTGCACCGCCCATGACGAGGTTCACCTGATCCATCTTGTGTAGTAGACTACGAATATTAAGATGAGCTAGAGATAACCCTCTACTTTTGGGGCAAAACGATAACCCAGAATTGTTTAATTGAAATGTAGGACCAGGTTGGGGACAGATATCACCAGCTAATAGTATAAGACCAGCAGCGCACAGGCTAAGCTGTGTAATGTTCAGGATTCTGTAGGCCTTGAGCGAGGGAACAGTAGTAACCGAGACAACATAACGCGATCTTCTCAAACAATCATTACGGCCCGGGTAAAACTTATTTTTCTTCAATTGCTTTGTCACCTATTACTTCACAAAACGGTATTGCAATCGTAGAATACACTCTCAAACGACTTCATTGTGGAAATATGATTTTCGATGCATGATTGACGCCTGATTGCCTCCAGAGCAAAAATTCCAGTAAAAGCTTTGGTGCAAATGATCGTTGCAAAATCAACCATACAGTCGGTACTCTTGATGCTATTATATTCTTATATTGCCAAAAGCGCTACTAAAACCCGTATCGATAGATGGCGAGAAATTCAAGTAATTGTGGATCTCAGTATTTGTCGATTTCTACCGGAAAGGGTTGGCTTAAATTTCAGGACCGTATTTATCAAAAATAAGACGAATTGTGGAAAAAATTAATATACTCTTATCATCCAGGATTGTAGGATTGCTAGTTGGAGAGAGGCTGAGAATATTCGAAGTTGAAGAAATTCTTCTACCGATCTCAATATGTTTACTGCAAGCTTTTGATGAGAGCACACGAAATCTTCATTTGAAGGGTATCATGCATCTTGACGATATGAAAATGTTAATCCTCCTGTCTCACCCACAAAGAAACGCTTCGTAATCAGTAAGGAGAAGAACTAATTGGATCTTGGAGTAAAAGGGTTTTACACTCGCATTAACTCAAGAGTTAAGTCAAGAATACAAACATTTATTTTCCATGCTGCATCTGATTAATTATTAAGGGAGCTCTAGTCATATATAGGCATGGAGGAGTAAAACCTTAATTCTCCTACATTAAGTTCAACGCCTAACTGCAGAATTGTTCTTATCACTTCTGTTGCATTATTCCTTTTCTTTAGCTCGAGCAAGAGGTAGGGAGAGAGGCTATGTATCCCCCACTGCCTGCGAGAGTATCTCACACGTCAGTGAAACGCCAACGAGAGCCTGCAACCAAGGTTGAAGGCTGTCGTGTATGTTCAAACTTCCTGGAACTACGGTAAATTCCACGGAAAAAGAGAGAAAAGAAGACGTTCTACGATATTTTCAACCGTGTAATATTCTTCAGAGGTACTGTTCATGAAAAAGACTTTTAACCTCGTTAGATCCACTGACAGCTCTCAGATCTAGGAACCTCATCTCAGTTGTACGGAAACATGCATGGCTTTATCAGATGCAGTTAGCGATACAACAATGACTAATAACTATGGCTACAATGAAAAAATCTATTAAATATTAACAACTCCACATTTATTTTATTCTGCGACTGACGAAAAGAGCTTGCACTGAAGAAAACAAATTCTCCACCAGAGGGGCTCTCCGGTCTCGTTGAATTGCTTGTAGAAGGGATAACTGTATTTCAAGAAGGTAATTTCATTTCAAACTTTTTAGTTTCATTGGTTTTGCCACAATTGGCGTTTCCCCATATTCAGAATTACTTAAAACTAACTTTCGGTTTGGGAATTTCAAAATTCACCTGCCATACTTCGCTTCTAGTTTGACACCAAATAGAAGCCCTATTTCTATTGGTTAATGAAAACCCTAAGCCAATCAGAAATTACTATCCATTGCAGGAATAATTTTCGCAATAGTTCATAAAATGCATACAGTGGTGGACCTTATGGCCGAAAAAAAAGGCGAAGAAGTTCGAAAAAGGAACAAAGAAATACCCTCATGGGCACCTGGAGGAGCTGATTACGATCCAAACCTTCCTTATGGGCCTAAAGTTTACGTGGCAAGACGAAAAAAACCGGATCCGTGGTGGGTAACAGCTATTGAGGTACGAAACAATTAACGAGTTCCTTCTGTGATATTTATATTACTACAAAAAATTATTATTTTCATGTCTTAACTCGAGAATGGCAAGTTCTTGGTTTCCTTCTTTTCAAGAGTATTTTATGCTTTTGATATCGTGTTCTTTCGTAATTTTTGCAGCATTCAGTTGTCTTGTTCGTACCTACTACGTTTATGAAAGTGCTTGTTTACACTGAAGATCGTGAATCAATTAAGGAGCTTATTGTTTTCAGTTTTCATTAACAGTAGTGCTTCTGGTATCGCTAATCGTGGAAGTGTTAGGCTACAGGTAAAGGAGATAAGGCAATACTATTAATGTGCTGGTACTGTTGTTTTTTTAGGTTACAGTGGTAGTTGGTGTTCTGCTCTTCTTTGTGTACATGTATTATTATATGGATCATCTGCATTTTCATGTGCTGAACGCCTATGCCAACGTTGGAGTCTCACACGCACAGCATCATGTAGCACACAAATACCTCAATGGTAAGACACGGTGTTGAAAACTTCTATTCCTTCGAGTATAATCAATTTTCTTTGGAATTTTGAGACACTCAGACATTAGGTATTTAAAATTTCGAAATGTTCATCTTAGATAAATTGTCTAGATTTAAGGATGAAATAAATATTCTCAGGACTAACCAACAACTAATGTATTATCACCAGTTAAGAGAATCAGCTGGTAGTTCTCAGATTTCAAAGGTTATCAGCAATTGTAATCCATCAAATTTTTCTGCTTGTGCATGAGAAGTATAAATGCATCAATTAACCAAATACTTTCCTTAAAACTGGGGAATTTGTGAATGATAGCCTTCATTTGGTACAAATATATGCCTGGATATTTGTCTGTGGACATTATCTGTTCAGAGAAGCAAACAATGTACCAGTAGTGAGCTCAAAACAAAAGAGTTCACTTTTAGATTGAGTATCATTTTAAGAAAAACCAAAATAATCACAATGGCTGATCAAAATAAAGGAAAATACCCCTTAAAGCCAATGGTTGAGAGAAGAGCATGAATTTTCTGGACTAATTATAGAGAAAGATGAAGCAAAGCCAAAGCAATCCCAGATTACTGTTGGCACTCCATTGAAAGCTATGCTATACCACTATTCTATTTAACTGATTGCTACTTAAATACCTAATTTTTTTTTATAGTATTATACCATTTACTTTGCTGTTCTTTTCAGGGCGTGGAGTATCAAAGGATGAAAAGATGGCCTTTTACTGGTTCAGGTTAGAGTGAATTATATACATGGAGTATAATTTTCTCATTAGGTTTTGGTGTTTAGTATTGCGGAGTATTTTTTCACTCAATTTGCACATTATTTGTACTCTACTCCCTCAACCAAGTAAATGACATTTTGCTTGAACATGGAACAAAACCAAAAATAGAGTGATTCAGCCTATCAAGTTTGCATAAATACCAATCAGGTGCCAATTAGAAAACCTGGTAAAACTAGTTAAGAGCAGGTCTGATGTAAGAATTATGTGTGATGAAGTCTCAATTAGTTCTACTAGTCCCCTAAAAAGACTGCCAGAGTAATCTAAGTAAAGCAAAACCAATTCAAATCCAGGCTCATTTGTGGATGAAATTGAAAATGGCTCCTCTTTCCACAGGTGTTTGACCATAACCTGAAACATTCTTTTTTTTTGAAAGAGAAAAATTCTGTTTATAGTGTCAGATTAAAATTTGCCTGTTGTAGCATGAAATATAATGTGGTGGAAAAATATTTGTACATTCATTAAGAAATATTATTTTTTTAATTCCTTGTAAAGTATTGAAGTGTTTCAGTCAGTCATATTCAAGTAGTGGAAAAGGATGGGAGGATAGGGGGGTGGGTTGGAAGCTGGGAAGAAAAGGGACTGATGGAACAAGATAGATTGGGACGCAAGGAAGATATGCAAAAATGCAAACATTCTTGGTAATAAAGATGCAGTAATCTTCAGTGTTTGAAAACAACAAATAGAAAATGGAAGTCAAATGTGTGGGAGAGGGAGGAACATGGTGCAGAAGAGAGCTAATGTTGCCACCCCCCTTTCCTCCCTCCCCCTCCCTCTTAAAATAATTAATTGTCAATTTAAAGGTATTGTACTGTGGATTTTTGGTGGAAGATAATAAATCATTAGGTCTACCCTCATATGAATGTTAATTTCTTTAGGTAATTATTTTATATTGTAGAGAAGCTGCAAAGAACGGACATGGCCATGGAGCTTACAATCTGGTGGCTGGACACTTGCAAGGATATGATACAGATGTAGAAGAACAGTAAGAAGGACACTGTTTCTTCAAAACTATTGGGAAAATATATATCATTGAGTAACTCTGTGCTTGAAAGATAAACTAGCAATGTTAAGCTCAAGCACCTGGGTCTTTCAGATTATTGCTGCAAATCTTAGAATAGTATCTTTCTACACTGTGTTGAACATTGTAGTCCTAGTATTGCAATACAAACTGTCTAAGACACAAAGTGTCTAAAATGGTGTGAAACAATTATTTCTGCCTCAAAAGTACTTAATGAGCATTTTTCTTGTGGTTTTCAGTGAGGTGGAACCCCTTCTTAAAATGGCAGCAGATAATGGTGTAGAGGAAGCCAAAAAAGCTCTCAAGGACTTGTATCCACATAGATACACATGACCCATTAAACTGGTTAGTTAATTATTTAGAGCTTATTGCTATTTTTGTTTTCTAGCATTCTTATAGTCCTCTCTGAAAAGGTGACTTTGTGATAGTTGGGAAATTATTTTTCAGAGTACTTTGACTCCACAACCTGCAAGGAGAAATACAGGATGGGGGGGACTCCAGTATGTTTTTAGTGGGGAAATGCTCAGTGACTCCCCAAATCTGGCCCTTCTTGGTTGGGGGGGGAGGGGGGAAGAGAAATCCATTTGACTTCCAAGAGTCAAATGATCGACTAATTAATTGATATTAAGTGAAAACTTTATCCTTGATTAATTTAGCTTTTACAGTGCTTTTTTTTAGCATCATTCAACCTCTGAAACATGGGTTTTGTTTCATTTTATTCTTCAGGCTCTCGGTTTGGTTTCATGATGCCTTTCTTACACCTTGAAGAGTATGTTATACTGTATTTGATCTCTTGTTTATAGGGTTATTCAGTAAATTTTGTTTGTTCAATTGCAAGTTTTGTTGGTGTGAAATGCATGTCAAGAAATAGAAGTTGAGAAACCAGATGTACCTCTCCCCCTCCTCTCCCTCAAATGAGTTTTTTTTCTTGCCAGCAATTCTTCTAAGACTATCCATTGTACATGTTACATAGTGTATCACCAACTTAGAAAAAGGAATTAAGCAGTTCATATTGTTTTGGTTAGGTGTATTTACAGTTACAAAGATGAATGTGTTTGTCACAGACAAACAGCCAAATTCCTGTGCAGCTATGTTGAAATGGTTTATGATTTTTGGTTATCACTCAAAAGCCACTTGCCTTTTGTATTGTCTTTATAAGTCACTAATTATGTAATTTAAAGACTTGGCTAAATTATAAAAAGGACAGGTTCAGAAATTTTTGCTGGTATCATTAAACTTTCAGCCAGAATGATATTTATTTAATGGAACAACTTATTCTTTATTAAAGAACGATACTGATCAATTATCACTTCTAATCAGCACTCATAGGGATACAGTCTTTTTCACTCACAAGTGAAAATTGTTTCAATATTTACCACGTCTTTCTTGTAAAGTTAACAATCGGTTCATATGTCAGCGTACGTTCATTGAGATATGAAGCACGCTGTTTGGAGAGCACGAAAGGTGTGTAAGAGTTGCTTGAGTGCTCTCCAAACTTCCTTGGTGCTTTATGAACACACAGCTGACATATGAGCCAATTGTTTTATAACATTTTCAACCCAATGGAAAATTTTTTGTCACAAGGAATTTGTTTGCTGATGTCATGAGCTCGCACTATAGGAATATGAAGCATGCTCACACAATTGAATTTGATTAGACAAATTTACTAGCTGTTATAATGACAGTTGTTTCACTGCCTGTGATATATTATTGGTTGTATACATTTATTTATCATTGATTTTAGTGAACACAGAATTAATATATTCATTTGAGAATTAGTAATATAGTTTAAAAAGTTCTTTGGACTTAATGAATAAAAATTAACCAAGGGAATTTAAAAGCTGCTGGAATGGCTCTAAACATACAAAATGGAGGAGTCTTCTACAGTCTGAGAATGTTAACAGAATGGCAGCCATTTTATAGACAGTATCAACAACTGTTTGTTGTTAAAAGTTAGTTTAGTTGCTGCTTTTGATGGTCAACCAAATTGACCTTAATTTATGGAAACTGTTTGTGTTGTTAGTCCTCCTTATATAAACAAGATTTAGACCAAGTGGTCAGTTTATTGCTGACCACCCACTAGCCACTAAGAGGGCATCATATCAATTTTGTACATGTGGAGTTAACAAATAAATTATCAAAGGTTGCTGTGTTGTTTATATCTCTCTGTCACAGAGCACAATGAAATTGAATGTGGACAAATATAAGCAGGATAACTCTCAAAGCTTTAAAAAATAAGTCAAAATGTACTTAAACCCTGGGCTGCAGAATCTCTTCCTTAGACTCTAGTGTTAAGTCCTGGTTGAGGCATTGTATTGTATTTTCTTTAAAAGTATAAATGCTTATTGGCAAACTGTTTGGGAAACTGATAAAATTATAATAAGAGTACCACCAGCACTTTGTACCACAGAAACCTGAAGCAAGCTTTGATAGTGATGAAATGCAAGAGGAAGGTTCCAATTACAACGGTCTGAGGTGGGTTAATCATAGCTACCCTAGCATTTGAGACACAAAGCAGTATAAAATTTGCCTTACACTTATGTAATAGGGGTTGTTTAATTTTTAATTCTCAGAGTTGCTACGTTTTGGGTAAACCATCCTTGTGATTTTCATTTCACCTTGAAAGATGATCTCTTCCTTCTTTATAATTAATGCATCAAGAAGCAAACAGTTCATTTATCTTTCAAAAAATTTTATTATTTTGTAGAATCCCCCCCCCCCCCCTTAGAGGCAAAAATATTTCTTAACTACACTAATTTGACAAATATATGATAATATACAGTATCAACCAAGGTAGATTAAGTACTGGATAGTTCCTAATCAGCAATTTTCACAATAATTTAGGCAAATTCTTGTGATATATACAAAAGGAAAACCTTTTTTTCATTAATAGCATGTGGGGTAAAAGTCCAAAATGATATACCAACAAACTTTTACTGACTTCCTAACCTTTCTCTACAGGTGGCAGAATTCCCCCCCCCCCCCCAAAAAAAAAAAAAGAAAAAGGAAAGTAAACTTAATTTAAAGCCTAAATGTTGCTCTCAACCTAAAAGTACTTATATTAATAGACCAACTTAAAACATATTTCTTGGTTGTGAATTTTTTTCTCATTAATCCCTTTTAATAAATGTAGACATTGGATTCGATATTACTAATTTCTTCAAAGTTAAGCTCACAAATTTTGGACTCAATATTACTAATCAATATTACTAATTTCTTCAAAGTTAAGCTCACAAATTTTGGACTTGATATTACTAATCGATATTACTAATTTCTTTAAAGTTAAGCTCACAAATTTTGCGATGTTGTTTAAAAAAACTGTAACTTTAAATAACCTTGCATTAATACAATTTTCTTCTTCCTGTTTTGTGAAAATTTATTAACTTTTTAATTTGACAAAACCGAACATATATTGCAACTAAATTTTTGCTAGTCATATAAAATATAAATTTTTATATTCAGTGCAACCTGTAGATAAAACCTGGCCAATATCGATTATATAAAATTAGACCTCTTTCAATGTTTAAATCTTAACAACAATTAATTTATAAAGTATGATTGGAGACAATTAAATGATAAGATATATTCTAATATTCACAGTTTCAAACACATTCACCAACAGGGTTTAATATTGTTTGAATAATTTGACTAAATGAGTCATACAACATAACTTTTTATCAAATTCTATTTGGTAAACTTTAAATCTCTCAGTGATAGATTCTAAGTTCACTGTAGGACACTGTACATTTTCCAGTTGTAATGGCAGTGAAGTTCGATTCTTTAATTTCAACATCAACAATAACTACTGTCTACAGCATCTTCCATGTTGCTCGTCAGCAGGGGTAAGCGGGTCGGCACATGTTCAATGCTGTCTCGGTGCAAGACTGACATCGGACGAACTTATTCGTTACATATTTCTCGCTTTAAACCTGTAAGAAAATAAAAAATTCAACTTGAGCACATAAAGAGACAATTGGTTAGGAGGTTTAACATTCATACTCCATAAAAGACCTGCTACTATGAAGCATAAAATGCTGCCCAAAACGCAAGTAAACGCATCAGTTTCAGACATTGTTACTGCCCGATTTTTCAAGTAAAGTTACTTTTGCGTAGCAAATACACAATTCAGCGACTTTTATTTAGAACCCTTCAGTTAGCTATCATAAGGTTCCTTCTTCGTGTTAGATAAAAACTTGCCGCGCAACAAACTAAACTAGCGTAACCTGACGTCTCTCTGCTGGTCGTAACAATGATTCGATAGACAAACGCCAAGGGGAGTAGTAAGATACGTATTAAAGAATTTGTCTCTGCTACTCCAGAGTTTTCCTTTGCTTCTGCGTGTCTGTTATCGGCATTGACGTTGTTGACGATGAACTCAACTCACAACCTAGTAAAAGTAAACAAAGTATTCTTGGTTACCTCTGTAGTCTGTCCCTTTATTTTCTCGTTTTTCTCCTCGTCTTCTCCAAGGTTCTTTCCATTCTTAGGACTGGGAATTTCTAACGAGTTTCGCCTCTTTGGGGAATTGTCCACGTGGGATTTCATCGATATCTTCTCTATAAATGATCTCCTCCGCGGTGCAGTGTTATAACTGTCTTTTTCCTTACTTGCTCTCCTTATAACTGGTGAACCAACAAAACTGTCCTCAAGACTTCTCGATCTACTTCTATCCGTAAATTTCTCCCGTAGAGAAAAAGATTTGAAAAAATTATTTATCTTTTTGTCCTCCTTGTCCTCCTCTGGTGTCACAACAAGTTTGTCTTTTCCAAATTTGAGGCCCGGCGTTTCCTCAGCACTACTTTTTCTTCCATCAGAGAGATTTTCCATGCTGCCGGAGGTAACTTCCTCGACAAGTCTTTCTTTGTTATTCAGTTGTGCCAAAGGTGATTTCTCTGTAGATATTTTCCGCACTTTATTGCGTTTCCCACCAGATTTCGACAGTTTCTCTTCGAGTGGTGTTACAATGCTGGTTCGTATAGAGTTCTCTTCGTCCGTTGCAGGAAGATTGAGGTCATAGACACCGCTACTGCTTGAAGACTCCATGCTTGAGGCAGTCTCTGAGCTAACAACTGATAGACGCTTCTTTGTCGAACGGGGACTGTAGGTGTTGGATGGTAGGGACTGAGTCCTAATAAGAGGCACATGAACAGCGTTGACTACCGGTTGGTATGGTGACGTGTCCCCGGGCTGGGTACTAGGAATTACTAGAGGCGGTTGACTTCCAACACTAATACCTGTTGACGCTTCCGTTAAACCATACTCTGAAAATTGAAGATAAAACGATTTTTTTGAATGGGTTTAACTTCGCTCTGTGATTGGTCTAGACTGTTAGATCATGAATAAACGAACCACGAACGATCAAAAACATGAACTCACATTTCACATCGAACAAACAAACTAACGAAAGTACGATAACAGAAACGAAACACCTATGAGCGTACGCACGCACGTTTTAACGAACGAAGGCACTGGAGTAAGAACAACCGAGTGCATGCACATACACACGAACTCACGTACGCACGCAGGCATCAATGTGTGACACAAGTTAAACACTCACCCCTATTTCGCATCGCTTGTTTCCACAGTAACCTTGTGATTTCTGTCACCCAAGCCGTTTTCGCTTCGAAAGATTGTGCCTACAGATCAACAAACGAAAACTGACGTCAATTGGGGACCTGGAAATTAAGTTTCAACACTAAATTCCGCAAGTCTTTGCCCCGAACACTTGATTGATATTTCTTTCAGTATCGAACTTCATGCACGATACAGAAAGGTGAAAGGGTTATCCTAAATCTAGTATCTGAACAATACGTGATACGTGTAGAACACTGAAGCGAAAACACGAAAGAGTGTCTCTGGACATGAACTGCTGACCTGTAAAACGAATGTGTCATCTGGTTTCCTTCTTCTGAACCATAGTTCAAACTTGAGCCCACTGTCACCGACATTCTCCGTTAGACCCAAATCACTTGTCTAAATGAAAAGAAACAAATATCGGGGTCAGCAAACATTGAGACCATTACAGGAGATTGGATTGAGCAAAATCCGGCTTGGAAATACTCAAATGCACGTCAATAAAAAACAGAAGGGGTTCAAAAGATTTTAAAGTCCACACTGTTTTCACGAAGGACAAATTAAAACTAAAAAGCTGGGATAAAAAAAGTTGAGTTAAAAAAGGGGTGATTTCCTCGTTACTTAAAAAATAGCGGTAGTGTTGGCATCCCTCTTTCCGAAATCTAAATACATATTTATTCCTGTTTGTATTTATAAACTAATCCAGTACCTTAAGGGAGTTTTTGTAGTAATACAAGTCAACTCCTCCAGGCTGTTTCCTGACTTTGCTGAATATAACCAAATCATCCTGTAAGAAAATTCTCCGTTGATGCTTTTTCTTCCCATTCCAAACAGTGAAGTTGTCTTGGCGTAATAGACGGCCCTGTTCTTTTAGATTTATCTGCAAGTGGATATTTGGTTTTAATTACAGTTCTGAATATAAACTAAAGTAAGAAAACCGTGCCTTTCAAAGATCGGGAAAAAGTAAAATCCAACTAAACAGTGTAGATAAAAATACGATAGCCACATGTTTATTACCCTTCGATCGGGTTCGCTTCTCACTTACGTGTAAGCGAACTTGGGAAATTGTGTTGGATCAGTTTTATTGGTGTCATCTGTCTTGTTCCTTGAAAATCTTTATCCTTATTTCCCTGTTGAGGCGCGACATGGTGTACTCAGAAAGAAGAGGTCCGAGTTTGCACCCTTGCTAGGTCATTGCACTGTAATCTTTGGCAAGACTATTTACTGGAACAGCATCTCTCTCCGCCCTGGAGTATAAGTGACAACTAGCGAAATGTCAGGGAAACCTGACGTTCTCCCATTTAGCTCAGAAAGTGGAGATAGGAACTTGCAAAAATGGACCATTGGGGACAGAAGACTACTGTTTTTCGCTTTTTTGCTTGTCCACCATTTTAAAGCACAATCATCCATAACAAGTGACGTTCTCTAATACTTACATCACAGCCCCTCAGTGAGTCCCAGGCCAGCAAGTCGTTCCCATGCCGCAGTTGGTATTTAACCATTTCTTCAGCAGCCTGGAAATAAAAGAATCAATAGAAAATCAGCTACACTGCTGGCTGTTAGATAAAAGGCAATTTTTTATTCAAAAAAGCACTGCAACCATGATTCACACAACATTATCATATACCTTGAGCTCAGAGATTTTTGGATGTCCAACGCTGAGTGCCTTGATCATATCCTGTGATGGAACACAGATAATGCGTCAATCGTCTAAACAAATACGAGTAACGGATTGAAAACGTCTCGCGCCTGTCCCCTCCCCACCCCCCCCCCCCGCTGGGTGACATGCTCCTGAGTGAAGGAAGGCACTGAGAGTTAAGTGTTTTGCCCCAAAAACAACACAATGGACCAGCAAATTTCGAACTCTGACCTCTCCACCCGAGTCCAGGACGCGAGCCGTCTCATATTTAGTAAAGCGTCCCCTACGTGGGTATTTGAGGTCTTCTCTGCTAGAAAGTACGCTCAGCAATTCTATTCTTCTCAGAGAAATTAGGAAATTTGGCTTTTATCCTTGAAGGTTATGTTTGACTTACGCGCAGTAAGAGACTGTACTTTCCCATCCGCTGAACTGGTTTTATAAGAAAACTGCCGAGATCAAGTTTGTCTCCAAGTTCTTTTTGACGAGCCTGGAAGATATATAACATTAGTTTTACTCTTCTTGTTTACTACAAACTATAATGAATGCATTTTAACGTCATTGGAGAAAAACGCCAGTTTCTAGTGACCTTAACCGAGAATAGAAAACTATAAGTAGAGAGCAAATCGTTACTTCGACCAAGTAACACAAACATATCACGTACACGTTATAATAACCAAGCAGAACTTAAAACAAAAACACACTGCATAACATTTCAAAGTGTCTGACACCACCACCTGATCAGAATGGTTTGGATTTCGATAGGATCAGTGACATTGGAGGTTCATCTAACAAAACAAAAATAAATAAAAGCACGACTTACCCTGAAGTACACATTGCCATGATCAGAGAGCAGTTGATCTGAACGGGGCTTGTTCTTGTTATACAAAGCGTACAAATAAAACTGGCGCTCCTACAAACACATCATACAGGCATGTCCTCTATCAGACGACTTGCAACTAAATTAATTGAATACACTTAACTCAACTCGTTTCACTCGGCAATCCGAACTTAGTTTGCAAGGAACATAATACATCTATGAAATCCAGCACAAGATGGCTAAGTGACCCTTTGCAATATCCTTGTTTTATCAAAATACATTCCCTTTCTACGTACCCATTTCAGGAAACAACTCCCAATGTCCAGGAATCTATCCTTGCATGCTTCTAGTTCCTGTAGGAAATACCTACAAGGCAAAAAGAATTGACACTCAACATATACATGCCATCTGGAAGGCAAACAAAACGTTGATCTTAACTTCACGTATTTCATCACACGCGATACGCACTTATAACACCAAACGATTTCCTTTCAGCTGGTAACCGTTGTTTGAACACGACTCTTACCTTTTGTGAAAATCGTGAATTCTCTCTATGTTTCCAAACAGAATGTTTTTCTTTCCTTTCAAAGAGGGAAGTAAATCTGGGTTATCCATCTCTACAATGTAATTCTACAACAAAACGAAAATCAAAATGAACACTGATGTATGAGCCGTATCGCCAACCAATAATAACCATAAAAATCTTAACTCGTCTTTTTACCCACTCTATAAAATTTTACAATATTTCAACTCACATCCATGATGTACTGCAGCGATTTGACATAGTCCCTCTCGGTGTCAACCATTTCTTGAAATATGTACATCAGCTTTCTAGGATCGAACAAGTAAACAAATCAACACAGCTGTACAAAGGGCAGCCATTACTCGTGATATGTTAAACGAACAACGAGGCAGGGAGAGAAAAAAGAACTGGATACGATTTAAGCCGAGATTTGCAACAATTCGTTTAGAAATACGTGAATTTACCTAAGTTGCTTCAAGGTTGCAAGTTGCCATATTTTTCAAGGTGTGAGGAAACATTTACAAATTTCTTGACACTTAAATCAAGGCCACTTACTCCTCTGTGCGGGGATTCAGCGGTGGCATTTCTTCAACAATGGGAAGTTCATTCTAAAAAAAAAAAGAAAAAAGGCAATTTCCAACAAAATAAACCCCTTAACAGAGAAATTTTTTATCGCAAAATAAAATTCTATTACTAATCTATTACCAAGTGTTACCTCTTTCCATGAATATAAGGCAGAGGGTGGGGTACATGATGATCTCCGCCGTCGAGAAGGCGCCTCCACGTGCGTAATCGGTTTGTCCGCTTCATCTTCACTCTCACCCAAGTCCCTATCGTCCTCGCCCACGTCCTCTTCTCGGCCAGGACTGGAAGAAGTAGACTCATCACTACCACCAGTAGTGGTGCTGCTAACTTCGCTTGAAGGGTGACCCTGGAGGAACCAGAAATCAGAAGAAAAGAAAGTTCATACATACATACATTCAGTTGACTCCTGAGAAGTTAATCTCGCGCTTACTAGAATCGATATCTATTTTCCTCTGATTTACCTCCTGTGTTAAAAGCTATTTCTCCCTAAACAACTCAAAACCTTGTTTCAAAGTGCAATACAGTATTCTTCGTTACTTCGTTTTGTCAGCAATATTTGGTTCCGTTTCTAACCCTTAACGTTTGAACAGAAGTTAAACATGTCAGGAAAGATGTTTTTCTTTTAGTTCTTTAGTTCTTCTTTAATTTCATTCATTCCTCTCATCATTGCCCTTTGGTAAAACTTTTTACGATTTTCCTTAACGATCAGCTGCACTAAACAATTGCCTTGCTGTCAAAACCCTCTCCGAAAAGAGGCCAAAAAAGAATTTTCCAGTGAAGGATCGTCCCTTTGGACCTCCTGTTAGCTAATTCTAGATCGCCACATGTTATGTCTGCGAAAAGTGGCTCTGTGCTCTGAGTCACAAAAAACACTTGAATCGCAAACAAACCGATAGTCTCTCCTCAGCTCTGCGTAGAGTCTCCTGTCGCTTCTGTAACATGTCTAAAATTTCCTTGTATCTTGTCAATATATTTTCAGCGATTTTGACCGGTTTAGCGCTTCCCAAATTTGTGGCCAGCTCAGAGATCCTGTTGAGCCGGCTTTCACTCCACACTGGAGTATCTTCCAGGTATTTTTCCAAAGCCCGTGACAGCGCCGTGACTCCTTCCAAATAAAGAATTTCTTCCATGTTCATAGTTGCCATCTGAGTGAGAGTCGCCATGGACCATTCAGAGGCCTATTAAATGAAGATTACACAGCTGCACATTATTCATTTGAAATTTTGCACAAAAATTAAGGTGAAAGGACCGAGCTTCAAATTCTCGTGTAAAATAGTTACTTAAATGAACTATAACTTTAGTTGTTTACCTGCAAGCAGAGCCTCAACCGATACTTTTGGAAAAAAAAGGTAAAATTTAAGGTTTCTTCCGTAGTGTTATGTTGCAATGGTAGCCTGGTACGACACTCAGAGAGTTTCTGAGGCTGTTGTAGCTTTCAAAGGAGGCACAAACTAGATTGTAAATTTAGTGAAGTGCATTACCTGATCAACCAGTTGGTAAAACTCCATTGAAGAACTAAGTTGTTGTCTTCTCTGTTCAAGTCTTCTACAAAACTTTCTGTAAACCTCTTCTAAAGATCGCTTCCTCTCCTTTATTCCAATTCCTTCATAATGGCCTCCTTCCACCATACTGCTTCCTTCCTCGAGCAGATTTTCCACACGGTCACAGTAACACTGTAAACAACAGCAAAAAAGCGGCAAATTAAAACGACAAACATATTGCTCTTATTGAGAAAGTGACTAATTGTATCTGCTATCGTTACATTCTGAGGGATCAATCTTACTCAAACTTAAAGGAGACATCTAAATCTTCATGATGACCAACCATGTGCAACAACAAACTCTCTAAAATGAAGTAAGAAACAGCGCAACATGCTACAAGATATCTAGCGGTGCACAACCGCACTGTGCACGAACAAATAAAAAATATTAGACCTGACAAGTACCGTACAATTGCTAAAGACTGATCAATACACCCTCATCAGAACATTAGTCGTACTGTTGTCATCCCTAAACATTAAAACTACGATGAATGTCCAATGGTTACGAACTGAAGTCCACAAAAAGTGTCTGTACACTTTACTGTACTGTAATCATAGCAAATTCCACACGTTACAGTTACAGAAGTTTCCTCCGAGCAGATTGTACACATCATCACTTTCACTGACAACATGGAATCACAAATAAAAACAAATAACATACAAGACGATATTTTCTGTTAATTTCCGCACGAGTAAATACTGTGGCTAATTAGCAAATCATAACCCTCTCTCAAACCTAGACACTGTCGCTTTCTGGCGACTTGTCTTCAACCTTTAAGTGTACACTTAAATATCAGTGAGTGTTCTCTTTTAATATGGATGCCTCCTCTTTGTTACCTTAGCTTTATTTTCAAAATTGTCGAACTCTTCTTGAAGTGTTTTGACGTGCCCAATGGAATCTCCAACCTCGGTATGTTTGTCGAAAAACTGTTCTCCTTTCGTCGATATCCACCCCACTACCTACAAAAAAATGGAATGTTACAGAGAAGAGCCATTGTTTCAAAAAATCAGGTAACAAGTTCGCTCTTTTTCAAGAAGTGGCACGGAACAGGAAAGTACTGTGGAAATGAAACTGTAACCTCTTCGTACAAATTCAGTATATCATACAACAAAATGGTTACGAGGAGCTGTCTTGATACACACTAAATTCTCCAAACTAATTTCAAAGAACGTGTGGCACCAAGAAGAAGAATCAAACACAAAATCTTGAGACTTATAACAGTATTAACAAAATTTAGCGAGCTCAACGCAAAATAACGACGATGGCAAAGTGCATGTAATAGCCTGGACACGAGTTTCACAACTTCACGTTCACGACGCAAGCGGACGTGCTTGTAAAGAGATCGTGACGTCATTTACACTATTGACGTAAACACCAGTTCACAACGTTAAGACAAATCGAACGGTTTTGCTAGCACTTTTGTTGCAACCTCGTGTGGTTGATGCTTTGTTTCGTAAATTTTCCATTGAATAATGTTAACTTTCTGCTTGGAAAATAACGGTCGGGAATTTGCTGTGTTTACGAACTTTCACAATAATTTCAAAACCTCACACTTGTAAGAACAACCTCATTGCCAACTCCCTTCACCCATTAAGAAAATAAACAAAAACAACTTTGAGTTTGGGAAGAAGGCTGATGTCTCAATATCCTTATATACATATACACCTTCCATACCTCTTCCATGTCTTTTTCAAACTCTTTCAAGGCCAGACACTGTTCTAATCTCCTTGTTCTGTTTTCCGTCAACATCTCTAGTCTACAAAACACTTCATTCATCTGATGGTAGAGTTTAGTGACACAGTTCACAGTTTCGATGTAATCTGGTACTTTCGGTAACGAAGCCTCATCTTCTTGTAGTCTGATTAAGATCTGTTCTCCCTCAACTTGTAAAGCTGACAATCTACTGTCTTCAAACACGTCCTTGATCTTCTGATGATGTTGTTCTAGTAAATCTTTGCACTCTTGAATGTTTTCTCCCAGCGTGCTGCTTGTGAATTGTTGCATGACGCCCATAGCCAGTTTAGCAGCACTCCTACATCCAGTCATGAACGGTTCAAGTTTCTGAAACACGAAAACCGTGTTATTCTCAAAGCATACCTCTGAAACAAACCTCTCTTTCCCTTGCGTCAGAAAGTGCCTCCTTGCGCCTAAATTTGGGGAGATATTTAGCGGTATTTTACTCTCTTCCGAGTGTTTTGAAAGTTGACCGCTGAATAGAAGTACAACGGTAGCTTAACTGTCGCGAACAATTGATACTGTGAACAAGTTCGGTTAAATTCATAGGAAGTCGGCTTTTGGACGCTCAGCTAAGCTCTCAGCGTTGCGGTTTGTAGCAGGGTGATACAAAGGATGGATATTGGTAAGAACAAAGAAATCATTTTTTCAAAACGGCAATACACCCCGCACAATTAGATCTCAATTAAGACGCGGTATTCCTTTAATTTGCAAAGGAATTTAAAGTTATTGCCATATCGAGATATTATGCATGTGCAACTGACTGTTCAAGTAACTTCACGAAATTAGTAGAAAGCTGCAAAGAAGAAATCGTATTATTTTTTCAATGAGTTTTTCTTGTCAAATGACACAAACAGCATATAACTCCAAAGATTAAAAACCTGGGATTAATCTCTTTGAAATGATACAAGTTCCGAAAGGAAATAAAAAATAACAAAGACTGCGAAAATTACGTGAGCTTAAGCTTCTGTGTACAAATTCTGTTCAGATGAATCTTTTGCCTTTAAAAACAATATTCTGGATTTAAGCTTCCACACTAAAAGACGCTGTGTGAGAAGAATTTGCCGTCTGTACATGTACGACTTGAAATCTACTTTTATACGATGTGGATGCGGAATTAATTCCTTCACCAGCTAACAGGTTCAATTTTGCTTCGAACATCTTAGGCCGTTGAAGCTTTCATTTTTCGTGCCTACTGACTTTTGTACTTCTAATTAATAGACCTATTTTTAAACCGTCCTTATTCCAAAAATACTCATGAATTGAACAACTTTCAACAATGAAAGTCAGTGAAGCAAGTAAGCGAAATATTTAGTCTTGGAACAAAGACCGCGAGAAAAACCGACCTCCTCAGAGAAAATGGAATGATCCAAAAAATGGATCAGCATTGATACAAGCCAAGGGGCAAATTAGGAAGTATTTTAGACCAGGATCTTTTTAACTGTCCAACATCACAAAATTTGTTCGTCGACGAATATATCATCTTATTTCTGAAGTAAAGTCTATTTGTATTACGCGAGTCAAATCACAGGTTGTAAAGACAGACGAGTTTACTCCAGCTTACAGGAAATACAACAATACACACACACTTATACCGGTACACAGAAGTTGAATAGAGTGCACCGTTAATAGAATGCCATATCCACAGTGGATTTTTTCTAGAAAATCATTAGCATAACACAACCGAAGAATATCTAGCGTTTCCTGTCTCATTGTTCGTGACATAAGACGGGTTTAATATGTGACAATTCCTTCACTAAAAAGGCAGAGTTATTTACTGCAAGAATAATAGTTAATTGGAACAAATTAATCTTAAATTAGTTCTTGTCATAGTGTAACTTCACCGTTAAGAATCAATTTCCTTCTTTCGTCAAATTGCCTAGAAAGAGGCATTATATTAAGGTATTCATACAGCATCTTGACACCGAAATTCGTATTCCTCGAGAGGCAGTTAGATATCAAAATTTGACAATGTTGGGACGTCTGAACTGATTCAAACGTTACTTGCACAAAACACGTGTCTATTGACCCACTACGACAAGTTGGAACCTGCGCTAAAAATTTGCGAAGTTTCCCCAATAATTTTCAGTCAAATAATGTCTTTCGGCGTGGAGAACAAAAAGCATGATTAGTGTTAATGTGGTTTACATCGATATTTGTTAGACAGGATTCGTGGCAGATACCAGTTCAAATGTCCAAATATTTATTCTTACTGAGCCAGCTCGACAGACAACCCGTTTTCATTTCCTCAATGCGAGTCATTTTCTTAAGGAAGGCACGTGCAACTTACTCTTGAAGTGTCAATTCTTCAGTCGTTAAATTGTGGCGCCCTTTAATGAAAGTGGACAGATTGCGCTGCAAGTAAAACTATCTTAGGACGTCAGGTCAAAATCTAAAGAATTGCCCCAAGTTGACGGAGAGTTACGATAACGAGTAAAACTTACTATTCTAAATCTGATCCACTCGTCGTGATCATAATTGAAGACTCCACCAAACTCAGGTGTAAGCTGTGTCCGGTCGATGTAAGACTTGAGTTCATCTACTGTTGTTATGAGCTTGAACTGAAAAGACAATACAGCTATTATTAAACAATGCTACAGATAGTATGTCTAGAGTGAGTTAATATCACAAACATGGCCAACTGAACAAAGGAATGGAAGATAGACTCTACCAAAATACACCCCACTTACAATAGGAGCACAGTCTTTCAACGTAAAGTAAATCTATTTTGGCTCGAGTAAGAGGCCGTTAGGGTCGACTAAATAGTGAAGGGAGATTGATAACCACAAAATCAAGGGAAATACTCTGCGGATTTAGTAAAGACTACATCTGTGAGATGTATTTACATATCAACTTTGCCAGGAGAGAGGGATACTGACACATGAATCCCTGAAGAAAAGGACAACATCTTATAAAAAAAAAAAAAAGGTTATGTGGCTTGCTTGCTGTGTATCAATATGCATTTATTTCTACTTTGTGTGCATCGCATACTTTGAAAGCCAAACTCACCAACTTTCTGCTACATTAACCATAAGGAATGAATTAATATTACAATCGAACGAGTCCTAAAACTTTAAAACAACTCTTCAACTACACTACAAGTGTGAAGTTAGTGATTAGCATTAAATAAGTACTTGATATAACGACATGACTTCAATTATCCATATCAGAATGAGCAGGATAATTGTAGAATAATAAAGTTTTCCTGACAATTAATACGAAAATCAGGAAATGAATGAGGGAAATCTAGGTGGAGGTATAAAGTTACGCATGAAAATACCGAGTTACTTTATTTCCTGCAAACTAATATCAAAATTTGAGGACGAAAAAGATGAAGAACCACAAAGTAAATTTTTGTAACTAATACAAGTTTAGTCCTCTTTAATAGCGATTGTGCAAGCTTTCATTGACCTTCTAAAATCTAGTTCAATTTAGTTTATAGAAAATTCATTGGTGAGTTTTGAGAGGACACTAGGTACTACTAGCAATTAATCACACGCGGGATAGTTCATGGGCCAACATGGCTTTTTATGTCGTCCACTACTGGAAAAATATTCCATCACAATAAATCAGTATAATGAACTCTAGAACCAGTTAATAATACCAATACATCAAAAGACCTTCTTTTTTCACATTTCATACTTAAAACTCAACCTCTCAAGCTGAAATTCTACCCAAGAGGCATTGAGAAGCCACAGTTCTAAACTTAAAAAAAAAGCGGGAATTTTTCAACGATATTCGGCTCGTTTGTTGCTATGACAACAATTTACATCTAAATGTGAAAAACCAGTAACAATACCAACTATAACTACCACAGTAACCTGGAAACCCATGTATGACGCATTTCTTTTTCTTTTTTTTGCCAGAACATACCTATAGGACTCTGTGGTTAAAGACCGGTAGACTGTACAGCGGTCTGTATTTTGTTCGTATTTCAGTCCCCAGTTATCCTTTGGTCTCGTCACTGAGCACGATTTTTTTTTAAATTGTCGATCAAACTATCACACAGCTGTGAGAAACCCTGAGTCGGTAAATTTCTGTTATCTTAGTTTACGTATTTGTAACATTACGAGTCTCTCTTGACCTTTAGATCATACGAGTCTATGCAGCGATAGATTGCCTCAAGCCATGGCCAAAAGGGCAGGTAATATCAGATAACATTTGAATAAAAGAGTTCTTACATAATATGTCGCATCATGTTTACCAAAACAAAAATCAAAGTTTGATCTGACGTATCTTTTTTAAAGAGTGTAACAGACACTTAAACAAGAGATTGAAACATGCCGCAACTTTAATTTGCCTTTAGGGGTCACTTCTAAGTATTTTACTGCGCATTCTCACAACGCAGAATTTCCCACGTGATAAGCGCGCGCAAAGTAAAACATGTCGACTTCTTCTTCATGGCCAAACTTGGCAGAGAAATAAATGGAAAGTTACTCGTCCATGAGTATAAGGAACTATACCTTACATATATCGTTTCCTAGGAATAACTGTCTTTTTTGTGACATAGATATAGACCAGTTTCCATTTAAAAATAAGAAAAAAATACCCACAGAGCAATTATGTGAACGTGCAATGGCCGGCCTAAAAGTAGTTATTGTAGTTCTGAAAGAAATTTGCCGCTTTTAGATTCTGAGTTTCTCAGTAACACTAATACAATGAACAATAAACAAAATCTGCGGGCGCCTGGTTTGAGTAAAATACGATGAACAAGAAATAAATGGTGTGGGATTGAACCACGGTCAGACTCTTGCTTACCCTGGCTGATGTTTTGGCGTCTTCCAACATCTTTGGTACGTTGAATTTTGTGCAGAGGGAAACAGATTCTTTTTGCTCCCCTTGCGACCATTTTGTTTGAGATGAAGATTGATTGTTCTCGTGCTCAAACATTTTTCTGTTTCAGCTAAAACAAGGACGATTACCGCCAAAACTAAGCACCACCTTCCTAAGCCTAAACTAACGTCACGGTCGAACTTGAAGCATGCGTAGACCGCAATTCGAATTACCTCAACTCCAAATTTTGCTACGAATTAATTTTTGCGCAACTTTGCGAATTTTGCTGCTAAGCAAAGATTAGCTAATGTTCCAAGCGCTTATGGAAAGATTTATACGACCCGTTTAATACCTGCTTACTTAACTGTGAATGGATATCTCTTAAACATTACCAAGAATACTGCTACCTACTTACCTATCTATCTTATGGATTAGATTCGATAGGGATAAAAAAGAAGCGAAAATAAAAATTAAATTAAATCTTAAAAACGGAAAAATACACAGAGCACCAATGTTACAAACCCTCAAGTTTCATAGAATAAAAATTAGTAAAATAAAAATTCAGTGGAGTATCATGCAATTAAGGATCCACAGTCAAATATCAAAACACTTTGCCAAGGGCGACGACATACCTCTGAAATTCCTATCACCTGTGAAAGGTTTGTCTACATATTTTTTTTATAAACGTAATCTCAACTATTAAGGCGAATTCGTCACGTTCTCTCTCACGTTCCTACGAAGCCGAGGCAAAGCTCTCAGTGGAACACTAATACCTACGCGACCAGTGTCATGTGCAGCAAGACATACTGGCACGTGCAAACTCTAGTCCGTATATTGTAAAGCAATCAAGAATTATAAAACGATAAAGAGAGATAAAATGTATCTGTTCCTCAAAGAAAGAATCGTCATATCCTACACACCTCTACTTTACAGACTGCTAACAAAATAACATGAAAAGAGAACAAAAGAACATTTTCCTGTTCGTGAATCTTTCGGAAATTGTTTCTTGCGAGTAGCTAGCGCACTTCGGATATCATAAGATATTGTCCTTTTTGTTTTCACCAACATAAAAAAAGTATTTAAATTGCACTAAGAACGCCGCCCCTCTTAAAAGAAGAGCAAGAAACTTACCACGTACGGAGACGAAGCTAATTCCGACAAATCAAACGCTGATAAAGTACTAACAACTTGTTCAATTAAAGTCTGAACGCAGCTGTTCGCAACAGGCGCTCGGCGATTCCAGCCCCACATTGGTACACAACGCTAGAGAAGTTGGCTATAGCACTGACTTGTTTTAGATATGGTGAAAAGTTCGCTGTGTTTTAGGTCAGCCGAAGTCATGGCGATTAATAAAACAAGTATCCACACTTGACCACTGCCACAAAAACTACAGAGCCATAAAGATGATTGTACCGCGTCAACAGCTAACTTAAAGTATAGATAAACAGTCAAACCTTCCCCATACGGAATTACCCCAGGGACAGTGAGTATTAGAGGGTGTCCCTTTTATTGGGGTCACCACATGACCGTGTTACCTTTAAACTCCACTGACAGTTTTAATGCGTCTGGTAGCGAAACACAGGCACATGCATGCATGCATCCTAATTCCAGACAATGTCTGGCGGACGAACGATAAATACTAAGACTTACTGCCGAAAAGTAACAGTAGTGCCTTAAAAACTCCTTTCAACAGTTTACTAGTGCTGCGAACTGTTACAACAACAAAATTTCCTGCAGTCTTTTTCGCCTTAAAAGATGTGTGTACTCTATCTGAGAATTTTTGCGAGTTTTGGTCGTCGGAAATGAACAATAACGATAACTGGACTATAATGACTTTTCTGAGGTAATTGTTGCTGCACGTGATGAAAAAAAATCATGTTGAACCGGCTGTAGCTACAGTATTATATTTTGTAAGGCCAAGCTTCGGTTAATAAAGAGTTAAAGTTTCTAACAGCAAACAAGAAATTGCATTATTGTACTACGTAGATTATGAGCCCTTCTTTGGTGCGAACTAGGGATAGAAGGACATTGCAGTTCATCATTTGCCGAAAAAATACAAAAGTGTCATCATTTTCATCCCAGTGTAATGAGGACATAATCGTTATAGTCGATCCCTTTAGATAAAAATTTGCTTCTTCTCCATAACTGAGAAGCTCATCCCCAGTTGTACTCCTAATTTCAAACAAAACGTCAAAAACATTTCCGCCATCTTGAATCAAAACTAATCCCAAGCTCGCTCTGCGAACCCGACCGTTGGGAATTTCCGTATAAAAATGACCACGCGCTTCACATTCGAGTTCTTGCAGGGAAAACTTTTAATAGGGCCGTTATGATGTAACTTAAAGGCAGTTCAATTCATTGTTAGCTTTTACTTCCATATCTATCCCATAAAGAGGGCAAGACTTAATTCCATCTAAAATGTTTGGAAGGAAAATCAGTTTTGATCGCAGAAAAGTCGCCAATTTGGCGACCTTTACCATGGTGAAACATTTTCATTATTTTATGTTCAGAGCGTGAAATTAAAGTGAGATGACAATTTCCTTATAAAACTATCAAAACTCCGTCGTTTTCATTTTCTCAAGAGAAGCTTCTTTCTCCTCAGTTGTGTAAGTATTTGACTTCGAGATCTCGCTTTGACCTTCGGAAAAAAACAATTCCCTCACATATTTTATTGCACAAGTTTTCTGTGTCTTGTTTTCTCTTAGTTTGCTTTTTCCTCAGAGACTAAATGCAATTGTTGCGCCAATTTTATGATCTTGGCTCTCTTACTTTCAACTTTGACAAAAGCTTGAGCTTGGAGCTCTGCCAAAAAAATGTTCCGTGCATTTAAATCGTTAGATGTTTGTCAAGAGTTGTTATGTAACCAACTGCACACTAGTACTAATCACATGAGTCCCGTGAGCCAATGGTGTACGTCATGTGACTTTCACCATGTATTTCACTCAGTCAGATTTTCCTTCATTTCCGTAATTTGACTATTTTAGTTCAGGCTGACTATATATTCTAGGCTTAGTATGCTTTCGTGAGCGACTAAATTATTTTTAACTGCAAGTGTATTTTTAAAAATATTGTATATATCAGCGATGGCTGCCAAACTTCGCACGCCCACCCTTCCATTTTCCCTTTCCGCAATACTGTGCAAAGTGTTATCCATAATCCTTGAGACATAAATTCGGTATCGTCAGACGGAAGGGGAGTGGAGTGGGTACGTAGTGTTGGTTACCTAGTGCCTTTATAATGTGCTTCATTTGACCCCAATTGCATATGAACGGTATAAGTTTTCAATCAAACATATCTATGATGCTCTTGAATGTTGAGATGCCCGATTTTAGTAGGGAGTAAGCGTCAAAGACCAACTGACCGACTGACAACTTAAGTGACTAAATAGCGTTCGATTACCGACTTCATATAGCTTAATTTTTCACGTCTACTAAATTAAAAAGAAACTGAACATTAAAGAAGGCACTGAAACAGAACCTGCTTAATTTAAAGGTTTAGGGTTATGACAGTGCATCATAATACAGCATAGCAACGCATGCGCAGCACAATATGGTGCTGTTCCATTTACACTCTTACCTCAAAGTTGAGTTGTTCTTTGACCTTTGAACCGCTGAATATGACGAGAGGGGAGTCCTTCTTTGTCAAGATGTACACCATGTGTACCCCTCCAGGAGTGCTTTCCTAGAAGAATTTAAACTATCGATAAGACACATCGCTATAAAGACAAACAAACACAAAAACTAACCAACCGGCCTCAACCCTCAAGCCGGAAAACCAAAATATTCCTGGAGTGAGGCTATGAAATGGCGAGGCTAGTCCACGATTTCAACTTTCAGTCAAAATGATGTAGTGCTGAGGAAACACAGTTGTCCATAAATTGCTCTTTTGGTCTTCAATCTACGTCACTTAACATATGCAGTGAAAGAGGCGTTTAAAAAGCTGTAACTTTATTGTAAAATCTGAGAGACAGCGATCTCAATTGGACAAACTTCATATCACCCGGCAACCATCTGCTGAGAAGTTTTAAGCGCTTTGGGAGACACAGTAATAGGTGTGTATTTACTGTATTGTCAAGGCCGACAAACTGTGAGATAAGGTGGAAACCACACCTATCGAACGAAGCAGCTACAGTCTGTGTAAGATGCAGCAACTTGCTCTCTTTCAATAAGCGAGAGCAGCAGAACAGGTTTTCTTTTGAGAAAAAAGGATTAGGAGATAGCAATAAATCCGAATGCGATTCCAAAGACCCAGCTATTACGGCTGTACATTGCAGAATTTATCATTCACGCTTGTTACCTACCAGATTTCGATCAGTTTGTGTGCGTGTGGGTGTGCGTTTTATTTTTAACCAGAGAACCAACAAACAAGAAAGGATCCCTTTGAAATAAACCGGTAAGAAAAAAAAAGGGGAAAAAATCGAGCAGCTCTCCTCGTATGTAATGATATTGACAACAAACCCTCTCTCTCGCTCTCTTAATTAAAAAGGCATATCTCATCATATTTATCTTCAAACGAACGGAATCTAACAATCATCGTCTCGTCTGCAATCGTCTCACCCAAGGAAATCGTCCAAACATTCCATGGCGTTGGGAATCTTTATGCAATTTTATTAAAAGTTTTTCGGGGTTCGATTGTTCCTTGCGTTCTTTTCCATACCTCGAGCGACGCGTTGTACATAAAACAAAACAATTACAGATGACGAAGTACTGATATTTTAGCTGGAATTATAGACCATTGCCACAAATTATGAATATTTGACATGGATATACCGTGCTGTGTTTGTTCTGTAAAAAGCTAGCACTGAGAAATAATAAGTGGAATATTTACAAAGTAAATAACACGTGGTCATTCAGGGTCAGTTTTTTCGTTAAGTCACGCTTTTCTTTTTCCTAGTTAATGAGAATAGGTCAGACACTTAAAACGTAACATCAGAGGCTTAATATAATAAGTGCCGCTTTGTTATATCGCAAAAAGAACTATTTCCGTCCATTAGACAAAGGACAAATACCCTCAGATAGCGGCGTTAAAGGAAACCCAAAGAATTTTAAACGTCGGTGATGTTCAAAGATTAAAATATATTTGGTGAGATATAAATATATATATATATAAATTTGATATTTTTAAAACGTGTACGTTAATGTTATAGGTCATCTTTCTTCCGACTTGAATCTCCACCGTCAAATTCTTTCAGATAAAAATGTGACGTATTCAGCACACGTAGAAAATCTGCTAACGGAGCGGCATCGTTCTAAAATAGTTTATCAAATAACTTACCTGGAAGCAAACCATTGCTTCCACAACGTCTTCAAGATATTTCCGTTTTGTGCCTGATTTTCGAGCGTCGATGATGATTGAAAACCCAAGGCTATGGATCTCTTTTCTGCGCAAAAACAAAACATATGTGTCATTCAAAGACCACTTGCAGCAAATCTGTCAGACATTTGATAGCGCCTTGCACCTCTACTGACACTTCCGGTCAACTGATCAACACTCACAAATACCTAGTGTCAATAAATTGTACAGTTTGCAGATAAGTAAATCGCCGTGGGAAAATTTAAAAGTAAATTGTACAAAAACAAAATGTATAACGTGCAAACCGTTCGATGATGTAAATTTTTTCGCTCCAAACTATTAGAGACAATAAACTGAACAGGATGTAGGCAAACGCTGACCGTCATCTTAAAGAACAGCGTGAAACGATGGTGTTGAAAGGCAAAACTTTCAACAATGCTTTTTCTGAGGCGAAACTCAATAGTGCCGTGCCTACAAAATCTACAGGAAATTGGCGTTCATTACAACAAGAAATACGAGTGAAAGCTATTTGCAGGGGTAGTCAAATCAAGCTGGGTGCCCTGAAGAAACCAATTGTACCACAACTGTTATGGTAAATTGAAATATGGACACAACGAAACACATCACTCGAAAAAAATTTACGTAACTTCCGAAAGTTGAACGATCGATTTCCACTTTGACATCCTTAGAATGACAGTTTACGGCTAACATTCCCTAACTAAGCATGTATCCTCAAATTAAATGCCTACAAACCTTCCAGCATCAAGGAAAAAAAACCATCCAAATTTACTCTGAACATTGGAAAGCCTATATTTTGCTGATTAGCTAGCGGTTTATTCGAGGATATATTCTCCTATTCTCTGAATATTCTCTGACGCCACTTTGTCCAATCTGTATTTGTTTGATCCTTATTAAGTTGTTTTCTACAACTGAATTACATTTGTATGCACAAATTGAAAATGCTGCCGCGGAAGTACATCAGTTAAGAATCTGATCTCTCTCAACCATAGCAAAAAAAAAAAAGGACTGGAAGTCGTTTTGCATTAACAGTGTTAATTTGCTAGTCAAAGAGTAATGGCGTACCAGGGGATGTTGACAGATTATAAACTTGTTAAAAAACAATCTTTGTTGTTGGTTTTTTCTTTTTTTCCGTTTGCCACAAAAAAAAAAAATGCTATCACCTAGCAAACATCAGAGGTAGCTTTTCCCCGATAAAAACTAACTGCTTATGAAGAATGGATGCGTTCATCTCTCGTTCTCTGCTATAGCATGCATTTAGCTTATAAAAACATAGGATTGTGAACATCAAAAGGGTCAGGGAGGCGTCAAACAAATTCACCTTCGGACAGCACCAGGCCACAGTCACACCAACTCGAACAAAAACTGACCACAGCTCGGTGAGATCATTTTATGAATAGAACTAATCAATATTGAGCCGCACTCGATACTGATCCCAGCTCCATATTACGCCGCACTTCAGTTCTGACTAAGATGATTCCATCCCGGCAAAACTTTTCCAAAGCCTCCCACGGCCTGCTATATCTTTTATGTTGGTAAGGCTAGTGGGTGGTCTGACTCTCAAACGAACAGCCAGTTATTATAGGGATAACATTCAGTAAGATTTGATGATTTATATCTTATCATACTGAGTTTTATTTAAAAAAGTGAAACATCCTGAACATTGAAAGTACAGGTCAGTTGACTGTACCAAGAAACAACAAGTGTGATCAAAGTAGACGCATACATGGATCTGGTTCCTTCAGTTGGCGGAGACGCCCAGATATCTCCTGTGCGACCTTTGACATCGTCGTGTTTTTCAAACGAGTCTTCTCCAGAGCTTATAAATATTTCCTTAGTAGAGCGGTTTTCCATGTCTACCGCGCCTTTAGACTATCGTTCTTCAATGCGTCAATTCAGACACATTTCTGTTCAGACGTAAACACTCGATACAATTGTGGTGCTTATGGAAACAATGCCTTTGACAAGGAGATGGGCAGACCTTTCGTAGATCCCTCCTTGCTGTTATTTTTCTTCAGTAGTTGATCGCGTGAAAATAATTTAAAGATCTGTTATTCGTGTTTAAATAAGCAGCTCTCAACAGTCTCCAAAAAAAAAAAGAAAAAAAAAGACGGGATTGTCTTAACCGAAATGTAAACAAAGAGAGACGTATCACTTTACGGAAAGCGTTTTAGCGAGAGAGCTTTCTGACATACTTATAAGAAAGAAGGCAAGCAGATTATCAAGCTAAAACACCAACAATAAACACAGCATAATCTCCACAGCTCACCAACAACTACTCCATAAAAATTTTATATAATCTCCTGCGAGATGAACATACCTTTGGTTGGGTACCTTTGTTAAGATACGGACTGACCACAGGTAAAATTGTTGCTACGGCGAAGGATTTCAATGCGGCAATAGTCTCGAATAATTATCCAACGGATTTACACGACCCAACATCCACTGATAAGGATCGCAAGGCCAACCGACTCAACAATGATATTAGACACTCGGATTAGCCCTAACTGCACGCAATGCAGACACTGATTTCCGCACTTGTCATCACGCTAAGACCACGTGTACGCTCTCTCAGGGAACTATACAATCAAAGCATGTGCGCCGACAGAAAACTTCATCGTATTCTAGAAGTAAGCGCCTACGAGATTGACGTAACTTTCTGCTAAGCTAACACAAACTGAACCTTGTGGAACAGTGTGCCAGACTTAGCAGAGGGAAGGGATGAGATAACAGACCTGCTAAACAGACCACCATGAGACTTGTAAAGTGGAGGCACTTTCGGTTGCCACTCATTAGATTAATCAAGACATACCAGTATAATAAATTATTCTCTTAACAAAAAACTCATAAAAAATAACTTTCCTTAGAACTGGACTTTCAAAATGTACGTTGGGTTTTTATGAAGCACGTTGAAATCTTCTTGAGAAAACAATCATGTTTCGCAAAACTTCTGACGAGGTCACTTGAATGAAAGTTTAAGAGACGAAAAGCACTTTCATGTCGGACTAATATTCAATGTTTTTCAGCAGAAGTGTAGTCTATATCAGCCTTGGTTTCTCGCGCTCCCCAGGTAACAACACAACGCCAGGCAGTCGCATTAGAGAGGTACGCACAAGAGAAGAGAACGTGTCTAAACATTTTGCAAGAGTTTCATTTCAATGAACCCTTGATAAAGCGTGGGCGTTGAGAAGAAATGACCACGTGGTTTATAAGCAGAGCGTGGGTTCATTTCGTTGAGAGTCCACAGGACCACCAATTAACTCCCGGCTTAATGTAGAGTCTCTCTGTGTGACTTCGGATTTCAATATACTTATATTATACGCTTCGACGCCACACCATTGACTCTCACTTGATTTATCTCCCTCCAGCGTACCAGACACCAAAAATGTCAATTGCTTGTGACTTAGCGCCCGATAGAGCGCTGTTAAAAAAGACTCTGAGCAACTGCAATAGACCATCCGGACAGAGCAATAATTTGAACAATCGATTCTCTTATCCAAACTAAATATGTTCAGATCAAAAAAAATTTCAAAGAAGAATGAATGATTAAAAAATTGGAGGTACTCACATAGGAATGCTGTGGAAGTACATGAACAGTCTTGCTAAGTCTACACTTGTATAAGCAACATTATTCCAATCAGGGCGTGACATGTCAACCACAAGGATAGCTCCACCTCTTAGGTCTCTGTTACCTAAAGAACAAAGATAACAACACATCAATGTGGGAGGCACTATTATCACCATCACCTCATGGTTACTAAACCCGACTTCAAGGCATGCCAAGTCCTATGTGTCTTATTCTTGTCGACGTTACTCTCACGGTGCCTTTCTCTCCACCCACCAGGAGTATAAATGGGGGGAAGAAAATTGTCAGGCAAACTTGATAAAAAAGGTTTGCAATAATCCGTAACAGACCAGTATCCCAACCTTTGAAGAGTAGTGATACCTCAGTAGGGGGAGGTGGGGGCTGGCTCAGCTCATGTGCAGTCTTTTCATATGGCATCAATTACTTTATGAATTGGACAAGTGTGAAGAGGAGAGTGTTGTCACTTTTTTGACGATGTATACCCTGAATGCCCCAAGATTTTACAAGTTGTAAACATTGGACAAGTCTTGGGACATTGATATTTTAAAACAAATCAACCCAACATACAAAGTCAAAATAAACTAAGTTGTTGAATTTAATCCCTCCACTCTAGAAATCTCAATGGTAATTCTCCTTACTGTCTGCCCTACATTACTTTTCAAGTTAGATCTGAGAATTTGATGTTCAATCAAATATCTCCTAGTAATTATTTTCCTTTAATCTCATTAGCTGTCTGCTAGATAGTATTTTAATATTTCAAGGAAAAATTATCTCTTGGTCCCTCCTGGGAGCAGAAAGGTTAATATTTAATCTGAAAGTGTGGGATCATCAAATTCATTACATTCAAAAACTCAGATTTAGTGCATGTCACTGTTTTGCATGCTACACTACCTTTGTTACCAAACAATACAATACTTTCACCATTGGTGCATGTTAATAATAAATGGCACACAAGTCCACATAGAACAGTTCAAGAACCAAAGTAACAAATTATTCTAAAACATTAATTTAAAAGGAAGACTTGTGGACTTTGTTTTGATCAACAAGTACAATATAACATGATTCACACATCAAAACTTTGAAAATGGTAGTTGTCTAACCATACCAAAAGTTAATGATTAGTATATAAAATGAGATAGTTTGCTGTTACCTTTACAGTCATCTAATGATAACAAGATCCAAGAAGAATACACAGGAAAGCAGTATGATACCAAGTGACATCATACTTTGATAACAGTGAACTTTCTATAACATTCACAGACCAATATTGTTTATTTTAAAACAAAAACCCTTAAAATAGCTTTCCAGTCCTAGAATTAAAGGTCACTTGCATAGAGCTTTTTCTTTGTTAAAACTGCATTAAATATGATCTTACTTCAGTGGTTAATGAAGTGCTCACTATAATTTCTTTAAGGCTTTAAAAATCTCTGTAAAATATGCATCTGCAAAGAATATAACTGACAAGTGATAAATTATAGTAAGGACTTCTCTTGAGAGGAGAGAAAGTTAAACGATATATAAATACATATATAGCTTATAGTATGCAGATAAATTTATTCAACTAGTATTACTGACTCCAGCAAGTAATATATCATTTATACACAGATGTTAAAACAATATTCTGATTTCAAGAACACTGAGATAAAAAAATCTTCCTGTAAATTATCATGGTATCATCAGATTAGTTTTTGATATGCTCATATGGTGCATGTATAAAAAAAACCGAGAAGAAATATCTCTTTTTGAATTGAAAGATGGGTGATCAGTTGTAAACACTACTTAGTATTTCATACTTAGAGGTGGTAATATCAATTTTTTGTCATCACAGATTAAGTGGGTAATGTAATGGTCCATTTTTCATGAAACACCATGAATCAGCAATAATTGAATCTATAGATGTTCAGCAATATTCACTATTCATATTTCCTACATAACATCTGATGATCAACAAATGTTTTACTAAGCATAAATACACAGGAAGTAAGGACATTAAATACCAAAAAGTTCAATGTACAAAATTTGCATTTACCGTGAAGAAAACCTATCGAATATACTTTATCTATAAGAAGAGAAAAAAACTCTGATATTTGAGTGTTTGGTACACAGAAGCTGATAATACCAACACAATTCAGTGGCTTAAACAATAAAAATGAAATTCAAATTATTATTTCTTAACTTCACTGAGTTGTCATAATGTGAATTTAGAATGATTTGCCAAAAAAGTTCCATTCTGTTCCTACTTGCTAATTTTCATTGTGATATCAGAGATATTTTATTACCATTCTTGTTTATTTTGATAAAAATGCCATAGCAACCATTTGAGACCAAAATACAACAATAAAATGAAAAAGACACAGCACTTGACAGAGAGATAAAAATCATCATAAAAGTCAATTAATTATATTGCACAAGAGGAACTAAAAGCACTTTTGAAAATCAACAGCAATATATAAATAGACAACAATATCAAACTTACTTCAAATTAGCCATGGTGAGTTGACTGTATAGAGAAATTATTTCCACTTCCATGGATTTATAGTTAATTCATCATTGAGAGATAGGCAAAGTACTAACATTTTCAACAAAACAAACAAAGTTGCACAACAATTTATTTTCCCTAAAAGCTTTCCCTTTAAAAATGAGGGAATGAATGTTAAAAAGGAAGATAAAAAGTCAACAAAACTGTTTGACAAAACTTGCCAAAAAAGTGTTATAGCCCCAAGACAAACAAAACATCTTTTTAAAAAAATACTGTTGACTGCAAAAAAAACCCTTAGGGGCCTGTCACTTGATGAACACTATTTACTACAATACTACAATATGATAACATTGAAGTATTTATAATTTTAGAGAAATCCACAACTATTACTAGAAAGGGTTTTAAAGAACAAGAAGAAACACTTTAATCACTTCCCTCTCTTTGAAGGAAGTCAGGAAATTCCACGTTCCCCTGACAGTTTACTAGTAATTTTTTAACTGTGCTTAATGTGGAAATGAGACCCTGTGAGAGAGGAAGAACATAGCAAAGAGAAAGCCTAAACCAGGACCATTTGAGATGGAAACACGTCAGCAGCATCTTGAGTTTTTGCTGTTAAATAGAAAACTAGTCAAAAATCATACTCCTCTCAACACTCAATTCACCACGACAACTAAAAAAATAGAAAAACAGTCAAAGTATTTTTTTTCATACCAGGAAGTGAAGCCACACCGCTGTGAAGCAACTCAAAGTTCACATCAAAGGCATTCATTGGTTTCTCCATAAACAGAGATTGACGGCTTACTTTGCAACTTTTCTCCAAGCCATCTTCATCAATAGCTGTGTGAAATTAAAAAACATACAAAAAGTAATGGTGTAACTGCTGAGTAACAATTTCTTTTACCTATTTTAATTGCTTAGCAGTGCAATTTCCTATTTCAAAAAGGTTTTATGTTTTCATATGTGAAAGTGTGCTCCCAAGAATGGAGTCAGAGTCAAAGTGGAAATTGTAAGAATGCTTTCACCAAGTGAAAATCAAAAACTGGAGTTGTAAGTGGAATACTACACTTACAACTGTGGATGGAGTCCTACGACCAATGGAATTGGAATCATAAAATCACAACCATTCATTTTCCTCCACTTTCCCTTACTGACTCCCATGATTACCATCCAACAGAAACCAGATTTCCAGAGCAGCACAAGCAGAAGTGGAAGAACAAACCAATTAAAATGATGGCTTTAGACACAGACAATCCAGTAATCACTGGATTGTAGGCGATAGAGTCATCAGCAGTACCACTATTTTTCTTTAGACTCTGTCAGTTTGATTTTCACTATCACAATGTTCTTCCATTCAGGTTACAACTCCAGAAATTCCTCTCTCACAAAAGAAAACCAGAAGATCTCTGTTTATGAGATCAATGAATAAGCTGAGTAAACATGTTTACATCCTCTTTGCCTTCCCAATTCAAAACATTAGATGACTCTTCAGGAGTTCACGTTTTGTAAGTCTCCTACACGCACTGAGTGCATGGGACATTAGTTTGTACAAAACTGTTCTAACCTGCATGTTAACACAATGGCCAAACCTGTCTACTCCTAGGTAACCAAGTGGAAAAGTTTCCACAAGACCAGTCCATTCTATGAACCAGGATGAAAGTTGAAAGATTGTACCTTATTCATTTTGCCTGTCAAGCTAAAATTTCCCAAACAAACAACACCCAGGTTCAAATATCAGTTTCATAAAGCAAGCCAGAATTTCCTTTATGGACAGGAAAAAAAATTAGTCCTAGTTACCATGTCATCTTGTTCCCAAGCATAGATAAAGAGGCCTTGAGGTAAACATGAGATTTTACAATTGGCAGCTAGTTACTAAATGAAAAGTGTTCCCATGGCTAGATAATCCTAATATACCAGCTATTGTTTACAAAAATTTATAGGAAATATCTAACACAAAATGCTAATAAAAGAATCAAGACAAACATCTTGACACATAATCATTAATCAACATACCTTTCAACTGTTTAACACTAACATTTCCGCTTTCAGACATGAGGTACCTCCATGGCCTTCTTTCCATTCCTCTCTTGGAGTTTATAATACAGTTTAAAAATAAAAAACGTCCTTGCATCTCTATTCGCATCTTGTCAGTCCAGTTCTTCTGCCAAATGAGAGGGAAGTCTTCAGCCTTCAGTGGAAATGACTGCACATTTCCAGCTCTGTAATATTTTATTATAAGATTTCCTGGAACAGCTAAGCTTAAGTTCATACAAAAATCTCCTTTGTGGAGACTTGAGTCCAGTTTAGTAACATGAATAACATTGCCAACAAGTTTTTTGTAATAAGGTACCCAGGCATCATCTGGCTTCTCACTGCTGCAGAAAAAATTCTGCAACAAAAAAAAAAAATTATCAACATCTTGATCTTGTAAAAAAATATTACACTTGAAGCTACAAAATTCAAGTGCTAAGCATGAGTTTAAGATAAGTGAGCCTCTAAAACCTTTTAAAAATTTTTTTAATTCTTAAAAGAATAACTATTATAATGAAGAGAAGTAGAGAAAAAGTGAACACCAATAGCTTATGGAATGAAAAGTAACTGATCATGCATCAATAACTTAGATTTATATTTACTCATCTAATAACAACAAAACAATTCTGAATACAAAAAGAAACTACTTTCACTAAAGTAAGAAATCCTGATTTTTACCAACAGGAAAAATTAATCAATAAATACATTCCATGTTATATGTTATATAATATATTACATATAACATCAAAAAGTGGTAAGAACAAAAAATTGGCCCTTGAGCTATGAGCCAGTGTGTTCCTAAAAAGGTTCTTACCACATTTTGATGTTCTCTGTGATCTGTTTTTATAAACATGTGGCAGCATGAAGGCTATATGTTTTGTATGATAAGGAAGCAGAAAATTCTAATTGTGACATCATCTCTGCATGACTTGTGTCCCCCAATAGATCATAAGTGAGGAAATAATTGAAATATGTGTGTAATGTAGCTTGTTGTACCAATCCCTCTTCCCACTTAATTTCTTAAGAGTTGAGAGACAATCCACATCTATTTGTTGTACTCTAAAATGATTTCAAGTTAAAATAAAGGTTCCTCTGTATTTTCCAAGAAGATAAACATTTCTTCAGAAGTAATTTCCTTACAGGGAACCAGACAAAAAAATTATATCACAGACAAACTAGCTGAAACTTTCATCAACCTAGTATCATGTTGATCTACAAAGAATTAGAGATTTACCAAATAAATATCATAAACATGGACAACAGTTAAACCAAGACTTAACACTCACCTCAGCTGACACCTTTAATTTCTTGAGTAGTGCTAAAACAGGTTCTAAGTACTGCTGAATGAAACACTTCACATCTCCTCTGTAGTGAGCTTCAAGAATATTTTCCAGATGTGGAACTTGACGGTCAAATAAAAAGTCCTGACAAATGGATCGCCAGTCCCAATCATTGTCTCTTACCTGTACATCAGAAAATAATGGGTCCTGTGTCTGTTAAAACTATTTACATAAAATGTTTCTGATCATGCTTTAACTCTGTCATGAACCTTCCTTCTCCATGCACTCTTAGAGAAATCTAAAGTGTAAGTCAATTATATTTGATATGTGCAAAATAGGTGCAAAAAATTCATAACAAAGGAAATGGACACATTCCACCTTGGCAGGAAATGTAATTTTTTTGAGACAACAGAGACAATTTTTTCATACTAAGAGAAAAAATTTATAAACCCAAACAATGTTTATAGAACTGCTTCTCAGGGTAAGAGTGAAATAACAGCAGCTGTATTCAAATAAGAAATTATTATGTTTTTAAGTGTTAATATATAAATGTAAATTTTGAAAAATTGCCACCATCATGTGAATCAGGCGACTCTGATAACTTGTTATCAATATGGAAGTTAACAGACACCAACATTAATAAATAAATACTTAATCATCAGCTTCATTGATACACCGCTCTCATTATGTATTTGCGAGGAGAAATTTTCTACTGAATTGCACGTTCAAATTGAACTTTGACGAATTGATTCTTTGACATTATTATTGCAAAAAATATTACATAACCATAAAGGTCAACCATAATCAAGCAAAGTGAAATTAAATCTCAAAAGAATAGCGAGAGAATATTTTTTTTGCAACAAAGCAATCACTGGAAACTGGAAGCACTTCTTCAATTAATGCGTTTAGACGCGAATGTGTAGCCATGTGATATGTTTAATCCGACTAAAACTGGCCCTTTAACAGTCAAATTCAAGAAAACAACTCAACACCTTTCTTATATTAAAGACAATTAAGGCCTTATTTTGTTAATTTCTTCCAGGTGATGTTTAAATTAATGTTATTCAAACCCAGCTGAGAGAAATGAGCAATCAATGAAAATGAATCATTCCATCGCTGAAATAAAGGAAAACTGGTTGATCATATCAAATTATGACTTTGACCACCGACTTCCTAACGTTAATGGCAGGGGAATCAAAACAGCAACTGTGTAGAAATTCTAATATTTGTTCCAAACGGCATTCATCTTAGCAATGAACTGTGAATCTCTACACAGAGCTGCGAGGAAACCACTGCTCGACACGCGAGCACCGCTACGTGAAGTAACACGTACCGATTTTACCGTTTCTCTGTTCCTTACCTTAAAAGACATTGGCTGCGGTGGCTTATAAGAATCAAAGCATTAAATAAATAGTTTGAAAGGTAAATATTTCAGAACGTTCATGGCTCATCTGTGGCATTCAGCCGCTCCTTATTGGTCAGGGGAGTTCACAACACACTTCCGCCATATTGGATTATGCGCATGACTTGCCTTCCGTTGCACTTACCCTCGGCACCCTTAGAAATTGAAAACCACCACCCACCGGGCTCACAGGGATTGATACTCGCGGACTTCACATCAAAGAAGTCAGTGACCAGAGGGCCTGTACTCAGCGAAAATTGGCCCAAATCCCAACTTCATTTACTGCCAATGAAACCTTCCTTGAGAGGCGCTTTTGTTCCGTAAAACCAAGACAAGGCAGAGTGCTCCACGAAAATTTGACAACTGTTGAACATCTAAAAATTTGGCATTTAAATGTAAACGTGCCTGCAACAGCCTGATTTGAAAGGCAGTTCACAACTTACTCTCTTCAACTTGGGGTTTCACAACCAACTACTGATGCGAAATTATCTCAACGAGTATCCAGCGCACACTTCATTCCCCAAAATTATTTCTTTCTCTTTCAACCCGCCGCTGTTATGAAAAAAGAGGTTGCCGGTGCAATCGTCCTCCACCTTTCCTAAGCCTGAGCTTTGAGTTCCATTTGAGTTCCATTTTGTTCCTATATGACCCCATCTGCTGCAGTTCTTGTTCGACTAACCTTTATCAGTTCTTTCCAGCCTTCCACGCTTTTTGCCGTTATGATTTTTTTCATTAGTTGTTTTTTTCCTTTTCCTTCTAAACACTCACCTGATAAAACTTAGACTGATCGCATTTTAGTGCGTAGGCCGGCAAGTTTCGTGTTCATAAGTTTCGCGGGTAGATCAGGAAAACATTTCACCGAAGTTTTATTTTATTTCTGTTATGTCATAACTATCTCTTGACTTCAAGCAAAACAATTCTTCCCTCCCAACTAATTTTTTTACTTTCTGGTCTAGCCAAAGTATTTATTTAACATTGCAAGCTCTTTCACAATATTCAAACATTCAAGCTAACACCTGCCCCTATTGGGAATTAGTGTGCAAACTGTCATAAAGAATACTGCAAAAAAACTACAACGTCAAACTTAGCAGGTCCCTGCAAACTAAGTAAATAAAGTGAGGTCTAAAATACAGTGCTTTCATTAATTCACTGATTTATCTCAATAGCAGTTTGCCGTTTTCCACTCATTCCATTCTTTCTTACACTAAAAATCGATCTGCTCAGTAATTTGGATTTCCTAAGCCTATTACTGGTTTTTACACATTTTTTACATAATATATCACTATTATTGTTGTTTCAACCTGCTTAAATTTTTCTTCGCGTGACTGAAACATCAACACAAGCACAGTCTCATTTCTCAACTAGAAGAACAAACCCACTTAGATCTTTCAAAACAATTAATACTTTTTCTATTTAATTTTTGCAAACTAACCTTGTGAAAACATTGTTATGTGCAGCTCATTTTATATAGGATTAATCTTGTTATCTTTTATTGTTATTCATGCCATGTCAATTTTGTTCTTGAAATATCTGAGTCAGACAAGTTTCCACCTCTGCAAGATCGTATGAAAAAGGTCCTACCCCTCCCTGGTATGATATAACATCATCCTTGATGACGTAAAGTCTTTCCGGTATGGCACCATAAGCGGCATTTGCAGCGTCGCACATTGTATCAACAACTATTGAAACCTCGTCAGGACAATAAGGCTGAAGAAGCTTAGCAGCCGCGCACCTTTCTTCTATAGTTCGGTGTTGAAGTATCTTGGGGTTGTTCTGTCAAAATAACATTACAAAAAAATAGAGTAAGAAACACAAATTCTATGTTCGCCACAGTTGAAAAAAAAAGGGGCATCAAATAACCAATATCAAGTACGTTTATCATTTATTGGTGAGATCGTTGGGTTCAATGCGAGTTGTTTTGTTTCCCTCCCAAGGGATAATCCTAATTGGACGCAAATTAATCTGTGCACTTTTCTTCTAAGCTTTTTAGGAGATCTGAGGTCCCGTATACCCAGCCCCCTTAATCATTTTAGAGTCAAGTTAAAAATTTCAGCCATTTTTAAGGATAATGATCTTTTAATTCAAGAGAACGTGCTTTCGTGTAAGTAATTAATGCATGCAATTAGAGGGGTATTCATCTTCTGTATTTCCAATTGTGATGAATGGAAGAATCGTGAAACAAACAATGGAAAACATGTCGTTAATTTTATCTCTGAAAGCGCATATTTTCATGGGTAAAACAGTTAACATTCATCTTCTCTGGGTTTTCTTTGACTACTCTTTCTTATAGCCTACATTTCAAAGTCTTTCAAAGCCTACCTCTAAACTTAAGAAAACTGAATTTTCAGCTAATTATGGTATACAAGTCCTAATGTTGAAAGTACCAGAATGGCATGAAAAAATGTTTGAGAATATGTTTCTGAAAGTTGTTAAACTTGTCGTAAGGCAGGGTCTTTGCGTAACATCCAGTTTGTTCTCTCTCTAGCGTAACAGAACGTAAATTTCTTTTGTTCTCTGAATTGAAGAGGAATCATCAGCCATACTCCTCTTCATTTGTTATCGGATTAGTAAGCCGGCTAAACTTCACATCTCATTGTAGCCCGCTCACCAGTCTTAAAACCTAGCTCACAGAATTTGCTTGAAAACATGAAATAGTTAGATTTTTGAAAAATGAAAAACGTTTCCTACGAAGACTTTTTTTGAACAGTTTTCGGCTCTTGAATCCATAGTAACACTGTTCAAATGTTTAGGGACTCTCACTATTCCAATTCTTTTTCAATTTGCTTTACCTTAAACGCCCAACCGTCCACTGGATGTGCTTCTTCGATGTATAAAACAAGGAAGTCGACTTGTCCCTGATAGCGGCGGACCATTTTATTAAACTGTTGTAGGTCCACCATGAACTCTGGTCAGGAACATGACCCAAAGTTTATCACCAATGGCCGGCCTGGTTGCTGGAAGTCTAACAAATTACACCGCCGAGGAATTTCACCATCAAGGCAGAGTACTGGAACGTCAATTGCGGGTCCATGAAGAAATGCTTTCTTGACAAGATCTCTCCAAAGAATATGCAAAAGAGTGTTTCGCATTTCAGTGTTAAACATAGTGTGCCAAAACTCTTCTGGATGTACTCGACACCTTGTCCATTTTAGGAAGAGGTTTTGCAGCATTTTCTGACACACTGGAATCATATTGAAAACTTTTCCGACAACGAACGCGAGCCAAAGAAGACTCGCAAAGAAGTACAGTTTGCAAGAAGGAAGGTTAATCCGAATGGAGAACATGGCTAGCTGCTAAAAGCACAATTATCTGATAGGAAGTTTCCTGATAGCCCGCTTTTACTTCAAAATAAAAAAGGCACTGGGATTTCAATGGAAGCATAAGTCATTACTCTGAGGAGGCGTGGAATCTGCAACAAAGGTTTGGTCATAAAATGTACTCCTCCGGGTACCAACAACCCAAATAAGTATTAATTCAAACCCTTAGATGTATTGTTCAATGTGTAAATCATAGTACGTGGGTATGACTGAAAACTTTTCGGCCTGTAACACATTATACATAAAATGTGCAAATCTATGCACGTGGGTCTGGTTTTTCAGACATGTAACACCTTCATTTCGTATCAACTGGTTAGAAGTTTGGACATGTGATCAAAATACTGTTGTTTGCCTGTGGAAAACGAATGGGAACAAATCTATGTAAGATATGTCTGCATATTTTATTATGGGTAAAATTATCTGAGGGCCTCCGATAATTTTACGTAGAAGCCAGTAAGTGAGAAACACAGTGACCAATAGAAAGTTGTCGAAATGACGAACGTAATACAAACGTGTCGGATCGGAGTGTACACAGGCCAATTAGTCCAGTGATGTTTTGGTATTGTAATTCGCCCACTCAAGCGCTGTAATAACAATTGAAATATTAAAACAAAAACCTAAAAAAACAAGGCGAGCGCTAAGGTAGTGTGTTGAATCTACAAATTTCGCCCACATATCATTTACTTGTTTTAAAACGTACGTACCTGGCATGACGCAGCACTTTGTCTCGGCTCAGAGATGCGTCAGACACGGTAAACTAGTCGGGTATCACGCTCAAAGTCCCGTTTATTAGGCTGAAGATGTCAGCAGTCTGACCATCTAACGCAAAAGGATTTTCAAATACACGTTCGCGAGTTACGTTCATATAAAAATAACAAAACTTGTCAAATAATTTTGAGAAAAATTCGAGTAAAGACCCTTTTAGTACATGCAGAGAGGGTTATTCTCAGTCAAGTAGCATTGCCCTGCTCGGGGCCAAAAACAAACGCATTGATACCCTAGGTCTCACAGCCATCTTTCCCCTTAGCTTGCGTTGGGAAAACTTTCCCGTCTTCGCCAAAAACAATGACACTTTGGTTGATTTCGATCTCAAGTTTGCACGTCTCGTGGAAAGCCGTTAGTCCATCAGAACCGTTTTATTGTTTTTGCATCTTTTGGTTCGAGCTCCTAAGGATAAAACAGTTTATGTAATGTCAACACGAATATTTCGCCCTTTTTTTCGTTGTAACACATGCTCCATGGAGTAACTGGGCCCTTGGAACAATCGAGGCTTGCCAGTACGAGCACTGACAAACATTAAAAAAAAGTGAAAAAAAAAAGCCTAGTTTAGGCATCCAGGTAGTAAAGTGGCGCGGTCAGGTAGTGGAGGGCGATACAGGGATGAGACTTATTTCCGACTGAACGACCGGAAAAGTCCAAAAATAAATGAAAGCTTCTGTAACTTGGGTAACCCTTAGTAGGAAGGATAATGCTAACAAAACTGACATCTACTACTCAGAGTATAACCAGGGTTTTTCCTCGTTGATTTTCACAGTTCGCTGGTCTTAATCAACTTGAAGACTGATTTACTATGAATTTATGCAGAGTGCCACAGAACCTGTCACGGTGTGCGTCATAATCCTACGCCAGGATTTGAAACGAATCGAGAAAAGGCGAGTTAAAGGCGATATATTTCATCATCAAAAATATGAAAAGCGCTGCAGACAAAATCTCGCTAGGGAAACTGAAATCGAATGAAAAATGTTTCAAAGGCAAATCACCTAAAAACAGAATAAATAAATTAAAAAAAAAACAACAACAAACAATTGAAAGGCGCATATATGAAATAACTAAGTCTAGATATATATATTCGATTAATAATGATAATAAGACCAAGTGGAGTCCAATTCGGTCTGTAATCATACGAGTAATGAACAAAATCGGACGACCGCGAAGCGGGGGTACCATTTGTCAGTCACAAGTATGATTAAAGGCAGAATTGGACGACACGAAGTTAATCAATTAATCATAACCATTATAAAAACCAAATACATTTAGGACAAATATCTCCAGCAGGGAAAATGTCTAAAGCAAAAAAGTTGGAATTTCCCATTTTTTTTCCAGGGTAAGTGGTAGTTTCTATGGTTATTATGATCAATTCTGTGATTAGTGGATTTCGCTGAGTGGACTTACCATGATTGGCTGCTTCAGCTGTTCGGTTACACTGTCCGATTACAACTGTACAGAGTGATTATTGAAATATAAAGCAGCTGATGCACCAATGACATTTGAGGAAATTGTAATGGTTATGATTAAAAGAATTAGAAATCTAATTACAATTTCCACAAGATAGATAATTATGAGGTCAGGTCTTCGATAATGCTCTTGTGTTTTGGTGAGTAGTTCCACTGCGCAGGCGCATTGTGCAGAAACCTCCAACCAACCCCAAGACCGCTTACTGCTTTTAAGCGAGTGGTGCGCGGTCGCTAAAATTTTTTACGATAATGTGCACACCTTACACCTAAACGTGATTAATCACTTACGGCAAGCGAAACGAAGTATCGAGTCACGTGGGAAAAGTTGAAAAAGGCGCCTTTGCACGAGCCGAGAGCCCGAGCCTTGAGCTGACGGCGCGGTTATTCCTGTTCGGTGTACGTGTAATTGCTAAAATTGCTTATGTGACACCACGAGGAGCGTGCAGTCTCATTCATCGAAGATTAATCGTTATTGCCCCAGGCGAATACGATTTTATCAATTTCTACGGGCAAATAAAGCGAAAGACAATGCAGTTTCAAATAACAACCCAGATTGGTTTTCGCGTTCTTCCTACCGCACAAACCCCTCCTTTGGAACATCTTTTTTTAATAGACACCGACTTTGAACCCAACGGAAAATCAGAAACGCTCCTATCACATTTCTATCTAGTCCCTTCACTGGCGAAACCAATCATTCACCGTGACACTTTTCTTAGTTCCGAGGGCGCACCCCAACTCAAGTATCTACTCTGACGTTAACCACCTTACCCCCAAAGATTCATCGTAGACGGGTATGCATTTAACTTTTCATTCTATATTTCTATGAAAAGGGTTTTGGAGCTACCCTGAGTATGGAAACAAAGTTCAGTCGAACTTGTATTAACCGGCATCTTACTAGGCGGTCGGTTGCCAAAGTCCCGAATTTGTTTGAACTGTCACTAAAAGCCGAACCACTCAAATAAAACTAAGAATAATCTTTCAAGTAATTTTTAATCCATGGTTTTCTTCCAAAATTAAAGAAGTATTTTTGAGCGAGATTTATACATTAGGAGGTCAATTGTGGCATAAAGAGGAGTTGTTTATCGTTTTCTCTAATAAGAGCAATCCCTTAAGGTTGGCCTGATAGAGGAAGCCATCAATACAAATATGACCTCACCAAATGGAGCGAGTCCCTTCAAAGGCAGTGTTCACACTTGGTGCCCGGGCACCGGCACAAAATGGTGCTGTGTTCAGACACACGGTACCCAGTCTGAAGATATGTTCACATTCAATAAACAGAGCACACGCTCACTATTGAACTCCACTTTGCACCGTCGGACGCCATTTTGAAATCTCGAGTGGGACAAGGAATTGTGGGTACGAAAACAAGTGGTTTGTGGGTAAAGTGCCAGGGCACCAACGAAAAATGTGTTCACACAAGGACTCAGTGCCCAGTTTAGTGCCCGAGTACAAGGTCGAGACCTTGTACTCGGGAACCGGCACCGTGCCCGAATTCTGGCGTGGGTACCAGGAAAAAAGGTGTGTTCACATTGGTGCCCGGCGTAGAATAGAACCCGGGCACAGTGCCCGGGCACCAAGTGTGAACACTGCCAAAGATTGCGGTTAATAGACCTTCTTTCAAATCACATTATTCTTTTATGTCTGTATCAACTAGACTGAATGTCCCCGTTTGTGTCAACAGGTTTGCGTCAAGACCAAAAAACTGTCTCCTTCAGTTTCAGAATAAAATGTACATATATCTAGATTCAAGATACAAATATAAAAGCAGACAGATTCGCCTGATGCATTGTGAAATATATAATATTATTATTACAGTAAATGTTGAATATACACTGGAATTGTTAAATACTTCTTAAATGATTTTATACAATGTGAATAAGATATACTTTAAATTTCCTTTGATTCAAATAACTAGGGTTTTAGATTTTAAAAAAATTTTTCTGAACCATTCCTCAACTGCCTGGAATACCTGTTGTGGCTTAATTTTATCCGTGAGCTAAATTCTATTTTAGTTTTTGTCTACCTCATATGATTCCCAAGGCTACTATACTCTAAAAAAGGGGCAATAAATGTAGAGTGAGGATAAAACAGCAATAAAGCATATACTCATACTTCACAACTAACTGGCTTAGAAAAAGTCAATAATAAAGTTGAAAAAAAAGACAAATTCCTGTTTACACTGCCAATTGTTCCTACAACCTGTGAATAATCCTAATAAAAAATAAAGAGCTCATTTGTTTTGTTGATCAAAAAAGCATTTAAAATCACAATGTTCATTTTGTTTTGTTTTACATGTAAAAGAATTACAAAAGTACTTTTCATGAATGAATAAATTTTTTTACTTATCTTTAATCACATTTCATGGCAGTCTAAAATTCCTTACCTACGCATGGTGTTTTTAAATGGAGTACAACAATGGTTAAATATTGCTTTCAGTCTGGGATAATCTGATGATTCTTACAAATATCATGTACATTAAATTGTATGATATTATAAAAGTGAAATATATAACAATCCCATTCTAGCAAAGACAAGTTGCAATACTGTTTGCCCTTCATGCATGCAGTTTCAAGACAGGTAGAAAATACATAATTCAACTTGATTTAACAGGCTATACAAAAAAGTCTTAAAACATAAAGATTCTTGCTTCTTTGCATAAAGTAATATTTTCCAGTAATTGAGAGTAACCCCTTGCTTGAGTTCTTATTGTTCATCACAAAGTGTGCCTCTTTACAAGGTCCTATTCATCAAGCAAGGCTTGTTCCCTATAAATGTTATAACTTTTCACCACATGTAATCTTACCTAAAAACCATAAATTGTGTGAAAATGATTTTAGTCAAAGGTAGAATTTAAATAACAAAGTTATTTAGCTGACATAGTGATGATAATGATGGTGACTGTGATGGTGGTGGTGCTCATGGCGATGCATGACTGGTTGTCCATCCTGATGACATAAGTCACTGTCTCTAGTTAAGTTGCGCTTACAGTGATGATATTCACTGTGTCTGTGACTGTGCTGTGGTGAGGGAGATCCATTTGCAAAAGGGAATGACTGACTTTCTGTGTGGTAAGGGTAGGTTAGGTGATCTGTTGCAAGATCAAGGTACTGAGGGCAGCGACGAAGGCCACAGCCCATATCACAGCTGTTGGTTTGGCAGACACGATGTCGATGGTGCAGCTTATGTTTGTGCCTGTGGTGTTCTTCACGGGGTTCTTCCTCCCCCTTGTCATACATGTGACACCACTGATTGATCCAATCCTTAACTCTGGTCATTTCCTCGCTATTGGATACTGGTGGGTTACATTCTCCAGGCCCAGTTTGCATTCTCTTAGGGAAATGATACATTCCCTTTGAGTCAACAGGGTTGGCACTCCTTCGGGGGTCATTTCTCACACAATCCTTGTCAACAGGTTGCCTGTGCTCACACCTCCTGCATGATGATGATCTGCGAGGATGCCCACTGCTGCTGGCATGTTGCTCTGACTGTATTGGCTCACACAGGCTGCTCTTAGGTCTGAATTGAGCAAGGCAGTCTGTAGATGGAGGGTTCACAGTCAAAGACCCCTCTCTTTGTATTGAAAGGTACTTTCTCCCTTTACTCCTTCTGGGATGTTCCTCAAAGCCACTACCAGTCAGGACACATTCATGCCTTGTCCTACTATTAAGATCTCTGCCTCTTTCCTTTGAGAGTGACAATTTCACACAGAGTTTTTTAACAGGATCTTTTTGTGTTCCTTTGGGATGAGAAATGCTTTTGCCAAGGACATCATAGATTGACTTCACAAGGTTCTTCACGTCCTACAACAACAAATTATCATCAGCTTGAGGAGATAAACAAAATAATCCTTGTTCCTTGGAGGGAGAACTAATTTCAGGATTTGCAATGGCTGAAAAAAGTTTAAGATCCTATCCTTTAAATGAAAATCTCTCACATACATGTACTTCTTGCTTATTAAAAGCTCACTAGATCAGTAATTTTCAAAAGATTTCCTTAAAATAGTTTTTTTTAAATGAAGAATACTCTGAGTCAAACAAAACCTTTTTGCTACCCAGGCTTTTCAACAGAGAATGAAACAGCAATAGAATATTTTAATGTAACAACATAATATCCTTCCTGTTTAAATGAAATTTGCCTTAATTAAACCAGGAATTCTAGAAAGTTCCCAGAAAATGCTACTTCCACCTAATATAAAGCACACTCTGCTCACTGTTTTCTATCTGTTGAAGGAAACTAAATTAATATCCCAAGCCCTGAATATGCATGGCCTGTTTTACTACTCTGACACCATAATTTTCTCCTCCACAACTTGTATCAAGCTATGACTCTGACATTCCAATGTAATATCGCATATGTTATATTGAGAATTCAATTGATTTCCAAGAATTCTGCAAGTTACCAGAAAATTCTACCTCTACCTAATGTACAGTACACTCTGTTCACGGTACACCATATAGAGAAGGAAACTAATTTAAGCAGATAGTAGACCCTCAATATTCCCAGCTCTGAATATCATGAAACCATTTGCATGGACTTGTGTTACTACTATATCACAATAATTTTCTCTTAGACAACTTATATTAAGCCAAGGCTTTGACATTCCAATGTAACATCAATCCTGTTATGGACAAAGAAAACTTACATCTCGAGTGACTTGGCCTTGGCCTTCAAAGTCATAAAGGGTGTATGACCATTCCTGCCGGTCTGATCCTGTTGATTTAATTGACTGACCACATTCACTTACCGCCTGTAAAAATATAAACCAATCAAAGTAGAGGGAAAGTCACATATTGTTGTGTAAAATAGTTCACTTTTAGAGCACTGTTACAATAAAATAAGAAAAGTACAAAAAAATAATTTGCAGTCATTACTGTACTGTACAGTAAAACATTGCAGTATAATTAGAGTGAAGCCAATGGTTCTATTAGAGCAAGACAACGAAGTTTCATGTAGAGCATGAAAATTCTTAAGACAGTCCTTGTCATTTTACTGACTCAAACTATAATAAATAGTATTTATTTCTGAAAGGCCAGTTATGTAATTTTACAAATGCTTTTCATTCAACCAATTTATTCTCAATTTCCACAGTTACCATGTTTCCCATCAATAGCAGATGCTCTGTTTCTGTATATAAACAACACGCAAACCGCAATATCTCTCTTCTCTCTAATGAAGGGATTGCACTTTAAACATCAGCTTTGATATAACCAAATTACCCTTAAATAGCCCCCACAGATGCAGCACCACAGTTTGACACTTATCCTCTTTATTCAATTACTGTAATTTTGGCTATATCAAAAAAAAAAAGAGTTGGTAAAATGAAAATCACGTGAAGGAGATCAAGAGTTAATCCCCTGTTTCATGCGCCAAAACAAAAAAGAAAAACTCTCTGCACATGTTCTACATACAGTTTTGTGATAGGTATTTTTTTTAAACAAATCTAAAAGATGTTCTTTTAGGAGAGGTTTAACGTTTACCGTGATTGGCCTCGTGGTTTGGGTAGAAGCTTCAACCTGTCCTTCACGCTCAAAAAACAGCTCAAATCTTTTACCATCTGGTTCATCAGGTAATTCAACAACTACCAAGAGGAAAAAAAAAAAAAGCATCACACATTTAATATTTTTCAGAGCAGCTTAATTCCTTCCCTTGTCTTCATAGAGAGGGTCTTTTGAAAGGCAGTTTTTTATAATCAAGGACAAAGACAAGCTTGGTTTGAATTCTTAACATGTTCATGAAAACATATATCTACCGCTATTTAGGGTTGACATTATGTAAGAAAGCAAAATCTAAAGATATAAAATAGCAATAACATCACTTTCTGGAAAAGCTTCAAAATGCATTTGACAGATTTCAATAACTCAGGTTTTGTTTAATCATTTCAGAACACCCCATTGCAGATTTTCTTAATTTCCTAATCTACATGTGTAGACAAGAACAATGCTGCATATGAGCAAGATCCTTCTAGGCCCAAGTAAAAAGTGGTCATCGTAACAAGATGAACCACTCCTTCAATCGTTTCAGCCATGCACTTCCTTTCCACATTGTTTTGAGGGGGCAAAGAAGTTTAATGTTTTTCTTTATTCCACCCAGGATTTAGAGATAGGGATGGAGCTGTATTAAAATCAATCCAATCATTTAGACTGTGACCTACTTTGACACTATACCACAACAGAGAATGTTGACCGCAATTATCTTGTTACTGAACCATATGTGATAAGTAACACGAATGTCGCCCCCAAGGTATGGGAAAATTTTTCTGTATAAGAGCTATAGTCAATTTATCCAAAGGACTTTTTTTCAGTGAAAGTATTTGTGTGTAAAGTAACACTGCTTGATGGTAATCATGTGAAAAACAAATATAGTTCCTGTCGGTTAGAGATCTTGCACTTTCCAAAAGATTTCCTCATTAAACAAAAATTCTCTTTCTGAGGGTGGATTAGGAATAATTAGTTTATGAAAATTGCCTTAAGAATGTTTGAACTGACTGATAAAGAGGCTCTAAAGTGTGTTTAAAAAGCTTACAAAGAGTTTAAAAAATACCACTCATATTCATTAGACATTATTTAATTATTAAATCTAATTAAATATAATCCAGATGAACTAGTCCATATTTCTAAGTTAAAATAGAGTCAAAACAATTACCAAGAGTTCTGGCAAAAGAATATCACAACACACCTTCAATGGGATAGTCATAGTAAGAATACTTTTTACAGAACTCTTTTTCTGATCCACAGTGTCCATCTTGCAGCTTTGAGAAAGACAAACAAAATAAAATAATTCAAATATTGTTGCCAAGCAAAGGGGGCTGAAAGACATTGAAGCAGAATTGTGCAACAGATTAGCAAGGGAAGAGCCACAATAATTGTGCTAAGGACTGCAACATGAATCTTGCTGAACTTTGCGGCACATGATGCTTGTGGCTGAATAAGCTTCTTTATGGAGGAACTTATCTTACATTACATACATTTGAGGACATAGCTCTGCAGCAATGTTTTCTAGATGAAGAATGTGAAGGAATGACATCAGCAAAGGGAAAAATGCTTTTAAGGAGCTTTCTACCAAGAACGAAACGTGATCTCTGATACTTGACTTCAGCGGCTCAATTTAAATTCCTACGCTTCAAAAACAATTAAATCATTCTAACCACAAGACAAAAGAACAAAATCTTAGCTGTCATCCACTACAATGAGTTAACATTGATTTAGTTTTAGAACTGCATAATTAATATTGTTGTAAAATTACCATAATTTTTCTTAAAAGTTATATTAGTTTGCGTAATTGAGCGGCATTGTGTTCTCTTTTTCAAATCACTTATGACAGAAAATCTAAAAAAAAAGGCTGAAAACTGCGTTTAAGTTTTCTACAAAAAGGGCATTATAAATATATATTAAAATGTTTTCTTTCGGTTCGTAATCAAAGTTTAGCCACAAAAATAAAGTAGGCTGTATGTTTCTGCAAATATAGGGGTTTGATTTCGCTAACAGCAGGGAAAACTAATTCAAGGTTCAGATAAAACATAAAACGGAAAGCTTTCTTGGTATTACCCAATACGTCACGACGAAACTACATGCTAGAAACCTCTCTAAAAATTTGTTTTTCCAACACTTCAGAACAAATCAGGAGAAATCTTCAATGGAGAGAAACGTAGTTCATCTCTTGAACATTTCTTTCGCTACACATGGACTTCGAAAAACGAGAGGTGACATTCTAAAATAAACATAACATGTTTATGAAGGCAGTACACACTTACTTAAGCATGTTATACACACACAAATGTATTTATTTTCTTTCACATTCAAATACTCTATATCAGATTGAATGTGAGAGAGAGAGCGTGTGAGAAAGTGAGGCGTGCAGGAAACATGTCCCCTTGTATTTCAGGAAACATCATCAGAAATCTTTCAGCCTGCCGCTCCTCTGTTGACAGGCTCAAAGTTATTTACGGTTATTCAAGGAGGCCCGCTCAATAAACCAGTGTCATGATCACGAATGCCGAGGAATAGACGGAAATCGCTCTCTTTGAAGGTATTTCTGGCTTAAAGCAAAGAGAAGTAACAATCGATTACGCATTTTGGAATTTTGACTCCTTCACCATTTCCACGTTTAACTGCCACACGCATATTTCGATCAATCTGCCAAAAATTAAATATCTCAGAAAAAGATACCGATTTATTTAGTCTACCCAGAGAGTTTTAAAACGTCGTCATACATATCTCAATTCGCGTCTCAAAATGTGACCACAAGTCAGCAGAAATGAGACTGATGTTATTTGGAGTAGCGAGCTGAGTTCATTTAGGAACGCAAAGCAATTTGCTATAATGACAAATCACGAGCGCAAGTCGAACCATACGATGGTGTGGTGTTGACCTTTGCGAGTGGCTCTGTTGTTTTATCACTTCAGTCGAAACCGACAGCTATCAAAGCCGTCACTCGCTAGCTACCAACAACCACAGGAAAACACTTCCTTTTCACACAAGAAAGTTGCTATTGCGAATGGCATGTTAAAAAAAGTTTTAATCACCTCACATGTTGATATTAGGGTAGATGGTATATATGGGTCTCGGCTGAAGAATCAATCATTCCCTATAAACGGCAAATCAATTATATTATACTCACTACATTGACAGGGTAGCCCTTGTATGTGAAGTCGGCCGTACATGTAGCCTTTTCTTTCGGTTCTTCAGTGAAATCCAAAGTCAGATTTGTAGCGTCATTTTCCGCCACGCAGTCCCCTGTTTTCAATAGCAGAAGGAGAAAACGAAAAGAAATCATTAGATCGGCGTGAACACTGCACAAAGGCAGCGAAAAATAAACAAGGCAAATTTCACAGCTCTTGGCTCGTTCTTCGACTATGATACCTTCGGGTCCCTCTCTTGATATCCACGCTAGAAAGGAAAAGAATCTTGATGAGGAAGAGTACAAAGTTAAGCCTCACGCCGAGAATACGCACGGTGGTATATTAAACATGTAATTATGGCATCTTGTCTTGAAGAGTTAAGCCATCGAGCGAACGTGCTCGGCGACCTTCGTCACACAGAACCTTACCTTGTTTGCTGTACTTCTTTCCCATATCAAGAATGCTTTCAGCTCATTTCTACTACATAGGCCACAATTGTAAGTAAAGAATGATGCGGGAAAATTTGGACGCAAAAGTCTGGCGGAATGGCCCAGTTACCTCGCTCCGTTTGAAGTACAGAGAGAAGTCGGCTTACTGCTTTGTGCGACTGACAGAAATTGATTCGATTGTTCTAATCAAAGCTTAATGAGAAAAAGCTGCGATTTTATTGGCTGGCACTAAAAGTAGCCAATTAGAGTAGAGTACTAATTTTGTAGAAGTGAACCTTCGCTTGCACTTACGGTGGATTGTATATCAGTATCTTCTGTTTCCTCAACGTTACAGCAATAAAGACGAGAAAAATGAGTCTGATAAACGATATATTTCCCCTCTAAACCATACGATAAATTAGTTGTTGATTGCGGTTAACTTTCGATCAATTTTTTCAATTATTCCATGATTTCCATATCAATCTAACAGCAAACCATCAAACTGCTCTTCATTAGAGCTGAAACAATTTTTCTGAAGTTGGTTAAACAAGGAATGAAAACAGAAATTCATTGCACTTTCGTGTCTTTCAACATTGCTCTTCTGAAAAGATGGTGCGGTTTTTTGTATAAAAAAAAAACGATGACACCGAAAGACTTTCGTGCAAGAAGATCTCAATATTTGCTTTAATACAAAACACCGCTCTCCCTGATTTTGTAAAATAACGGCTTCAATGCATTTCCGACGAAGAATTTGATTTAGAGAATATAGCATTTCGGAGGTTGACAGGTCTTCAGCCGGCATCTGGCTGGCCGGACATGTTCATCCCGATATGTAACAACAATGCCGCCAGTCCCAAGCAAAACGTTATCAGAAAACTTAAAATGATCGGCAGGAGTAATCGTTGATTTTTTACACAAACTGAATTTTGAAGAGTTGAACAGAATGGAGATTAAAAAGTCTGACAAAACATTCGGCGAGTTATGTTTACATAAAGTCACTTTGTTTAAGACAGATAAAATTTCATGAATATTTTAAGTGGACAACTTGAGAGAAGCTCGAGATTGGAGAGGGGTTATAGAAAAAAGGCCATTTTTTCATACCTCTGTCTCCACAAGCCCTTCTCCTTGACTTTTTTCCAAGTCGTCTATGAAATCTTTTCATCATTTAGTAACACGTAGTAAGTTACATATTTTCTGTTTACTGATTAACTTTGCCAAAACCCATGCTGAAAAATTCGCAGGTTAAACTTTTAGGTTAAGTTCTCTAAATATGGAGACATTAATAGATAACTTTGACCTGGCGGGCCTTGTCCTACAATAAAACTTAGGGCGACTCTCTTCAATCAAAGGGATTGTAGAATTTGGCTTTAGTCTGCTTGAGGTCTGAAAATTTTGAAAAAAGGTGCTTGATTTAAGAGGTGTTAACGAGAACTAAATACTGGCGCGTATTGTTTAGGAGCTATTGTGTGAAAGCTTTTAGCGACAGCAAGTGAGAAACAGGGGTTCCGGAAAATGCCTGGAAAAACACAAACAGTGAAAAGCAATTGAAAATGCTTCAATTGCGGCTCGACTGATGTTCAGTTTCCTCTCTGGCAGCTGTAGCCGGCTGTGGCACTATGGCGGTAGAAAAATCGGCGCGGGCTTATCACCTTTACCGAAACAATAACAAAATAAAATTCATATTCTTAGTGTGAATGAGGGTCCAAAATTATCTTTTCATCGCATATTAAAAGACCGTATCTTCGTCTGGTCCTTCCATATGAACATTCATCACAATCAGAGGTACTAATATAACTCGGCAGCAATCAGCGATATTGGTGCATGCGGTGCGTATTTTTATCAAAGTATTCATTGCGTGTTTTGAGAGGTGCACAATGATTGGATGAGCCGACAATTTTTTTGGCTGATAATCTTACACCCCTCTTTAGAGGATGAAGAACACATTTTTCTCAATTCAAAAATTATTTCAAATAATATTTTATTTAGCAAGAGAGGCCTTCGTCAATTAGATGTTTCGTGAAGATCTTTGATGAACTTTTCAGATCAGTGAGAAACTTAACGCCGCCGGCAGTGGATTCAGTTCCGCTCCGACTTCCCGCTCCCGTCTTAATGTCGTCATTCCTCAAGTACCGAGGTTAAGTGCTGACAAACTCACATCATTCTGTAATATTTATTGACATTCAGGTATTAAAGCGTCTGTTAAAGACAGCGTCAACAAGAAGGGATACTCAGTTAGCCCTCCCGTTCCCTGGGGGTGATATTAAACTTTCCCCTTATCTACTTTCCGGTACTCCAGGGCAATATCACTATCCCGATTATCTCCTCCTCTTCTCTCGATTCTAAATTTTACCCAATCACACTACCTGTACCCCGGTTCTCAGGGGAAGAAATTTTCGTTCCACTTACGTGACCCCTGTTCCCTAGGTGATATTAGCATCCCACCTATCTCCAGTCTTGTTCCCAGAGGAATATTTTTCAATCCACTTAGCTAAACGTTCTACATCATTAAAACTCGGCTGAAAGTCTTTTCGAAGTCAAATCAATTTGCCTAAATCGGGTTGAGACAGCAATAGGTGCAAAAGTCAATCGCAGCTCGAAATGCTCAAGCGCTGTCCTCAGAACCAGAGTTTCTGTGATGAACGTTTCAATTTAATGCCGACGGCTGATTGAGTTGTGACTACACCCTTCGGGTCCATCCAGTCAACTGAACATTCAATCAACTAAGGACGCCACCAAGCCATAACACACCACATTACTATTACGCTTTTTCAGTAATCGAATGTTGTCTCGTCAGTAAACGCCATGTTGAATCAAGTCGGAAGAAAACTCACCAGCTGCGCATGAGCGATTTTTCCATTAGGGGCGGCCAGTATAGCAAGTTTCCTGGGTGGGGTGGGTGCCTTCAACTTTTATTACAACAGATTCCTACACTGAGTTAATGAATTGAGTTAAGATCATGTTTTTTCAAGTTTTCTCCGCAATTAAAGTCATAAATGAAATGCTGATGTTGACCACCCTTTTAGATTTCAAAGATCAACCTAAGCTTTCCAAACTGTATCCCTTAAACACTCTTGAATTTAACAACAGAAGCCACCATCTAGCCACCTGGCTGATAATTTGTGACCTGCGACGTCTCTGTTCCCTTTTTTTCTCAGTGTTTCTTCGTTGCCTTACCAGCAACTCTGTGAACCTCACTGCGGTTTTGCCTGCGCAGCCTAGTTAATGAGTGTTTTATTCTTTGCATTGAAAAAAAAAATGGCGTCATATAGATTCTAAAAGTTTAAGTACATTTGAAGATAGTTTTGGAGTGGTCAGGTAACTCTTTTGAATCTAGGGAAGCTACACACGGCTGCGCACGGTAAATTGTTATAAATAAAAGAACTAAGGTGTATTCGACCCGCTCCTTTAAAAAATGTTTTGAACTGGTTTCAACATTAACGGCAAAAAGCGGACACTCTTGGCGATTATATAGAGTTTCATATGAAGGACTGTGAGTCCACTTATAAGAAAAGATCGGAAAGTTCTGCAATTTTCTTGGCTGATACACCTGGGCTAATAGTCCTCATCCCTCGTTCTCAGGTCTTTCCTTTTCAAATCCTTACGGCAAGTGGGGAAGGGGTCAGGGAGAAAAGAATGGTGACCCCAGTAACGATATCGTAAACGTTCGAATGTCCTTGGTTAACTCTTATACTTTACTTTATAATTTGCCGCTTTAATCAAATGTAAAACTGATCATTCTGGTGTAGTTCAGAATATTTTGCTGCATTATCAAGCGCAATCATGTGAATGTGATCAATATTTTGGAAAAGGCTGATATAACAAGAAAACAAAGCGCCTTGTCTGGGAGTTGTTTACTTCCATAATTGAGCACTCAAATGTGATATTGAATGACCATAAAAAAAGGTACAAATCAATCCTTTATCTTTAGAGGATCGAACAGATTAATGAACTCTTGAAAGAGAGAGAGCGGTGGTTTTGTAGAAATTAAACGCCGAGTTATTTTGCTCCCCAGCATGCATTCTATAGTCCCACTGAATCATACGCAAAGTTTCTCTTATATCCCCCATTTTGACTATACTGAGCATGACAGTTCTAGAAAGCACTGGGTAATTCCCATTGTCACACGAAGGTTAAGTCTGCAGCGCTTGATAAGTGGAACACAGGCCGTAAGTTACTTTCATCAGCTGGGAAAGCAACGTAGTGAGCCACAGTAGTCCCACTCTTTGCACGTAGCGAGCGATCTTTAGATATGTCACAGCATCGTTTTTAGAACACCTTTCTAAATTTACATTGACCTCTAGAAGTTAATTTTTCATTCCAAGATACCATTACTTCGTCAGTTTTTATTTAACGCCAGTTGCGACATCAAGTACGATTACTTGATACCTGTGCTTGCCAATGATTTTGAAGAACAGTTCGCACAAATTTTTGAAGTTGCCTTGCACTCCCATTCGGACATGTCGATGATAAAAAAAAAACGCAAAACACTTTGAAGGAACCATAATTACAGAGGAATGTCTTCTAATAAGCTTTAGCATATTAGGCTACAACAGTAAACATGTACACACGAATTACTTCAGCCCAATTTCACAGAAATACCATCCGTTATTTTTATGATCTTGAAGCATATTTTTTTTTAGGTGCCTCCGATTAAAATCCATTTTTTGTTTTGGTAAAACTCAATGATGGCAAGTGAAAGCTCAAGTCCATACAAAGGAAGCTTTTGAGTAGACATCCTTTACACATGGAGGATAACACTCAACAAAAATCCCGTGAAAAATAATCCGGAAACGTATTTTACAAACAAGAGTGTTCTTTATTTCGAACAAACGCATTTTTCATATCTGTTCAATTCCCTTGTCACTGAGAGTCGAAGTTTGAAAATTTTCTCAAAGAAAGTAACATACTTTCTGAAATAACTCACCTTTTGGAGGGCTTCGTTCCTCTTTAAAACACTTTGACCCCATGGAACATTCGAATTATCTGGAAAGAAGGCATCAAAATGGCGTTTGTTCTTGTTCTGAAAATACCATGCGTTTTAAAGTGGTCTTTTTAATTTTTTTGTCTTCTGAATGTTCTTATCAAAAGAAAATCACAAAAAACTTTTCAAAGATCTAAACTTCTCCCAGTAAGATCAGCTTGAAACGAATTCATCATTATCAGTCTTATCTGTTAACAACAAGAAGAAAAAGCTAT